CGTTCGGGCTGCAGTAGAGTCGATCCAACAACCGATGCTGGTGTACCCATACGTGCCAGGATTCACGTATGGTCCTGGCTGATTTGTGGTATTTCCATCCCACCGCGACTTGTCGCCAAAAACAGAGATGTAAGTCCCAGCACGATCTATGCCACTCCCACCACATGTCTGGGTCGCATCGCCTGAACACTCATAGAAACAGTTCGCATCGTCGACATTGGTAAGAGGACGATTGTTACCGCACCAACATTCCTGCTTGAATTGAGTTCCAGCGAAGATGTAGCCTGCAGCCGCGCACCGATTGATGCAAGAGTCATCGGTGTTGTTGGGTCCAGTGTAGATCTGTGTCTGTAGCTGTCGGCCTGGGTTGTACTCCTTGTAGCATCCAGCATACTGGTACAGAATCGTCCCATTAGCGTCCAAAGGACCGACCTGTGGGGTGACGACGTTGCATGTGAATGATATGAGCTGGTGACCGAAGTTGGGGTCGTTCAAGTTCATCGTCCAAGTCGTTCCCACATTGTAGCTCGGCTCGTTCAATTGGCTTCCTGGTGGGGCACAGAACATTTGCGCAGTCTTGCTCGATCCGGAATTGATCAGCTGGCCTTCACCAAGATCGATACCATTGCTGGCGCCAACGATGTTGCCACTGATCCCAAAAGGAGGCTTACTGACAGTCACTGAAAGAGGTGCAGCGTTTGGTCCGCCGACATTACTCAACCGCAAGCGCAGATAGCGAGTCGTCCCCTCCTGGACATCGCCAAAGCTGAATAATGTAGTGTTGTCATATGGTGTCCAGGTACCATTGGCAGTCTCAAACTCGAGAAGTGCTTGAGCATATTCTGCACCAGTGGCGAAAGAATCGAAGATCGCATTTCCGCCGTTGGACTCGACTCGCGTATAGACAGCGTAGCCACCAGCCTCCAAAGGATCGAAATTAATCGGTACGGTGACAGAGGACATAGCTGGGATCGAGGATGGCATGTTGTAGAAGGTGAAAGGTCCGACGCTTGTAGCAGAGCTGGACCCGTTTGTCGCAACCCATGGTCCAGTCTCGCTAAAAACAGAGTACTTGATGTTTGAGATGCTAAGAGTGGAGTTGCCCAGGTTGCTCATGATCACGGTCTGGTTGACTGAATCACCCATGATGACACCGTTCCACGTTACTGTCAGAGGATTGATGGCCAAAATTGGTCGCTGACTTGTCGATTTACCCTTGAGCTGAACTTGTGTTGTAGTTGTATAGCCGGCCGCGTTTTGAGATGTGTTCAGAAACAAAGACGACGAGAGCGACCCCACAACCGTTGGCGTGAAAGTCACCGGTATCGAGAAGTTTGATCCGGCAGGGACTTGCAATGGGAAGCTTGGAAGCTGAACGTTGAAATTTTGTGGGGAGGAGCCTCCAGTAAGACTTAGATCCACCTTGGCTTGACACGAGATGTTCTGCGAAATGGACGTTGAGTTGATGTTGGTCGAAGGGAAGTCCGGAACTGAACATGTCATAGGCAGATTGACCGGAGAGCCGTAGGCGTATAGGTAGCCAGAAGATGTGATCTGGTACACGACTCCGTCTCCGAATGCCAACTTGCTGAACTTCGTCACACCGGGCGTTGCGAAGGAGTTCAGTAATGTCATCTGCCATTATACGGGACAGGATCATATATCCTTAGATTTGATCCATCCATGTCTGAGACCCATAGCAAGCCTGTGCCATCCTGGCCCATGGAAGTGACGGTCCCGTGTCCAACGCTGAGGCGTCCGGCATTGGTCTCCGTGGTGGTCGCTACTGGATTAAAGTATGGCGTGCCTCCCTGGCAGGTGAATTGAAACACCCTCGTGGGATAATTGATGACGTTGACGTAGACATACCCGCCTTCGCGTGGGTACACCCCAGCTCCCTGCACTTCTAGTCAGCTCTGAGTTGTGGTAGTGGTGCTTACTTGAAAGCAAAGTCATGACTGTCGTTGTTCCTCAACTTGGGTCGAGCACAGGATGACTTACAGCATAGACAGAATTTTCGTGCTGGTACATCTGGATGACGTTATCCAGCCGGTTTGGGCCATTACGGTAGCCACCCATATCGTCCATGTTCAGCCAATACGTCTTTCCACTCTTACCAGTGACCATGCCAATGCGTTGGACATTTCCACAGGAGAATGTGTCGGGGAGTAGCTGTAGCGGAGAAGTGCCCAGATCTTTGTCTGCTCCATCTAGTTGCACTTTCTCCCATGGCATGAAAAAGTCGACGATGGTAATCGTGCCATCACTATTGACAGCAGCGTGGACAGCAGCCTCCTCGAGTGAGGTGGGAGGTTGACGTCCAGACACAGGCGACTGGTCGAGCTGAGCAGCCTGGCCGTTACCGGTGGACCAATAAATCGAGTCGACGCCATTGGAGGCAAGCCCTCCTCCGGACATCCAGACGCCAGCTCCGCTTGTTGAAGAGCCTACACCAGCCCCTTCCATGGCATAAGCTTCGACGAGATTTGCCGTGTTGGTATCGAAGCCCATGATCCAACCTGTGTAGTTGTACTGGATGCAGTGGCTTGCGAATCCCATGTAGATGAAGTTCTTGAACTGTAGAAGGCCCGGCCTCTGATGGTGTATACCCGCTGTGAAAGTTCTCAATGGGTTGTTCCGGGCTACTGTGTACTCCGGGTCAATGGGAAACGAGGGATTCTCGGACAAGTCATCCGTCGATACAGCGTGTATCTGATAGCGACCGTTGGGTCGGCCAGTGTCTCCGGTAGGACTTTGGTCAACGTACGTCTTCACCGTCAGGTACCAAGTGCCAGTCGCTGGATCGATAACGCCAGTGGCCGTTGAGCCAATGACAGGACTGATATCCGTGCAAGTCTGAAGGTCTGTCTGCAGGAACGGACGTGCTAGGTTCCGGGATGCGACGATGTTGCCTTTCTTCGCATCGATCTTGTAGATGTTGTTCATCGTTGTGGCGATGTACACGTATTGTACGCCGTCCGACGCTGTGTATACCAAAGGCGACGCGAACACCTGCTCCGGCCCGCCCTGGAAGTTGCGGCCTGGTAGCGGTGTTCTGAACAGGAAACCGAACTGCTCGCTCGAGACCACCGCCGGGTCCATATTATGATTTTCCTCGTATCCTGTTCGGTCATTATTTCCGCCCCAGGTGAGGGAATCTGTAGAGCCAAGAGAGTGACATGAAAGAACGAATAATGCAAGTACAAATGCCAAAAGCACGTTGAAACGAATGGACGCGGCCATGATGCCGCAGAATGAGTGACTATGGTGAACGTGAAGGAAGAAGGACAGACCTGCACGAACTGAATGCAAAAGAACTCGAGTATCAAGAACTCAGCGCTCACGGATTTGCAGAGCCGCCCACCACCACAACAGCGTGTCTCGATAGTCCCCTTGCACAGCGCGTTATCATATTGCTGTCCCAACGTGCCTGTAAAGTTAGGAGGCGCCGGAACCTGAAAGTCTGCACAGCCAGAGAGCAGAACCACTGGTCTGGACTTCGACAGTAACGCCGAGCCAAGACGTGGCAATAACTGCATAGAAGTCTGCATCCTAAAGAGGCTTTAGGGGAGATTTTATCGATCGGACAGCTTTTCCGAGGCCTTGCCGTCGATATGACTGGACAACAGCAGGGCTGAAGAAGCCAAAGTTCAAGGACAAAGCCACACAGATGCGTGATGGCGAACTTTGGCCAGAACCTCATAGAGTCTTATCAGAGGAAGACAGTCTCAAAACAGACTACATAGCATGAAATGGGAAAGGTACCGGTCGATGTAAGACTAAGGTTTACATTTGAGGAAATTACCCTGTGCACGTGGCTTGGACAGGGGTACGACCGAGTCTGCCTGGTATCAGATTCTCGATCGTAGTTGCTGGAAAGTCGATCGTGGAAGCTCGAGCGCTTTAGGCATACTTTCCATAAGCTGTGTTCCGACGTCTTGCCGAGTTGCACGATGGCGACAGCGGTAGGATGATCTATGGACGAGTTCTCGAGGACGGGTTGGCGAAGATTCCCGCAGCAAGGAGAATCCGGTGTGTCGTCACCTGGACCTGCCGCGCAGTGATTGTGATGACGGTCAAAGCCAGCAGTCATTGCTGCGATGGAAGGCAGCGTTGACAATAATCGCGATCGGAGATGCCTTTTGGAAGGTTGGATAATTCACCTGGACGTCCGCGAAATCATTTAGGGGAAAGTTCTTGGCAACTCGCAGCTGCCACGCCATAATTGGCTCCTGCTCAGCGTTTCCCCGCTTCTCCTTTCGCGAGCCCTCGAAGCGCCTTCCACCAGGAGTTATACAGCATTTAAACACTTCAACAATGACAAATGAGTCGCTCATGGGGAGCGCTCGCAGATCATGATCATGATCTTCGCCACGCTACCCTTGCAGAGTCGCAGGGTACCAGACGATACCACACCGAACAGAACACCACGCACGCCCGCTGCGACAGACCTTTCTTTTCACACCATCCATCAACAATGTTCGGATTGTAGCATTCTAAGAAGGTTAAAGGCTGTCTACTTCACGTAAATACATATCCCATCGGGACACACGCCAAGGCTCCTTCATGTCGAGACTCACACATTTCCGCCACCGTCTTCAAGCTTCTCGAAGCTCCATCTGAATTCGGCAACCAGGAGCACTGTGCCAAGAACCCAAGATATGGCGCTGAGCTCCCATAACGCCACGGTCACGTTTACCAGCAAGCTGGTACCGCCCCTAGCTTCAGTCCAGCTCCTTACGAAATGGTAACACGAAAGTGCACACAGCAGTCGTAGTACCCAGGCTAGACACGGGGGTGCGAACCAGATCTTGCGGGTGCGATAGTGGTGGCCCATTATTATTCGCCGCAGCATCGGCGGAGATGACTTGAGTTCCCTGTATTCGATGATAGCACTCTTATCCACCCTCTCCGTAAGTTGGTGCTCCTCTCTCTTTGATCATTCTAGCACAAAGTCCTTCTCAAGTCTCAACGCCTGCGGAATCGGTCGCTCGTCGTCGCTAAGCTTTCTCATGAGGGCCGCCCAGCTCGGGGTGCTCGGCGTCTCCGTCTCGATCACCACAGTACTTGGAGGTAACATGGTGGTTTTGCTCCATCTGATTCGGGGCAACGTCGGTGTTTCCGTCAAAGGACCATCGGAAGAGACCGTTTGTCTTCGACGGGAACGCGGCTGTCCGAAACCGATCGAATTGGCCCTGCTCGGCGGACAGCCCTGTGTCGTGCTTGCGACGTGCTGCGAATGCTTTTCCTCCCGCTCCTTTTGATGACTTTGCAGCGGACCCTGATGCGAATGGTGTCTCAGATGGTGGCGTGGGTCTACGTTGAAGGGGTCTTCTGCGCTGTGTCCTGGCATCGCTGTCGGCTCTTACATTGATGTTCAGGAAGGCTGCTTCGCCAAGCTCAACGCTCATCACTCGATGGGAAGTACTCCAGAAGTCCAGGGCCACATTCGACCCCACGTTGTCGATGCAAACGGCGGTTTAAGGCGGTAGAGGGCTTCGCGTTGAACAGATCTACCAATCTGCACCCTAGCACTCTTGCTGACTCTTATACTGAATTTCCAGGCCTCGGCCTTCACGACCTCGACGACGAGTGCTCAATTGAAGTATGTCGAGATCACGGTTCACAGACTCGATCGCTGGACCTCCCTTGTCTCCAGGAGCTTCCAGATCTCGGTGCTGCAGTTGAGATAAGCGCAGCCGGACAGGGTCTTACGGTCACTCATCTTGGCAGGTACCGGATGTAAAGTCCATTGGCACACTTGAAGGTGAGATTGGACCAAAAAGCATGCATTGCCGTTGAACACTTCTTTGGTATCTCTGTTCAGCTGCACCACGGGATATTCGCAAAAGTGGTATGAGCAGGCTGTGGTTTCCTGTCCTTGCGCGCAACGTTCCCCCGCAATCTCAAAGGCAGACAGCATGCTGCTTCCTCCCAGCCATGCTTGCAGGACGCCGTCGCAGTCTCGGGACCATTACGGGAGGAGATTGGGACGTAGAGATGTTAGGCCTGCGTGGATACCCAATAATGCCTTGACAGTCAAGACTCGGAAAAGGCCATGGATAGAGCCGAGAACATGGACCGCTAATACAAGAGTCCGCAGCGACATTAGATAGCAATCAACAGAACCTATCGTGGTCTCTATGGTATACATTGATCGATGCTCAACAGCATGGGTATTCTGCAATGATGGATTGATACATATTCAAACGAGTCTGCTGGTGTCTACGCCGCCTGCGCACGCATGTGTATTGACAAGAAGCGATGCCACTGTCGCGGCACTACGGCCATGCCATCATAAACTCCTACCGAGTAGCATAGTCAGGATGCTGAGGCCTACCTCTATCGTGAAGGATAGCACAGAGCAAGCCAGCTCGACACAGCCATTTGTACAGCAGCAGGCGGTACCGACAGGCCACCAAGTATCTACAACGCCGCGATCTCTTCGCTGCAACTTCCTGATCGGAACTCGACTCCTCACGCAACTGCCCATATCAGCAGCTGTTCCGCGACTCATCCTCCAACCCCTCAGCCGCACCAAGAGTTGTGCTCAAGTCGTCCCAAGCAGGAAGGGGGCGGATGCGCGTAAAGCGGTCTTATCCTCGTCTCGGCGCGGGCTGCCCTCGATGCAGATTTCACCCTGCTTGGCATCCAAGTAAGGGTGAAATCTGCGTCCAGCTCACGTCCGCGCCGCTTCAAATGTCGGCACACCTTTTCCTACTCACCTTCCACTCATCTTCTAGACACCCTTGTCTATCTGCCACACTATTGTCTGTTACTCCTCGTCCCGCGCCACACTCTATCATACGCGACTATACAAGGGGACGTTCTGAGAGTGACAAGACTATGGAATGTAGACAGGAGCGGAATAGAAAGATTTTGTGTAAAGACCTATTTCTTGGGCTTTGCTAAGTGTGCCTATCTTTCTCTCTCCTTTCATATCATCACCAGTGCATACCAATAACTCTGAAAATGTAGCCAATTGCGAATCCTCTGTGCGACCAAAGATGTCACTCTTCCGCTCCACTACGGACTGCAAAATAGTTCAGGCGAGGGTCGGCAAAGCCGTCATTGCTGGTGCCTAATCCATCAAGAGCAGCATCATGGTAGCAAATCGCGGTTCTGGCTCAACTTAGCAAGCCCAAGGTCATGAAGCCACTCCGGGCGATGCGGGACTTAAGCCTGGAGGTCTCCCTAGTGCTTCCCAGGCCAGGCTGGACTTGTCCCGGAATTTCCGAAACCTAGCCCTGGTTCGCTTCATAGTTGGCGGGCTTCCAGCTACTGCCACGAGAAGTGTCACGGACGCGGTCTGGAGGATAGTTCAAGGAGCCAACGCGAGCCTTACGAGATTAGCCGCTGTGTACGTCAACGAGCTGCCGTACTACTAGACCCATTACAATGGCAAGCCAAAAGTGGTACGACGAAGCTTGCTGGATCTGGGCGCGAGACTACCACGACACGTCTGCCGAAGGCAGGATAGCACTATTCAGGCGCCACTTCAAGATCAAAGACTTACCCGAGTTGCCAACGATCGTTCGCGTGTCAGCAGATACGCGCTACTGTCTGTACGTCAATGGCATGCGGGTGAGCGTTGGACCCTGCAAGAGCTATCCAGAACATTGGTACTTCGAGGTAGTGGACATCCGGCCATTCCTCAGGTCTGGTGAGAATGTGCTTAGCGCCAAAGTATTGCGCTTCTCAGACAAGCATCCTGGCAGCATGTCTTTCATGCGTACGGCTAGCCCTGGCTTGATTGTCCACGGCGAAGTCGAGGGCCAGAAGCTTCACACCGGCGTCGGCTGGCTCGCTCAAGTGGACCGATCCACCACACTGGAGAACCGAAAGGACTGGAACTATGCGCTGGGTCCGCCTTTCCTCGTGCTTGGCGAGACAGTTGATGCGAATGAGCTCGAGGAGGATTGGCACATGGTCTCATCGTCTGCGTGGGCGCCGGCTGTGGTCGTGAGTCCGAAAAGCATGATGCTGCCGGTTCTTGACGCATGGAATCTCCACGAACGGCCAATACCGCTCCTGACGGAGACAAAGACTGGACTCAAAAGAGTTATCCGTTGCTCTGATCCGGCAGCATTCGATGGTTGGTCACAATTTGCCACAGAAGATCGGCCCCTTGAAGTTCGTCCGAGCTCTACTATCTGGGTAGAGTATGAAGCCGAGGAGTACACCACAGCATACATTGCGCTAAAGTGTCACGCATCAGCCGGTGCCACGATCCGATTGCTCTACTCGGAATGCTACGAACGTCCAATGTCCCGTCCAGGCCCGGGAGCGCAGCGTGTCAAAGCCAACCGCAGCGATCATGTCAACAAAATGCTGTACGGCTCACACGACACCTACATCACACGTAACGGTCTGAATACTTACACCCCATTCTGGTTCCGAGCGTTTCGCTTCCTACGCCTCGAGATCACCACGCCAGCGGACAGTCCAGCCCTGAAATTGATGTCCTTAGACATACGCGCGACATACTATCCTTTGCGCGTCCACTCCACAATCAGCACGCCTGAAAATCCCACACTAGCCGCCCTCTGGGAGACCTCAATCGCCACTCTCCGTAATTGCATGCACGAGACCTACGAGGACTGCCCGTTCTACGAGCAGAACCAATTCCTCATGGACTCTCGCTTGCAGATGCTGTTCACATACGTGGTTTCACGAGACGATCGACTGGCGCGGAAGACCATGCATGAGTTTCATGCCAGTCGCTTGTCGACCGGGCTCCTCAGAGCGCATTTTCCCTCGCCAGGCCGCACAGTGAATATTCCCATGTTCAGCTTGTTCTTCGTAGCTATGGTGCACGACCACTATACTTTCTTCGGGGATCTGGCGTTGGTGAGAGGGTATCTGGCCACGATTGATGGCGTACTGGAGTACTACCATGGATTAGTCAGCGAGCGGGGCTTAGTAGGCCGCTTCGATGAGCAGGATTGGGCGTTCGTGGACTGGGTGAAAGAGTGGCAGCGACCGGGCGGGCTACATGGGATGGGTGTTCCGCCAAGTTATTCCCAACAGATGGACAGTGTGGCGACGGTGCATAGTCTGGTTTACGCTTGGGCGCTCGGGCTAGCGGCAGAGCTCTGCAGTCTCGTCGGCAGGGCTGATACAGCACGAGAGTACTCACAACGGAAGATGAGCATCTCGGACGCAGTGAAGACATGGTGTTGGAGCGGAGACTTTTTCACGGACTCCTGCTGTCATTACTCGGCGGTTCCCGAACATGAATCGAATACGTATTCGCAACATGCTCAGGTATGGGCGATCCTGGCGGGAGCTGTAGACGGAGAGCAGGCAACCGACTTGCTGCGACGAACCATGTCGGCCGCTAAAATGCCCCGCTGCTCGTATGCGATGACTTTCTATGTCTTCCGAGCGGCAGCGATGACGGGTTTATACGAAGAGCTGTGGCCACAGTTGATCGCGCCTTGGGAGAAGATGTTGGCGCAGGATCTCGTCACGTTTGCGGAGGATGATGTTGGGGTGAGAAGCGATTGTCATGGTTGGAGCGCTGTGCCTCTGTGGGAGATCGGGACTGAGATTTTTGGGATCGTTCCTGGGGTTCTGTCTGGGAAGGAGGTCGTGAAGCCCAGGGTGAAGATCTTGGGAGACGGCAAAAGTACGGGAGAGTTTATTGGAGATGGTGACGGGCGCAAGATGCGGGTGAAAGTTGATTCTGGAGTAGTGAGCGTGGAAAGAGTCAGTGGAGGGGCTAGTACTAGACCTGTCGTTGGGGGCTGGGCGGACATTGAAGCATTCCAATAGCACGTGCTGTTTCTTGCATTAAGGACCAAGCTCCTGATTGAAGACATTGGCTCATCACAACAGCAACAAGAAGAGAGCGAGAAAGTGACACAGTGTGTATGCAAGTGCCATTTAGAATAAAGCCAACGTCATTGCCAGTAGGGGCACAATCCAGAATTAGGAGATCCTACAGGCCACCGCCCCTGAAAGCGAATGGCGTCCGAGTCCCTGATGATGCTAATCACGGTCAGCGGAGGGCTTTATATTCGAGCGCCAATCAATGTAGGTACTATCCTCGCAGACTCCGAAACGAGGCAACGAACGCCCACAGTAGGAGTCTTGACATTAGTAGCCTCGTTGGTGCTTGGGATACCGCCTCGTAACGGCTCAGTCGGCCTGAAGGGGCTGATCTGTATTGCCGTCTGGACCTCCTGAAAGGCATTATATCCATATAGCCAAGGTTGCACTTCTGGACAGGTCCATCTGCTGGGGAAGGGTCCTTTGAGCGGCTTGTGCAATTGCGACAAGAACACCTGGTCGCGTGCTTCCTGTGCTGGGCCGCATCGCATGTGAAAGGCCTCTCTCTGCTTGAAGGTCTCTCGCACGATTGCATCACCTCGCGTCTTCCTCAACTGCTGATACATGCCTAGAGCCTTGGATAACTCATGCTTGGAGTTTATGTGGCCAAGTAGAAGTCCAAGTACAGCACCGTCCTCCACTGCCGAGTTCGCACCTTGTGCTAGATATGGTAACATCGGGTGACATGCATCACCACTATCCATCAGTCGGGTCTGGAGACCAAGGATCGCACTTACACAAAGACAAAGTTCGCCTTCTCGTTGATCCACGTAGGCAACTCCTCGCCTTTTATCATATTAGTCTGAAGTAGCAAGAGAGAGTGCTGACTTACGGTGCATCAACTTCCATTTCTCCACCGAATCAATCATATCGAGAAGCCTTGTCAAAACTGGATCCCAGCCGGTAAAGAGTGCTCTCATTTCCTCAACAGAACCAGGTTGTCGACTTACTCCCGCAGGAAGATCATCTGGGACTAACAGCACAATGTTGTACATGTTGCCTCCTCGCAGAGAGTATCCAACCGCATGAGCGCCGGGTCCGATCCAAAAATGTACTGTCGGGTTTTGGATCCATTGCCGTAGCTCTGGATCATTCACCTGGTCAAGGTCGAGCATCACTCTGTACGCAAGGTCTCCGGTGGGGCGAGGCGCTTCATCTGTTCCGGTAAAGAGTGCGCGGCTTCTGGACCACAGTCCGTCCGCTGCGATGATAAGGTCGCCGCGTGCCGACCGACCAGACATGGTAACAAGTTCAGGGATGTCGAAATCGATCGTGCTCACTCTCTCACCGAGGTTAAAGTGAACACCTAATTCTCTAGCCCGGTCATATAGAGCGAGTTGAAGGTCGACGCGGTGAGAGTCGAGAAAAGGCGCTCCATATTTGGCCCGGATGTTCTTGTTGAAGTCGTGCTCTATGGCTAGGATCTCTCCAGAATAGCGATGGACAAGTAGTTCAGTCGGTTCAGCAGCAGTCGCCCAGAATCGGTCAGGTAGTCCCCATTGTTGAAGTATAAGTGTGCAATTGGGCGTCAGCTGAAGACCTGCACCAACTTCCTGTAGCTCTCTTGCCGACTCAAACACTGTGACGTTGTGGCCGGAGAGCCTGGTGGAGATCGCGGCGGCGAGGCCACTGAGACCGGCGCCAACAACGATAACGTCAAGCTTGGTGGCGGAAACGGGTTGTTCGAATCTGGTAGCCATCATATGCGTGAGGTGCCAGAGAGGCTTCGAACATGCCCGATGACGGGACTCGCCTGAAACTAGCTCAAAAATATCAAGGCATCAGCAGCTCAGTTCCACGTCGGTAAGTCCAGACAGCATGATCCGGCTTTGCCGCGGCTCTTCCGAGCCCCGGACTCCAGCTCGCATGCCGTCTTCCGGACTCCGGCGGCGGTGTCATAGCACATAATACCTTTGACTTGTTTGCTGAGTCTAGAACTTCTGCCTATGCACCACTCACGATCATGACGCAGCCAAGAAGCCATTTTCGACTGGTGACAGTGAACACGGCACCGCAGCGTGCCAAGCTCCTTATTGGACGTGTTGTCGAGGCTTTGAAGGATGACTACATCATTGATCATATCGGCAACTGCGAATGTAAGCGTGACTGCCTTGGCAACTTCAGCAAGCTGAACCATAGCAGCCATACAGGAGGTAGAGTCCAAGGTCCGGGAGTTCAAGCCAGATGTCTTGGTAAGGATCCATATCATGTCCATGTGCTGTTGTCTGACATTTACGTCAACAGTGCTCAGCGTCGATGTGGTCACCGGCGGAAGCTGCTAAGATTCATAGCATTGCGCGATTGGTGAGACCAGAGGTCAGACTGCATGCTATACCTCAAGGTCTGCAAGTAGAGAGGGGACCAGACGCAATTGTAGAGCACTTGGTTCAGGAATTACCAAAGTTATTGAAGCCCATTAGCCCGTGATTTACCTAGACCGGGGCTGATCTCTGGTGAAGAACTGTTGCGGGGTATGCCAAGAGAACCGCCCCTACTGGCGTTAGAACTAGACCTAACCTCGCTTGATGCTGATATTGCTCTACTTCTTCACCTCGAAGCTATCTTCACGTGATCTGCTGCTATGGAAACAGCTCGACGTCCTCGCGCAGCGCGTGCTTGCGATGTCTGTCGTGTAAAAAAGAACAAGTGCGACGAGCTTTCCCCTTGCACGTATTGCAAAAGTTGGTCTACTTGCCCCTTACACAATGAGCAGCTCTGAGAGTGATAGGCCGTGGCGTCGACTGTCTCTACAGGGGCCGGCGACCCTCCAACACTCAACATGGCTCTAATTATGTCCGCCAGCTGGAAGCCCAGGTCGACTCGCTCTCTAAGCTCTTGAAGACCCAGCAGACTCACCCTCCGACAGCGCAAGCCGACGCAGACGTGCATCATGATTTTGCGCGTGATCCTGCAGAGGATCACATCGAACTTCCCAGGTCTAGTCATCAAGCGATACCGACACTCGATGCAGGTCCTACACCCGCTTCGTTGATGCACCCACCTAATGAGGAAGTCTCTGGAGTCAACCAGCACACCAGGAACATGGAGTTCTACGGCAGCTCATCCTCGATGGCATTGCTGTCCCATGTCCATGGTGGAAATGTCGGTAATACCGAAAGTGGCACCCTGCTTTCAAATCTACACAACCCAGCTTTCACTCCGCCAGAAACCAACAGAAAAGCCGCCACGACGGCGAAGGATGACGTCCCTGGCCGAGCAGCTCACTTTCCCCAATGCCGAGGCTTCCTGGACAATCATTTCTCAGCTCTACACTACATCCATCCCGTCCTGGACAAGGCAGAGTTCTTCGAGCGCTGCGAAGCCCTGTGGACTGCAACCGATGATCAGTCGCCAAGCTTTACTGCGCTTTACTACAGCGTACTATCGGTCGGCGCAATAACTAGTCCTCGCGATGATGAGCCTCTCGGAGGCCTCGACAACCTTCAATGGAGTCGTTTCCTGTTCAAGGAAGCTACGTCAAGGTGTGGGCAGCTGAACATGGTGACAGACCTCAACATGGTACAAAGCTACTTGTTCCTTGCAAAGGTCTGCCAGAACGAAATCATGCCACACTGGGCATACATGTACATCGGCATGGCAGTACGTACGGCTCTCGCGATAGGAATCAACCGATCGTCGGGCCCGAATACCCGCAAACCACCTGCTCAGCTCAGAGCTGAGTCGCGAACGTGGTGGGGTCTCTACTCACTGGAAACAGAAACGTCGTTTGCTATGGGCAGACCAGACACCCTTGGCGCGGACTTATACCACAATCAACGCTACCCATTGATCAGAGGTGTGGATCTGGGTGAAGCGGATCGTCTGGAACCACCTCACTGTGCTATCATAAAGAGTATGGTCGACTTCTCTCGGATCACAAGACAGGTTTGTTTTGGTGTCTACCTAACTGAATTCAACCTTGCCCGGACTCTTGACACGGCCATACAGATGGAACAGTCTCTCAACAACTGGATATCAGCCTTACCTGAAGATATCCGTCCACGGCTCTATACAGACCTGATGCCTTCATTGCAAGACGCCAGAGCGCCTCGATGGATGAAGAGACAACGGCTGGTACTGACAATCAGATATCACAATCTTCGGATTCTCATGTTCGGCACATTGCTACTTCGGTCCACGAAAGAGGAGCGATTGGCTATCCCAGCCTCGCAGGAGTGTGTTCAGAAATGCCTCGATTCCGCGAAGCGGACCATCGAAACTATATACGAGACTTTGCAACACAACGACTTCTTCCGGACCTGGTTCTATAACACCACGTACATAGTTTTTGCCGCCAGCATCATCCTGGTCTACCTCACACGAGAGGCATCCAATGCCACTTCCCAGCCGCTGCACCGACTCGTTGGTCTGGCCATTGACATCTTGGAACTTATGAGCGAAAGCGTGGTAGCTCAAGAGGCCGCAAAGATGCTCAGGAGAGCTAAAGAGGCCGTGGAGCAAGGTCCTGAGGTGAGTGTAGAGGTTATCGAAGATAGCCGTCTTCTCAACCAGTACTGGGGCCGGCTTGAGTTGGGCACCGAAGATGTGGACTTCGACATGATGTTCCAGCTTAGTGGCTATGACAACGACAATTTCTTGATGCCGTTTGAACCACAATAAGAGAGGTTATGCGTTCTCGAACACGTTGACGAGCGTGCCGATATGGGGCAGTACCTCGACAGCAAATTCATCGCCCGCCTTGATGGTCACCTTAGGATTTCTTCCAGCACCAACGCCTGCTGGTGTGCCGGTTATGATCACAGTGCCAGCTGCCAGTGTCGTGCCTTGCGATAGGTAGCTGGTGAGCTTGGCAATGCCGAAGATGAAGTCGCTGGTGCCACAGTCCTGCATCACGTCGCCATTATGTAACCCGCGCACCTGCAGCTTTCCCGGGTCCGGAATAAGCGACTTGGAGACAATACAGGGCCCAATCGGACAAGACCCGTCGAAGCCCTTAGAAAAGCACCATTGGGATTGCGCGAATTGACTGCCTCGACTGGACACGTCATTACAAGCTGTGTATCCCAAGACGTAGTCCAGAGCCTCTGCCTCTGTCACGTTCTTGCACTCGCGACCAACAATGACGGCAAGTTCAGCCTCATAGTCGCCGGTATTGTCTACCTGAGTGATAGCTGGAAGCAAGACTGGTGCTGGCCACGGATCAGCTAAAGAGGTGCTCGGCTTCAAGAACACAGTCGGGACGGAAGGCAGTTCGACATTGACTTCCTTTGCGTGCTGGATGTACTGACTTCATTAGCAATTCAATTTTCTCTTCTGGTGTCCGACATACATTCAGGCCGATGCATCGAATGGTGCCAACTTCGTGAGCAGCTAATGGTGAGAGAATACGCTCAACTGTCTCGACTTGCCCTGTTGTGGAACCCGGCGATATGACCGAAGCGCCTGTCCAGACAAATGCCTCGACAAGAAGACCTCGACGTAGAGCGCTTCCCACATCCACGCTGCCGTCTCTTGGCTCGCCGATGATGATTTTGCGGCTGTTTGACTTCGGTACGAAACGTATGAGCCGTCGAAAATGAGGTATAGTCATACTGAAGATTGGCGTTGTCAACACCGCCGAAAGTCTGGCGCGGCGTCGCTGTGTTGTTAAACAGCAGTCCATCTATCATACAGCCGTTTCCGGTCTCGGAAAGCTCGGAGACACGGCTCGGTCTTTCACCTCCGGATATTCCGGTCGATACCTTCAACGACCATATAGCAGCGCCTTCGATGAGCATGGCTTTGTTGCTACCATACCGCGAGAATGGCCGCTTCACACACCGGTTTCCGAGAGTTCCTGCCCGATCTCAGCACACCGCGCTTTACTTCCATGCAAAAACAGAATGCGCATGAATACGCCGACGAGTTCAAGCAGAAAGGCACCCCTCCTTGGCTACACGCACTGTACCTCCACTGGAGGAGACTGTTTCAGGAGCCATTCAGAGGCATCACAAATGACGGTCGGATTCGACCGGACCTCTATCAGCTGCAGGATGAGGGTATACCCATCGATGCGATCGTCGTAGCCGCTAACTCGATGCTGACCAAAATGACTGAAGTGCAACGTCAACGCGTCAAATACCATCTCGACTCGCCCGAATGGCGTTCATGGTCTAATCCTGAATTTCTACTCAGCAACAAAGGTGTGCGTCTTGATGAGCTGGACGAGATGCCCGACCTTCGCCAGAGTATTCTGGATGTTCTCAAGGCCACATTGTCCCCGGAAGGCTATGCGAAAGCGCTTGGTGCCATGAGGATCAATGGATTCCTTGGCGAGCTTGTCGAAGCCCATCGCATATGCAACGAGTACTCCTACAACTTCGTCTTGTTCGGCCAGCCGTCCAGATCACAGCCCTGGGGCTTTTCATTTTATGGCCATCACTTGTGTTTGAATATCTTCTTGTACCAAAGGCAGATAATCATCTCTCCATGGTTCACAGGCGCAGAGCCCAATATCATGGACGGTGACAGTCCACTTGCTGGAACAAGAATTCTCTCCATTGAAGAAGCTGCTGGGCTCCAACTGATGCAAGATCTTCCGAAAGACAAACAAGCCAAGGCACAGATCTACGCGTTGCTGAAAGACCCACGTATGCCGGAGGGTCGTTGGAACCACGACGATCAGCGCCATCTTTGCGGTGCGTATCGCGATAACCGTATCGTTCCGTACGAGGGTATTTTGGTCAGCGAGATGACCCCTGAGCAACAGGCTACTGTGCTTGAGATCGTAGAGCAATATTTACTCTATCTGCCCACCACGGCACGATCCATGCGGACAGAGCAGGTGAGATCACGGTTTCACGAGACTTACTTCTGCTGGATCGGAGGGTATGGTGACGACGATGCCTTCTATTATCGCATACAGAGTCCTGTGATCATCATTGAATTCGATCATCACTCAGGTGTCTTCCTGACCAACAAGGAGCCGGCCAAGTTCCACATACATACCTTACTCAGGACCCCCAATGGTGGCGATTACGGCATGGCACTGCGACCGATCATAAAAGGCATGGAGCAGCACTTCGTCTGGCAAGGCGATACAACCTTGTCCCAAACATGATGAAACGAGAGCGAGGTTCGGCATGGTTCGCCATCCGATGGCAGTTCCGGGCCTGCTTAGCTTTACCCCGGCATTTCCGGCTCCACAAATTTGGAACCTTACCAGGTTACGGCAAGTACATCGCGGCACCGTGAAGGAGGCCCACGATCGACGGTTGACATACAGCCATATGTATGAAGATTGAGAGACTACAGTATCAGTTGTGCCAGATCAACACAACGAGCTACAGAATACATCATGGGGTCAGCATCAGAGCCAGTGGACTTCGTTTCACTGCTTCCACAACTAACGCTCGAAGAGAAATGCACTCTTCTTTCCGGCAAGGACTTCTCAACCGCTGAGGGTGTGACCCGACTCGGAATTCCACATGTACGCGTTGCCGACTCCGTCAGTGGCATCCGGCCAGCAGGGATCGAAGCTGAGATGACAACTGCAAGCTTCCCCAACACAGCGTGTTATGGCGCCACATGGGACGCTGACCTGCTTGGCCGCTTGGGCGAGGAGCTCGCACGTCAAGCGCGTCTCAAGAGCGCTCAGGTCGTACTGGGACCTACTATCAACATACACCGTGACCCTCGTGCGGGCCGCAACTTTGAATGCTTCAGCGAAGATCCGCTCCTGTCAGGACAGCTTGCAGGGGCAATTGTTAAGGGTGTGCAGAGACAGGGCGTGGCGGCGTGTCCAAAGCATTTTGTTTGCAACGATTCAGAAACGTTGCGCCACTACTACGATGTCCGAGAGTCGATTGATGGAAGGACCCTAAGGGAAATCTACATGGCGGCTTGGCAGCATCTTCTGAGGACAGCCAGTCCGGAGGGCATCATGACAGCGTACAACAAAGTCGACGGCCTGTTCTGCAGCGAGCATCGACCTCTCATGCAGGTTCTGCGCCGTGAGTGGGGGTTCAGCGGCCTGACCATGTCCGACTGGTTTGCCGTGCACTCTACCGTAGCCTCGGTCAAAGCTGGGCAGGATCTTGAAATGCCCTTTCCCGTCTTCCGAGGCCAGAAGCTGGTTCAAGCTGTCAAGAATGGAGATGTATCGGAGGACGAGATCAATGAGCGAGTTGAAAAGATGCTCAAGCTCCGTGATCAGACACGGGCTTGCCACAGTGAGGGGGTCGAGACGTCCGTAGTAGATGAGTCGACGAATCGAATCGCTCGAGAACTCGCAAGTGGCGGTATGGTCCTCCTCAAGAACGAGAACGACGCACTTCCGATCGACCCATTTCGTTGTCGAGTTGCTCTCATCGGAGAGGCAGCGCAGCAGCCTGTGTTTACAGGCGGCGGGAGTGCGTCTTGTATACCACAGTATCGACACTCTCCGCGCGACATCCTCGACAAGAAAATTGCGGGAGGCGTCAAGTATGCTGCTGGCGTCCGCACACGGCGTATAATCCCTGTGGCTGACTCAGCACTCCTCTCGGCAAAGAACGGCAACCATGGTGTTGATATCGCATATTTCAACGATGGGGACATCGAGCCTTTCCTTCATGAACATTCCGTCAAAGCCACCGTGTGGATGCTTGGGGCCTTCAAGCCAGGGATGCGCTGTCCTGGCGGCAGGCTCGAAATGACAACCGCTCTTCAGCCGCGCAGCACAGGCGATCACACACTGGCAGTTAGATGCACTGGCGCATTCACCCTCGAAGTCGATGGCGACATTGTCCTCACAGGCGCTGCTCGGTATATTTCCACGGAGCAATTCATCTTCAACCACACCCTTCTGGAATCGCGAGTGCAGGTCCCCATGACAGCAGGCAAGCACTACAACATCCGCCTGAATATGCAAGGTCCTGAGAGAATGATGCAAGGCGAGCCAACGCCTTACGCGGCGACGCTGTGCTTCGAAGAGTACCACGCCGAGGACGCCGCTATAAACGAGGCAGTCGCCGTGGCGCAGCAGGCCGATCTTGCTATCATCTACGCAGGCCGCGACGAGCAATACGAGTCCGAAGGCTTCGACCTGGAGGACATCCGCATGCCCGAAAACCAGACCAGGATGATCCAACGCGTGGCTGCTGCCTCGAAAAAGACAATCTTGGTCCTCCACTGCGGCAACCCAATCGACACCAGCGCTTTCATCGACAGCGTCGACTCAGTCTTGCTGGCTCACTTCCCAGGCCAGGAAGGCGCACAGGCCGCCGCAGACATTCTGATCGGCGCCCTGAACCCCAGCGGTCGGCTTGCGACAACGTGGTGGAACGTGCTCGAAGACTGCCCGAGCTATGAGCACTTTCCTGCAAAGAAGCTTGAGGATGGTAGTGTGGCGATTAGCTATTCCGAGGGCCTGCGTGTCGGCTATCGATGCCCTGGTGCTGACGACGCAGCCAAGGCACCACGCTGGCCGTTCGGACACGGCTTGTCGTATACTACCTTTGAGTATTCTCAGCTACGTGTGAGGCTGTTGTCGCAGCAGCAGCAAATCAGCGTATCGGTTAATGTGAAGAACACGGGATCCGTTGAGGGCAAGGAGGTCGTCCAGGTGTATATCTGTCCGCCATCGCAGACAAAGGTGTGGAGGCCGCGCAGAGAGCTAAAGGGCTTCGACAAGGTCTTGATCGCACCGGGTGAGGTTCTGACTGTTGAGTTGGGTCTGGACCCGAAGATTGCTTGCAGCTATTGGGATGAGGGCGAGAAGGCGTGGCGATTAGAGCCTGGCGTGTACGGGGTCGAACTTGGTGGCCGGACAGCTGAGTTCACGGTTGTGGAGGAAGTGATTTGGAACCATGTATAAATTCGTCTGCAGTAATTGAGGTCAGTTCAGACCGTATGGAGGTGATTGATCCCGAACCTAAGCCTATCGCGAGTTCTGCAAGCTTGCTGTAGAGAGCACAGTCACTCAACTCCACGAGCGCCAAAGAGCCGACCTCCGGATGACTGGTGGCTTACTTATGGCCTTTCTCGATGATCACAACTGCTAAGATTTGGTCCCATATGTGAGCAATGTGATGACCAGCAAATAGAGAACATTGGTATGATGAATCGTACGTAATACTAGTACTCGATGCAGCGCATGTTCCACAACAACCAATACCACGTTGGACCCTTCCTAAGCACTCGTCTCATTCAATTGATACTTCTCGAATCGTCTCGCAGAAATCCTCCTCTCAAACATGATATCCAACTCTTCGAAGGTACGGTCCTTGGTGCCCGGGACGAAGAAGTACATCAGCCCAAAGTAAACAACAGCCATGCCAAAAAAGATCCAACCGATCTTCCCACCGAGGTTCGCCTCGTCCTGGTTAAACAGGTAGGGCAAGACAATGGTCCAGACGACGCTGGCGAACGACGAGAAAGCCTGTCCCACACCAAGGGACTTTGCACGCACGTTCGCGGCTGAGACCTCCCCAGCGACGGCCATGGACGCGCCTACGGCGGGGCCGTAGGAGATGGAGGTGAAAGCCGTGGCGACACCGATAACGGTCAGAGTGGCTGAGGAGCGTGGGAGGGCGGAGGCGATGCCCATGATGAGGTACATGACGACGCAGATGGAGACGCCGAGGAACATCAAGGGCCGGTGTCGGAAGCGCATCATGAGGACGATGTTGATGAGGGCGGAGACAAGCCCCACGCTGACGGCGACCTGCACGAGCATGAGGACGGTGTGGGAGGGCAAGCCGGTCTGGCTGAGGAAGTAGGGCGCGTTTGCTGAAAGCACGGCCCCAACGATCTGGGGCATGTACATGCAGATGAGGATGATGCAGGTACGGCGCAGGTTCGTGCCTTTGAAGATCTCCACGAGGCCGGAATTCTTGAAGGCGATGCGCATGCGTCGCTCAGCTTCGACGGTGGCTTGGATTTCAGCGAGGCGGGCGTCGAGATTCTCGCCCTTGCGGGATAGGCGGCGGAGAGAGACGAGGGCGGCGTCGTGCTTATCCTTCATAACCAGCCAGTACGGGGATTCTGGCATGAAGGCGAGCCCCGCGGCCAACAGCGCGGGAAAGGCCCAGGCAGCGGCGAAGACGACGCGGAAGGCAGACTGGTCCATGATGCTCACGCGGCTGAACGTCGCTGAAATGCCGATGAGGAGGCCCAAGTTGAGCATGACGGTGTTGGTGCTCAGAGCCAAACCTCGCATTGGCAGTGGTGCGATCTCAGACACGTACGTCTGCGTGCCGGCCAGGAGGAGGCCGACTGCATAGCCAGCGACGATCTTGCCACCCAGGAACTCGGCTGGGGTTTTGGAGATATAGCTGACCGCGACGCCAGCACTCCCAATGATTATGGCAGCTAGGAAGACGGAGCGACGTCCGAACCAATCTTGCAGATGGCCGGCTGAGACCGAGCCGAGCATGTTAAAGATGTTGTAGAGTGCGTTCCAGAGTGACTGCCAGTACGCTGGAATGATGAGGACGCCGTTGACCTCAGATGCAAAGGTCATCTGGAAAGCCGGCATGGCAAGGCACACCGAGAGCGCAAGGTTCTCGTAGCCGACCATAGTCGAGCCAATGTTGGCATAAAGCGTCCATAGCACGATCTTGGGGTTGGCTTTCAGGCATTGCCATGGGGTGAGCTCAGGTGGTGTGTCAACCTCGGCCACTTCGTCGTGGAAAGGCGTCTGCTTTGCTTCGATCGACACGGACATGTTGAGGGTATTTTCGCTCTGAGCGTGTGTCAATGCAGACTTGCGAGCAAGGTTGGGAGCAGGAAAGTCTTAAAGAAATACTGGACCGTCTATTGTGTCTGGAGTCCCCGGACGCCCACCCCAGGTTGCCCGGAATTCCCGCCAGTTTCCAGCTTCTTATGCTTGGCCACGTGGTTTCATCAAAGACTCGAGAAAGTCAAAACCCTGCCGCTGGATATGCCAGGTGCTCGATCCGACTTTCATTTGCGCGGCAAAGGTGTGTTCCTCTCCAGGAGCCTCCAGCATGCCGGAAAGGACCCTATGCTTTTTTAAGGTCGAGTACAGCATTCGGCTTAGGTGGATCGGCACTTTCGTGTCTGCTGTTCCGTGCACAATAAATGTAGGCGGGAATCCCGGACTAATGTTCTCTGCCGGATCCACATCGACCCATTTCTGAGACGGATAGATGGTCTCTGGGACCTTGCCATTGGCAATCTGCGTCAAGGCAAATGCTTGGCGGGGGTCAGTGAAGTCGGGAGGACCTGTGGCCTGACCTTCCAGAGACACGCCTCCCTCAATGGGGACAGGACTCGCCGAATAGATCTTCTGTAAGAAATCGTCCGAGAATGTTGGCAGTCTCATGTTTGGGATTGGCTTCTTCCAGATTGGATGTGAGAAGTTGCAAGCACCATACATGCTGTAGATGCCTGCGACCGGATGCGGAACGCCGAAGCCCAGGCACATAGCCAGCGTGCCGCCGGAAGACGTGCCGAATGCGAAGACGCGTTCCAGATCAGCCATATCGTCCAGCGCACCAGCATGAAGCCATGCGAGGAGGTCTCTACAGTCCTGTATTGGCCCTTCGAGAAGGTCGACCTGGGGACAAAGGCGATGATTTGGAGCAAGCACAATCCAGCCACGGTCAAGACAGTCGTAAACTTGATCTTGGTTGATCATCCTAGCCGAGCCCAGCATGAAAGCGCCGCCATGGATGTTAATGACTGGCATCGTCAGTTCTGAGCAAGTACCATCGTGCAGAGGAATTTGTTGTTCTTACTAACAGGACGTCTATTGGCGTTGCTCGGCACGTAGACATCGACATCGATCTCCTGGTCACCAATGGTCTTGTACACCCTTCTATAGCTTGGCAGCCTGGCCATTGTGGTCTGTTGATATGTACACTGGTCGTTTCGCAGACTCTACTGTGGTGATCGAATATTGCATCGAAGCAGGAACGGAGCACCAATAAAGTCGACCGAGCGGATGCGTCCCGGGATTTCCGGAATATCTGGGGCACGACACAGCCATGGGGAGCCTTGAATAAATGTAGCGGCCCCGCACCAGCTGTTGGACATTCACCTCAGGCAAATGCGCAATAGAAGTCGGAAAGATGGTCGTCCAAACATGCGCAACGCCTCCCAATGCGAGGACGAACTACATCGTCGACCAGTTCGAAGGCGAGCGCATCACAATACCCGGCTCCAAGGGCGTTTTCCGAATGCTCGCCTCTTCCAAACAGACCAATGGCAGCATGGCAATCTTCACGTCTGGCTCCGTGATCGCGGATGCGCCAGGCTTTCACTGGCACGAGGAAGCACACGACGTATTCCTCGTGACCAAAGGCTTCCTAAAACTGTGGGCTGGCGACAAGTGTCGGATCCTCGGGCCCGGAGATTTTGCTTATGTTCCACCTAAAGTCATCCACAACCCTGAACAACTTGGCCCTCATACCGAGCTCCTGGGGCTCGTAGCGCCAGGGGACTGGGTCGACTTCTTCCGATATGTAGGCGAGACGTACGAAGGCGTTCTAACGCCGGAGCATGATGACCGCGACCTCAAGCACGCCTTGATCTCGAAACTTATGGCGGCCAAGGACCGCTTTGACGTGCACTTCTCGCGCGACTATCAGCCGCCAGAGGTTGGTGAATGGCTTGCAGAGGAGAATGTGCTTGGTAAAGCGGGAGAGGCTTATTTCTTGCGGGCGAATACAGGACCGAGATGGGTTCTGGGAGGCGTCATGTCAAGGCCATTCATACTTTCCTCTCAGACGGGCGATAGATTCTCAATCTCGAGCATCGAATCCTCGAAAGCATACGCTCGTTCATCGCTTTCGAGATGGCTGAGTTTCGCCACCGTCGACCACTGTTTCGTGGTAAAGGAAGGTGTCTTCAGCGTCAAGGTCCAGGGCGACGACGAGTGGAGTGATGTTCGAGAAGGGCAGACCATCGTAATTGCTGCTGGTGAGACTTTTATGATCAAGTTCTCCAGTATGTTCGTCAGAATATGGTCGTTTGCGAACGGGAAAGGTATTGAGGAAGTGATACAGCGGGCAGGCAAGGAGTACCAAGGCTATGTGTTACCCGACAAACCCGAGGATTGGGACGAGGGCAACGTCTTGCAGACTTGTTTGGACATTGGAGCGAGCACCACTGCAGACTAGACTAGGCGGCCGGTTGTGAGGTGTCGAATGTCCGGAGAAGTTGTATCAGGTTTGTCAGCCATTTAGCAGCATGGCATCAAACAGCCACTTCTACAACACAGGATACCTTAGGGACTGCTTCCTGGCTTGCTATGTACCTGTTCTGGACGACTGATTCTGTCAAGCATCAGTAGAGGCCTCGACAGCGTATCATCACAGCTTTATCACAGTGTCAGCCTTTCCATCGATTCCTGGGTGTAAACCAATTCTACGAAGAACACCTATGCAACCGGGAGCTCTTGAATCTGCGAACAAGACTTCGAAGAAATATTGCAGTTGATCCAAGCAGCGATAGTTGTATACTTGTATAGTACTCGGCAGCTGACAGTCTGATACTACCATTGTAGCGAAACCATGGAGTCGATGTCGTCGATCACTTGCTGCTCCACATAGCCGTCAGGACCTTCGATTTGAATCAGTCGAGACTGCCGCATCAGGTCCTGGCGAAGTCCAAATTGCCCCTCGCGCGACATGCATATGTGGAAGCGACCTACACTACTATGCCGAGGGTAAGAACGGCATGTTCACCATAGCTCAGCCACTGATATTGGGCCGTGAAGGCGCAGGAGAAGTGGTCGCGGTGGGAAAAGGCGTGACGGGCGTTCGGATTGGAGATCGAGTGGTTGTTGAGCCTCAACGGCCATCCTTCAAGTGCGCAAGCTGCCGACGGGGCCAGAAGAATTTGCGCAGCAAGATGAAATTCGGAGGGCCAGCCAGTAGCAATCCACCAGTTCAAGGATCGTTGCAGGAACTCTATACCCACCCAGTCGAGCTGATGTACCCAGTGCCTAAAGCGATCAGTTTCGTCGTCGTTGGGATGGACAAGCCATTGCAAGAGATCAGCCTGGGAGCAGCCGCTATTCGGGAGGTCGACATCGTGGCCGTCTGGCGGTACGCTAACACATTCCCGACTGCCATTGCGTTACTACAAAGAAAGCAGATAGACGTGTCGTCTCTCATCACCCATCAATTCAGTTACGCAGGACACTCGACACCAGAAGACGTTCCTGGCAGGAAATCAACGCCAGCAAAGTAGTCATAATAATGAAGATGTCCATGACTAGACAGTATATCCTGGTACATCATACACACACAAGGAGAAGCAATATTTCCGTTTCCCACAGCGCAACACCACACACTCGCTCGCTTCGCCATTAGCTCTGACCCCTCGGATCACTGTTTCACACGGCTGATGGTGCTGTACACATCTCATCTGTGCAAAATCCGCCAACTCGCCTCACCCGGGCAGCTACCATTTAGAAGTGGTGGTTCCGCTTGAGATGCTGGTCAATATACCTCCTCTTAGCACCCCCCTCACTCCTTCTAACAACATTCTCCCCACCCCGCGCGGCCAGCATATCATCAAAGTAGCTCCTGACCTTCAACCCACTCTCCCCACTCGTGACCTTCTGCCCACCACCCGCAAAGTAGCTCTTCACATTCTTGCACTCCTTCTGGAACGCATCCTTCGAGGTATACTGCTGCGCATGGATATCATCGGGGCGTTCAACCCACTGCATGGCCAATCCGCCGTCAACGTGCCACACAATGTGGCAGTGCATGAGCCACGCGCCCGGGTTGTCGGACTGGAAGCCGATGACCGTGTACCCTGGGGGAGCGCCGGGGCCGGCGGAGCCGACGAGCATGGCGGTGTCGCGACGGTTGGGGTTGGCGAAGTTCAGTGTGCTGACCAAGCTGGGGTTCCACGAGGTAGTGCCCTGGCCGAGAACGGAGAAGTCGTGGCCGTGCAAGTGCATGGGGTGGGAGGCGAAGAACTGGTTCTGGATGATGAAGTAGTACCATGATCCCTTCTTGTTGAGGATGACGGGGTTGGAGATGGAGTTGTTGCTGATGGAGCCCTGGGCGAGGGACAACAAAGTGGGTTGTTCATAGTCGACTTTCATGGCGCCGTTGTTGAGGAACCAGCGGAAGACGACGCCGTCGTCGGCGGTGGCGACGTTGGCAACGTTGCCGGCGGGGAGGGTGGATGCGGAGGCTTGGAAGGCATCCAGGGAGCCGGCGCCCTTTTCGAGGAAGGGGACGAGGCTGGCGATGGGCTCGTCGGCGCAGAAGGCGAAGTCGGCGATTGTCTTGTTGCCAAAGTCCGAGACTGGGAGGGTCAATGGGGTGCCATCGTACTGGATGATGCCGTTGGCGGAGCCGAGGCCAGTGTTGACGCAGCCGGATGGGCAGCCGGTTTGGGTGACAGCACGGAGGAAGTAGTTGCCAGGAGATTGGTTCATCTCGACAATCACGTCGTAGCGCTGACCGATGGCAATGTTGAGCCATTCAGTCTTGTATGGCTTGATTGGGACGTAGTCGGTTGCGATGACTTGAGAAATGTTAGCAGGGATCGCTCATCGTGGGATGTCAGCTTACCAGTCATCGTGTGCTTGTCGAAATGGACGGACCACATGTTCTGGGAAGCACTGTTGATGAGACGGAACAAGTGCTTCTTGCCGGCTGAACCTTCCACAGGGCGTGCTTGCCACGGGAGAGATCTGGGAAAGTGTTGTGGCCGTTGAGCATGTAGTTCCAGGTAGGACCAGGGCCGAAGTGAGCGATGCGAGCATCTTGAGCAGCAGCAGTCACGACGTTTGTGCCGTTGCCGAAGAGGTCGTCAATCATAACATGGCCCATGTCAAGATCGTAGTTGGCTGTAGCAGGGCCGTGGATGATCATGGGGCCACGGACACCATCGCCTAGCTGAGCAAGAGCATGGGAATGATACCAGCCGGTGCCGTACTGGCTGGCAGCGAACGTGTAGGTACGGGTATCACCAGGAGCAAGAGCGCACTCAGTGACGCCGGGTACACCGTCCTGGTCATTAGTACCCTTCTGAATGATACCGTGCCAGTGGATAGACGTGGCGTTGTTCTGCAGCTTATTGGTAACGGTGATCTGGATGGTATCACCCCAGTTGCACTCAACAAGAGGACCTGGGACCTGACCGTTGATGGCCAAAGCCAGACGAGGAACGCCATCGAAGTCCAGAGTAGTGTTGGTGATGACCCAGTCGTAAGCGCAGATCTTGCCAGTCTTTGGGCCGTCATTGTAGTAGTCGGTGGAGGTGCTGTATCCGCACCACTTTGAGCGGTCCGCAGGGGTATTGTCTGGGCACTGACCATCCTTGAGAGGTGGGAAGGGCTTGGTGCAGTTCGACTTGTCGTCACCTGGTTGCGGGCCGCCCGGCACATCACCCCAGCCGGAGTATGTGGGAGCGGCTACGTTTGTGGGCACAGTCTCACTTGGAGCAGCGTTAGGCCAAGTCCAGACTTCGCCGTCCGTGCCGATAATGCTACCGGGGATGCCAGGGCGGAGGCTGTGAGGACCAGCTGGTGCAACTGGGCTTGACCAGCCAGAACCACCGGCGGGATAGCCAGTACCAGAGGCAGGACTGACATCAGTTGCTTCCCGCCCAGGCCAGTTGTTGTGCAACCGCAGCTGGCAGCTGTGATGGTCTTGGTACGGGTGACGGTGGTCTTGACGGTCACCACAATATCGCCACTGGGCTTGGCCCATGAAGAGGTAGTGGTCGCGCCATCGACGGGTGCGGGTGCGTCGGTCCAGTCTGCGAGGACCGACCCTGCGAGACCCAGGAGGAGAAGGCTGGAGCTCTTCGCGAACTTCATGATGAAGAAATGCTATCTGTATGTGCAAAAGAAAGGACGGGGATTTTGAGCTTGATCCCTAAACAATGTAACGAGAGTGAAGGATTTACGTCCCTTTGACGAAAGAGTGACGGTGGGTGAGGAAACCCGACAAAAAGCAAACTGCCGCTGGTATCGACAGTGAGAAAGAATAGCGAGACAAACCTGTGGATGTGGGTGGAAAAGCAGTTTTGAAGGGAAGCGTCAGCCTTCTCTCGTATCAGGCCGTCTGTCAAGTGGATGGACTCATCTCCATCGGCTCGCTGAGACATCTTTCTCCTTGGACCTTACCTCATGAGAGTTGGAGCCCTTCGTGTATGGTTGGGTACGTGAGTGTGCTCCGCGTACGATCGGCCCGTCGTCCACTCTGTTGCAGTCTGGAGCACCGCCCGCAAAAGGATGCAACTCTCAACGGGCAGGGGAAGCGAAGAAGCAATAGCGTTTCGACAACAAGCATCAATTCGGTTGTAGCTTAACTTTGACTAATGAGTGGCGACGCGGGCGGCTTGCGATGCCAATTTCGTGGAGATGTGTCGATAGACGCTTCCACTGTTTCGTTTGAGGAAGACGACTTTGGCTGCAGCATCCCTCACATGAGATTATTGTTCTCTGGTCCGGGGCGTCGACTTCTAGGTCACTTGTCAACCTGTCATCACGATGATTGTGACGAGAAGCTCAGTACTCACCTGATGACCTGCCTGCCTTTTCCACGGTCACGGCACCCTTTTGCCGTGATCTACACACGAGTTGCACCTTCGTGTACGAGGAGATTGGCGAAGCGACCTGTAGTGTCAGTGATTAAATTTGGTTGGACGAGAGGCTGTCGCCGGTGGGTATCGCACAGGTGGCTGCGGCTATTTCGAGCTGCTACCCCTGTTTGAGATGAACTTGTGATGGGATTCAGGAGGTGGGAAGAAGGATCAAGGTTTACCAAGCTCACCGCTTGACGATGCCAAATTTACTCTTGTTTTTCGTCTGTGCTGTGCATCGTGCTTTCAGCCTGCAATTTCTTCTTCTTTGTTGTTGATCATTCGAGTGTTCAATTTCAAGGCAGACTTCGTTGTTGGGGCCTGGAGGGATCCTAAACGATGCGCAAGAAATATCTGACACTGATGTGCACAGTCGTCTACCGAAGATTTTCGCTGCATTTGGTCAGGGGTTGCGCGACAAGCAGGGATGCTCGGTTCAGAGATCGTTAGAGTTCGGTACCTGCATCGACACGCGCTTTCCAGGCGATCTCGGAAACACGAGCTGCGCGTTTGGGTGTGCCTGTTCGGTTGCACTCGTAGTCGAGCTTGCTGGATGCCGAGCGAGCAGTCCATTTACCTATATTATTGTAGCTTCAGCTGTCCAGAAAGTACGTCTCGCGCCTGCTTTCGTGTTCGTGATTTTGTTCAGAACGTTTTGCAGATGAGCGCGCTTAGTTCCACGATCGCTGCAGCTCCTATTGTCAGTAATCTTTGGAACTGGCGTGACTGTTTCTGAACGCAATTTCGGATGTGCTTGTTGGTCTGCCAGGCGCAAATACGGCGACGACGTACAGCATGCAAGGTGTATCGTCGCAAAACCTGCAGCCAGGCTTCAAGCAAGACGAAGACAAAAGTGTGAAGTCCGAATGTAAAGTGAAGGACTGGAAGCTGGGGTCATCAGATGTCATGTTTGCTTCCAAGTAAGGGATGCCGTCAACCATGCCTGAGCTATCAATGGTATTGTTCGAGGCTTTTCTATTGTTTGGACTGCACGTCCCTTGCAGCGGCTTGTGACATCGTCATCGTCATTCGCGGCTTCCGCGTAGTTTGTCAAGCCCGATTGGCGTCTATTCATCTAGTCCAGCTTCTGAGCTGGTCTGTAGTCTATACTCTGTACAATGCGACCCAGCGTAGTAGCCAGTCCACTCCTCAACGTTTCAATAACATCCTTGACCAGCATCATAGGTATACTCAAGTCCGGGTCACTTGCCAACCCTCTGCCCAGGCGACGCATATTATGGTAGAAGAACTGAATCCCAAGCCCGCTGCCCACAACTTTGATGGGAATGGCATTAGCAAACCACTGCCCTTTGACAATGTGGCTCATGGCTATCGCGTCCGAGTCAGGCACGGCTGGATTGAGCAGTGTCTTCCGCGGCAAAGTCGGTTCAAGCACAGCGCTCCTTCCCAATCCAATGAGATCCGTGACGCCAGACTCGATGCCGTCTGCCATCCCGACTCTGCTTCTGTATCCGCCACTCAATTGAATGGGAACATACCCCTTTGAGCCTGCAGCCTGCAGCTTCTGCACCTCGTCCGCGAAATCAGAGAAGAATGCCTCGCGAATACGCGTAGTTGCCTTCCGCTCCGGCGCACGATCCATGGTCTTGGCGCCGAAGGAATTGTGCAATTTGGATGTCGTGTTTTCTGCATTGCCGCAGCTGATCTCGATCATGTCAACCATGCCGCTTGTTATCAGCCAGCGCACCTGCTCTAGACCTTCGCTCGTCTGAAGACCTTGTCCGTCGGCCATGTAGTCCGCCGAGTTGAGCTTGACGGAGACGCAGAATGGAGGAGGAAACTCCTCGCGAATCTCGGTCACGAGGCGCTTCAGCAAAGCCATGCGTTTCTCGGGCGAGCCACCGTACGTGTCTGTGCGTTGGTTCGTGCGTGGTGACAAGAATTGTGAGAGCAGGAAACCATGGGCTCCATGAAGTTGGATGCCGTCGAAGCCCGCCGCATGAGCCACGCGAGCGCCATGCCTGAACATGCCCACAACTTCATCAATCTCTTCAAGCGTCATGGCCTTCGGCGTCCCCAGGACCTTACTCATAACGAATTTATTCAGCATCGAGTCAGCCCCAGGCAACGCGACCGGCACCGCAGACGGACACATCGCCGGCATATTACCCGGCCTCTCCCCAGCACCCGCGGGGGACATGCGTCCCGGATGCGCCAGTTGCACAATACACCGCGTACCCTCCCCACGGGCGACTCGCGCCCATGCCTTCCATCTCTCGAGATGGGGAGCCTCGAGCGACTTGGAATGGCACACGACGTCGCCTGCAATGGACAGGAAGCGAATATCAATCTGAACTTGGCCTGTGATGATGAGGCCGTAGTTTGCTGCTGCCCATTCGGCGTAGAGGTTGTTGAAGGATGGTACAGGCGGGTCGTAGAATGGAGCTTGTGCTAGGGTCTCTTGCATTGGGCATTTCACGAGACGGTTCGGGAGAGTGAGGCCGCATGGGAGGGTTATGGGGGTCGCGAGGGTTGTTATTGCGGATATGTCTTGGGCGGCAGCCATCCTTGGGGTGTGATGTGGGTAGTCAAAGCCGTCTTTTGGGGTTGCGAAGGCGTATCACAGCAGGTGTCGTATAAAGAAGCATACCTAGGTAGACAGGCAGTATAACGGATTGCCTTTACCACAACACTAGCAATGACATAGTGCCATCTTGGTTGAATTCACAGGGCCGCTGGCCCGGACGATGACCGCCGCGGAGTTGAGCAGTATCTGCAGCGGATTCAACATCCTTGAAGATGGCATTGGTCGATCGAGTCGACCAGACGTGCTCAATTGCAGATAGAATGGGGGAGATGTGGTCACGACGATAAGAGAGCGAACCCTAGCATGATGACATGGGAAGATAAGGCATAGGATTCTGCCAAGCATTGACGTAGCAGCAACGCGGTCCGGCAGCGGGAGTCGTCTACACTAGTACAGGGCTGTTCGTCTCACCAGGCAACAGCGGATGCTGCGGTGGCATGACAGTAAGTACTGCTTCTTCATGTAAGCGTTGAAGAGAAAGAAGACGATGTCGAGGGCAAGACCAATACTTATACCTCTTCGACCGGGCACAGATCCGCGGCAATCCGAAATGAGGACTTGACTGATCCACCCGAATACATTCACTACTTCTAATATGGAACTCACTTCGTGCTCGCAATCGAAGTTTGCAATGTTCCATCTTTGTCATTACACATTAGACATTCACACCAACAAGGACGAAGTCGAAGACACCAACAAGGACGAAGTCGAAGACACCAACAAGGACGAAGTCGAACGCAATAGCAATATGTCCCGAGAAGAAAACTCGGGTTTTGGCACGGTCAGCTAAGGAGATACCTGCGTCAGATATTTGGCTCCCGTGACCGCCAACTTCTCCTACCGCAATATCATTGCAAGAGCGGCCACTTGCAGGCTTTGCCACATGCCTGGTGCTCCATTGCAGGACGTTTGTCTTCACACCCACGAGGAGCATCTGGTGACTTAGCTGTCCCTCGCCGCCTTCTGAGAGGTCTCTCAGTCTTGTGTCTCGTGATGAGTTTCCGCATCCACTCGTGAACAAGTAGATACACTACGCAGCACAGCACTCGGACCTGAACCCACGCGTCGAACAGTGAATGCGTCCTGGATGAGTCATAAGAGTCATCGTTCCGCAATTGCCTCTGATCTTCACTGCGTCGATGAGGTATAAGTAGTCGAGTTCCCCCAACTTCTTCTTTCCTTTCTTCCTCTCATCCCGGGCATAATTCCACAGCCCCATTGCCATGCCAAGATAGCAACTGCTGCTTCTGGGTGGGGCGAACTTCCATTGTCCGACGATCTCAGTTGTCGTCGAGGCCGGTGCAGATAGATTCCTGAGGTCAGGCTCTGAAAGCATCGCTTCTGGTCAGTCATGCATGTCCAACACATCTTGTCCAAATGTATGCGAAGTTCTTCGTCCGTCCGAAAAGACGATACGCTACTCCTCAGAGTGATTTGTTGCCAGGGTGATCACCTTCCATTGAATCGTGTTCCGTTGACGCCAACGCCACCTTTGCCAAGCTCCGACGCAACCACAGCAGCCTCGCGCACACCCCTTGAGATCGTCCCTCTAAGGCGACCTTCCTCCAGCACAAGCAGGCCACCAATCGTACACCCGCCCGGCGTGCTGACCTTCTCTCGAATCAATGCAGGGTGCTCTCCGGCTTGAACCATGCCAGCTGTTCCACGCATAGTCTGTGCAGCCATGAGCTGCGCTTCTGCGCGCGGAAGACCCATAGCCACAGCACCGTCTGCCAGTGCTTCGAGCATGAGGGCGAGAAACGCTGGTCCGGAGCCACATAGCGCAGTGGAGACGTCCATGTTCGATGGCGGAAGGTGAACGACCCGACCGATGCGAGTGAAGATCCACTCGACCAATTGTGACTGCTCTGGAGCCAGCGGTGGTGATGGTGTGGCGAGCACAGTCATAGACTCTCTGATGACAGCAGCAGTATTTGGCATCGCACGGATGACTCTGGTGGGATTGCTTTGCGGCTCGCGCGCAAGTATCTCCTCAATCTGCTGTCCTGTAACGCCGGCAAGAATCGAGATGAGCAGTTTGCCCTCCAGCGCTTTCCTCATGCCAGGCTCTGAAAGGATGTCGGATACCATGTATGGCTTACATCCGAGGATCACGACATCTGCTTGCTCAACACCCTTCACGTTCTCGTTCTGCAGGACTGTAACGTTGCCGGCTGCTGCTGAGAAGCCTGAAACTGCATTCCTGACGCGCTTTGCGGACTCAGGCCGTCGCACGCAGCCGATGAAGCGAGTCGGGGTTCGAGATGGTGTGGATGGGCCGTCGCCAGTGGGAGTGGCAGTACCTGAGTCTGGGTATGCTGGAGATGGAGCTGTTGACGGGTGATGTGATATCGATGACAGGATTCCTGATAGTATTGCTATGCCCAGAGTCCCGCACCCGAGTACTGTGAGGGTCATTGGAGGAGACTTGCCCATGACGGCGAGATTACCAGATGTGTTGAATCGTAGAGGCGCGGATGTCGTGTCCATGGTATCCAAACAACGTGATCCAAGAATAAGGGTGTAGGGTCCCTGCTGGGAGAATTGGCGGATGTTGAGAAGGGATATTGTCGTCGCAATTTTTGGGATATGCAGAATTGGTGAAGATACCCCAGATTTCGAAGCCGAAATATTTTGAAGTCAGCAGCCTTGCGAGATCGGCTCTTGCTCAGCAGCCAATGGAAGTACCGGAAATGCGGAGCCTTGTTTCCTGCGTCTTGTCCTCCGGTCTTCTGCAATGCAAAGAACATCAGCTGAACACCTCTCGTCAATATCACATTGGGACTCCCATATGAGCACTTGGCCACTGCGCATCTCCTGATAGCACGCATTAGATCCGAAACGACGCCTGTACACTGAGGAGAACTCATCATTTCCATCATCTCTACGAGACACGACGTGAAACCCTACCTTCATTGATATTCACACATACCAGCGTATCTTGCTCACACTCACGTCTTTCGACACACGCCTGCGGTGCACAAATCGGCCGGACTCGATTCCCTCTACCCTTCTCAACACTCTCGCCTCTGGCGCAACATTCGCTCTGCGCACTTCTCCCTATCTTCCCGCGGCGCATCAGTTCGCTCGCTCACCCACCGTGCCGGTGGACGGCTGCCTGGGACAACCTTCGATTCCCCAGGCCTACGGCTCGCTACCTCACCATGGCAGACCCCTTCGAAGTCCGCATGCGCTTCACCACCCTCCTCTCGCACCTCTCCGCCTCCACCACCTCCCAAATCAAAGCCGCGCACTATGCCCTCAAACACCGCGACATGGACGAAGACCTCCATTCTTGCATCCTCGAGAACCTAGAGCAGGGCAAGAACAACATGAATAATAGGGCCAACATCATGTATTTCCTCGAGCACCACGCAGATGTTAACCTGCGAGAGGGCGGACATAGCGCGTATCTGGACATGGTGAGGCGGGATCTGGGGAGGATAGTGGACAGTGTGGCGCAGAGTGGGGCGAATGTTAAGGTTGCGAGGAGGGTGGTGGGTGTTTTGAGGGAGAAGGGGGTGTTGCCGGCCAAGATGGTGGAGGGGATCGAAGTGGATCTGAAGGTGAAAGAGGAGCAGATGGGCGATCTATTGGAGCAGGAAAACACGGAAGCAGCGCTGGAAGCAGTGGCCGAAGCGCCCATGGAGGGTGTTGTTCTCAACGAGAAGGTCACGCCGCGGCGGGAGAGCAAGTCAGCCACCAAAAGAGAGATCACAGAGCGAGATCGGAAGGCGATCGAGCAGAGGATAGAAGAGGACAGAATGCGCAATAAGAGGTTGCGCGAGGATGTCTGGGCTGTCAGTGGGGATGATGATGAAGAGCTGGAGAAGATGTGGGAGGAGGGGAGTGATGTGGGTGAGGACGACTATGTCATTGCGCAAGAGGAGGCCGAGGAGAGGTTGACGTTTGCGAGGTATCATCGCGCTACATTTGAGTCTGCGTCTACCTAGCAGTGGACGTCGACCTGGGATCCATGATTTCTGGTATCGACATCTCGAATGCCCCTCGTGGACCTCGGAGCACTCGCAACCCGGGCTACTACGATAAGCGGAGGTGGACGAACCACCAGGCTTATCGCTATAGGGAATAGATGGATCGGAATCGCAGAGCAATCCCGGCCACTAGGTGCGATGGGGCATCTCATTATGCCTTCACCCGCTTAGAATGAGCACCATCGCTCTCGCCATGCTCATCTTCTTCATCATCGATTACTCTCCGCTTTCGAGCACCAGACGAACCACTTGGGCCAGCACCATTTCCATTCCGAGCCTCTTCCTTCTGCAGGCCGGTGGAATAAAGCAACAGAAGACCCTCAAACTCGTCCTCCTGCCCATTGGCAGTATCGTCCATTTTCGACCTCCGCTCGTCCTCATCCAGCTGGAGCAAGACATCCTTGTTCTTCTTGTATATCCGCTGCTTCAACAGCACTCTCCACCAATAGTACGCCCGGTCATCTGGGTTGGCTGCTCTGGGGCCTTTAATCTTGAGGGCAGTCTTGGAGCCACCTCCCGAGGACCGATGCGAGTAGGCGATGTTGGCGAGGAGGTAGAGCTCTGTGAGGCGGGCAAATTGGCGAGGCGCGATCTTGTATTGGTGGCGGATATCTTTGAGTGTGTCGCGGGGAAGTAGCTTTGCGGTCGGCACGGTATGAATACTGCCTCGTGCTGCCTGGATGAATGGTTCTGTGTCGAGCTTGATGTCGTGCTTCTCGAATTCTGGCCGCAGTCTCCTGAAGTCGCAGACATCTCTTAGCTTGTCGAACTCCTCACTCGGGTCTTCGACGGTCAATTCGGTTATGGTGGAATCGGCGAGTGCCTCGTCGTAGATGGCATAGTATAGCGCAGCGCCATGACCTGCTCTCTGGTACTCTGGGAGGATGAGGAATTGCGATATCCGCAGTCTCGAGGGTACCTCTTGTGCAGTCAACGGTTTCGTGGGTGGGAATGGTTCGAGGAAGTCGGATTTGTTCGCAACAGACTTCTGTTCCGGAGATCGCAGCTGAAGTCGGTAGAAGCGGTAAGTTGTCGAGTAGCCCACGAAGCTGTACGGTGATGCCTTCGGGTTGACTTCTGGTGCAGCTCTTTTGTAAGCGACATACACTTTCCATCGATTCAGCGTCCATTCGACATCGTCCAAGTCCAGATGCGTGCCACCTTCTATGAACATCGTGATGAGAACCTGTATGTTGCCTACCAAGGTCTTCATCCGTGGATCGGAGAGCGAGGCTGCCCATATCTCGTATGTCTCGCCGTTCCGGCTGTACTCTGAGATGCGCTCTCCGGGTGGCTTCCACGATGGCAGATCTGGATCATTTTGTAGCGCTTGCTCCAAGCCTTGCTCGAAAGCGATGGGTGGTAGAAACTCCCTCAGTGACTCGTTGAGATCAGTAGCTTTAGTGTCACCGACGGTCTTGAACTTCTTTCCGTACGATATCTGCAGGCTCGGTCGCATGTCATGCGCCGCAAACTTGAGATCGATCTGGAGGTCTTTGTAGCCGAATATCTGTTCTGCTTCGCCGAATATGGGGTACGTGAACTCGGGATGAAATTTGTGCGCCGGCGGTCCGCCTGGCGGCTGGATCAGAGACAGTGTGCATGCTTCGTTGGAGCTGACTGACCACTCCTCGGAGGCGCCCTCCATGGCGTCGGTCGAGATGGGAGATCAGATGCGCAGCAATGAGGCAGCGTTCGTAGACAACGTCGCGAACTGTAGGAGACGAGGAGACGAATTGGCTACAGACGAGAGCAATGTCAATGTCAACGAGAGTGCGACGTGGTCCAACAACCTTCAATAGAGATGGCAGTGATTGTAAGTGAAGACTTCATGAAATGCGACGATGAGGTGAGTTCCACAGGCACTCCAACTTGGGACGCGATTGCCCTTTCTCCGCGACGCGTTGAAGCTTGGCATTTGATATGGGCTTCTACTTCCATCTTCGCTCGTGGATCACATCTTACAAGTAAGCTATCGAGGTGGCGCATTGGTCCTTCGGACTGTCACCGCTGTACTCGAGGCACCATGGGCTATTCCACAGCTCAAATCACCACGCGAAACCGGTTCAGTGACGCTCCTAGGAGGCTACTCCGACTATTGATCAGTGAAAGCCGGGTCAAGACGATTCCACGACTGCGATCGCGAAGCCCCAAGCCCACATGTTGAGATGACCACTGAGTTGATGTTCTTCTCGATCCACTCAATCCCACAGATCCCATGGCATCCCTCAAACATGGTTGGCGACACTGTCCGACATAGCACTGACAAGATCGTATAAGGTGTTCCTTGTGCTTGAGTGAACAGTTCCCTAGGTCGGCCTTCACCCATCCTGTCTCCGCTCTCATAGTTCGATGGATCACGTCTGTCGACCATGTGTATGCACGGCATGGTGTTCGACGGCCACCAGCTTTGTCATTAGTAATCTGCAATGCACAGCGACGATAGCGCAAGCGGATTCCATATGTGTCAATGCGTTGCGACTATCAATCTAGTCTGCGTGCCGCTGACTGGACCGCGACTCGCTTCTGCTGCGAATAACTCACTGACCGCTGCAAACAACCTCGTCATCCCATCCGCAGGCGGTCACACAACTGCTGTCAAGATATCATTGCCACGCAGGCCGCGCAGTCTTGTGACATGAGGGCCTGAGCAGTTCGTGAAACCAACAACTGCAACTTGAGTGCACGGCAGAGCCAGATTCATGTGCGCTCGTCAACGAAAATGCGGATGGCTAAGGAAATGGAGATATGGGGAGGGGTCGTGAACTCCAGCCGATCCAGCGACCATCTCCTCTCTGGTCGTAGCCAAAGTTAGGCCTGACGATACCTTCATCGTGAGTGGCTCAAACAGCCGTCGCCGGCAGCACTCGGGGCGAGAAGCATCGAACGTCGCCATTCGATGTCACAACATCTCTTGACCCAAGGCCTTGTTTCTGTTGACGTCTGGATCCTGTCGTTCATGCACAGGATTTTACCTTCATTCAGCTTGTCACACCTGGAGGCGTACAAGACTCATGACGAGCCGAACAAGCTTCTCAATGTTCAACTTCTATTCAATGCACCACCGTTGAGGAAAAGGTCGACAAGAACCACGAAAATCGATAGGCCACTTCCTCACACAGACTTCATTTGACCATTCCCGTGATGGGCGAGGCCAGTGACCGACCAACATGACTTCGATCAGCGCCAACGACGCACAGCTCGGAAACTATGTCTGCTCGTCTACCTCATTCCTCTTACTATCTCTGCGACTCGTCCTGACCCGACATCGCGACAAGAAGTTCGGCTTCGGTTCTCTATTGACGGCAACGTCAATGCTAGTGCTTGTTGCGCGAGTTGTCATCGTATACTACTATCTGCATTATGGCACCTCACAGGACTACCTTTTCTCGAAAGGTCGAGAGAGTTTCACGTCGCCGCCTGATCTTGACAACATCCGCGTGGGGAGCATACTGGCGCTCGTATCGCGGATGCTAATCACCACCTTCTACTGGTTGCAGATATGTCTCTTGCTGCACTTCTACTCAGCCATGGTGCGTGAGTTTCACTGGGTCAACACTATCAAGGCATGCTGGGTAGCTATTGTTGTTTCGTACATCATCGTTGTGGTCTTGACGTTCGCTGAATGTAGGTGTCTCATCACCATGTACCGCAAGTCTGGCGCTGACAATGCCACCAGGTCGCCCTTTCCGCCTCTACTGGCAAGTCACTCCAAGTCCAGGAAAGTGCGTCCAAGCATACGCCCAGCTCCTGGCTCAAGGCATCTGCAATATCATCCTCGACCTGTTCCTCCTCGCCATATCTTGGCCACTGGTCGCTGTTCGGTGCACATTGTTGCAAAAACTACGTGTGGGAGCGCTCTTCATCATCGGAACCTTCTGCATCGTCACCACATGCATACGAATAGCATACATCTACGCCGACGACTCTCACCAGCCAGTCCGTAGCTTCTGGGCGTCTGTCCAGATGTTGGTGTCGTGCTTTGTGGCCAATTCTCCGACGATATATGGATGCTGGCAGGTCTCAAGGCGACGGAAGGCTGATCAGAGGTTGAGGAGGATTAGCAGGCCGGAAGAGTCGTGGACGACATTGTATTCGCCAGCTTCTAGTAATCGGCCGCTTCCGTTGCCGTCGCCGCCGGCGGCTGCGTACGATGGCGGAAGTGAGAATCGGTGTTCGATGGTAGCAACTCGTGGTGATGAGAAGGTGTGGGCGCGACATGTTCCGTGAGATCGCAGTCTGCGAGACGGTTCTCGCAGCGGGTGGAAAGATTTACCTGAGGCACAGCACCTTGACTCCTACTTGACTTCCACCTCATGAGACACTCGCTCTTCAGGCTATCGAAAACCGACTCTTGGCAAGTCTTCGACCGCACAACAATGCACCAAGTTGTGCACCGCTAGCACTTGTCAGCATTCTTTGCTTCGACGTCCGCAACTACGCACTGACACCATGTAAGCGCTCTCCGGTGTTCGAGGCATACTGCAGCTAATCCTCGTCATATAGCGTCACAGGAGTCGTGACAACAGATGGACCTGTGAGGATCGGCGCTGAAGAGAGCGCTTGCGCAACAGCACTGTTTTAAATCCAAGGTCCAAGACCTAGTTCCAATCACCTCGATCGCTTCGTAGGCTTGCAGCCTGAGCACCTCTTGCCAACGAAACTTCTTATCATCCAGTCAAGCACGATGAACAAGCCGGCCTACGTCGTAGAGCGTTTTGAAGGTCGCCCTGCACACCTGGAGCAGTTCCTTCGGCAGCTACAGCAAGATCAGACAGCCAATTACACTAAGCGCACCTGTTCTCCGAGTACCACGGGTCCGACCAGCAAGAGCAACGCGATCGCTCATGAGACAACACGATTGCTGAATCTTCCACAGGAGATCCTGAACGAGATCTACCGGCGACATTTCGAGGGCATCATCCTCAGGCCATGGAATGCGGACTTCTCAGTAGACGGCCTTGACCACGGCGACTCGCGCCTAGCACTGCTACTTCTGTGCAAGTCTCAGAAGCAGGCTATACATCAAGTCCTCATCAATTGTGCAACAATCAAGATGTACAGCGAGTTGCATGTGGCAGCTTTTGCTATGGGAAACGCCACCGTCGACAGAATACAGAATCTCCAAGTCTGCGAGCGAGTGATGAGACCGCACGGGACGCCTTTTCCTCTCATGAGCAAAGCCCTGCTCAAACTTCCGAATCTCAAGTCGCTTCAGATAAGCATGGGGGATTTTGAAGTCGACATGAAAGATGGGGACTTCCGCATCGAGAACTCTATTTACGAATTCTACTTCCAGCATACCACCTTGCTGGGAGAGATGCGTGATCCATGTCGAGATCTGAGGGAGGCAGCCGCCAAGCTGGAGGGTCATTCTCTGTGGCTGCACGACTTGCTACTTCAGTCCGATGGACTCAAGATCACTGTAGATTTTTCCTTGCGGTCAGGGGCAAATGCTCAGCTCGCCGCATCTGTGCCAGGCGATTTGGAAGTCTTCGATGTACCTGTGGAAATCTCATATGACTCATGGACGCTGACTGGAACACACAAAGGCAAAGCTTTCTCCGTCCCTCAGACCAGCCTCGAGGATTCAAGCCATGTCGCCCAAGACCGCGGTGCATTGCTGCATGTTATGCATCGTCATGCCGAATGCGAAGACGAGGTGTTTCTTTTTCTCAGACATTCCACTGTGCACAGGATCGTACGTGGATCTCTTTGGCTTAATGCAGGATAAGCACTTCCCCGGAAAGGCGCCTGTACCGCAGAAGACCCGGCTCAAGCGTCTTGCATGGGAGGTGGGTGTCGTTCTCCTGCCGGGGTCTGGATGCGGCTTCTGCGGCTTCTGCGGCAGGTACGATGTCGTACCGGACCCTGGGTACCGCTTCTGCGGCGGATGTGACACAAAGCTGGAACAGCAATGGCATATTTGGCGAAGAATTCTGCGGGTCGAAAACTCGACAGTTCTCAAGCGACCTTGGAAATCTGTGTATGGCCTCATTGCAAGCTTCGTCGTGGAGGCGAAGGGAGGGCTGACAAATGGATGGAATGATGGATCCTGGCTGGGATTCGACGAGCAGGAGCATTTCTTCACACGCTTGTTTGATCCGGAGCTGGAATGGGTGAGCAGATAGACTTGTCAGCTCGTCAACATCTGGCAGCCAATGGTTGTGGTTGGACAGATACCGCCACTTGCAGAGCCCGCCTGGAAGTTGTCCTTGAGACCACAACCAGTCCACCTTCTCGACCGGCGACGTTGAGGCAAGTGAAAGGGGGAATCGCGACGCAGTATGGCGTCCTCAGCAGGCGGCGAGGATGGATCGGCGAGCGGTTCCGCAAGGTTCTATCGATACCACTGACTCACACTTTCAAATGCAAACGGTATTCACCGACGAACAGCGAGATTCACTTCGAGGCACAGTGAATGGCTTTCAGTCACTTCGAGCGATGTTATGAAGCTATCTAAACCCCAGCTGCTGTCCCAACTTTTCACTAAACGGTTCATCCTTCTCTTCAGCGAATTTTGTTGGCTCTCGCAAAGGTTGAATCCGTGACTACATACTGACTCGAAGTAAGTCGTCATGGATGTTTAGGGCACGTCACCGCTGATCCTCGTGGTGTGACGCACGTTCGAGAGGGAAAGGAAAAGGGCAAGCCGCTACCGAAGACCGAGAAAGGCGTCAAATCGAGCTTGAATATCTTCTCACAACTACCTCGATCTCTTGACAGCTTCGAAATATCTTCATACCCTGCCAACCGATCAATCTCATCGTCCCGATAAGCAAGATGGATTTTTTGTCCGCACTTGCAGCGCAAATTCGTCGTCGACTCCCTTTTCTTCATGCCAGACGCCACCTTCTAGACCTCCCACAAGAGATCCTGAACAACATCTATCATCAATACTTCGATGAAATCGTCTTGCGGCCGTGGTCCGCGGACAATCCCCACAACGTAGCCGAGCACAAGGTGCAAATTGGCAGCTCACGCCTAGCTCTACTGTTCCTATGCAAGTCTCAGACTCAGGTCATACATCAGGTACTCATGGCTTGCGCGACGATCTTATTTGATTGTGAGTGTGATGTGGCAGCGTTCGCCCTAGGTATTAGTCGCGTGGACGGCATACAATCCCTCCAGATGTGTTATGATGTGCTGGGTGCGCCATTCTTACTCATGAGCAAAGCTCTACGCAAGTTTCCGAACCTCAGATCGATCCACGTCGAGGATGGCGGCAACATGGAGAACTTCTCGGACACAAAATCCGGATTTCTCAGCCAGATACGGGATGCTTCGCCGGATTTGAGCCGTGCAGTAGCTAAGGCAGTGCCTGGGTGGCGACGTTGGCTGCGCGACTTGCTCAACGGACCTGATGGCATCAGGGTTACGGTGGATTTCTGGCTTGTACCACCCATCGATGACGCTCTGGAGACGTCTGCTCGAGCTGTGAGTTTCTCTTCAGGCACGCAGACGCTGACTGGAACATATCACGGAGTCCGGTTCTCCCTGCAACAGCAACTTGTACCTGCGAATGGTCGCCAAGAGGACGTCATGCAGGATCATACTGGGTCTGAAAGTGAGGTGTGGTCGGTTGTTCGCGACTATTTCTCGGACGTCAAAATCAGTCCCGGAGCATATCTTTCCCTCTTCACAATGATGGACCGCACACGCGGGTATAACTGGAACTTGCGAAACGAGTGCGCCAATCTCCTTCCTTGGGCAATCGGTCGAGTACTTTTGTGCGAAGGCGACTGTGCTATCGTTTCCTGCATAAACGCCTACGACGACGACGATGATGAACTCCTAACATGGCTCAGTCGTGCCAAACCGTCCCCGGAAGAGCTCTGGCAACTCTGGCGACGAATACTGCGAGTACAGAACCCTCTGGTTCTCAAACGACCATACAAATCTGCCTATTTGCTGGTCGACAGTATTACGGATCTGGTCCAGTACGATGTTCATCATGAGTACAATTTTCAACGAGAGGACGGCTGCACAGGCGAGGTGGTCTTCGACGTGGAGGAGCACTTTTTCCGGCGCCTCTTCGACCCGACTGTGGATTGGATGACTGAGTAGAGACCAGCGAGCTCAGGCTGCACTGGCTGCGAGTGGAGAGAGGCCAACTGCACCGCTGACTGGCTAGCTGTTGTGCGGTCACCGCCCGAAGCCAATGCGCCACCTACATAACCAGCTGCTGGGCTCAATTGAGGCTGATCCCTGGGCGAGAAGCATCCGAACTCCGAGGGCGAGGGGAAAGGACGAGAGCAGCACGATGAAGCATGCCTTGCTGATCATTCAGCGACGGAGACGCGTCGGCGGGAGGTAGCACAAGGTTCTATCCGATGCGGGAGCATGCTTGTCGGTGCAGACATATCTCGACATAAGGATTGCATGAAGGCCATTCGATAGCTATTCACGTTCGGGCTGTCCTGTATTCGAGGCTCCAAGTGGTCGGACTTACAATGAAAATGCATCATACACTGATAGAGTAATGACATTATACCAAAGGTACGTATGTGCTCTCGACAATATGAGCTCTAACTCCAAAGACTGATGCTTCGCTAAAGTGGTATGACTGCTAAGGTATCAAAAGGCACACGTCCCTCTTGTGCCACGGCTGTAGTAACGAATCAAGATATACTGGGGACTCTGCTGAGGAGGACCAAAGACCCAGACAATGTTGAAGTCGTGCCGGACGCGAGATGATGCTGGTGTTCAATGCCATGAAGATGATGTTCTTCTTGCTCCCAGCGACCGGGCAGTAGGCAATTCAAGACAGCCTTGAGGTTGCTATCCCGCTCGCTCCGATATTCATACCGCAAGGTGCTCTGCAGGAAGCGGAGGCACCTCTGGTATAGCCTCGCCTGGCTCCCCCAGCCCGAGACCAACACTGAGCTCCGCAGAGCTGTTGTTCGGACTCCTGCCCAACGGACTTCCATTGTCGCGGTTGTTGGCGTCGCTCAGCGCCTTCTCGCGACTCATCTTCGCTACGTGCATCTTCGAAGGGCTGCCTATCGGACTCGCCAATGCCAAACTCTTCGCTCGGGCGTGCAACTTCCGCTCCTCCTCACCACTCCAGTCTTTCGAGAGCTCCGCTCGCACGATCTGCGCCCAGGACCGCACTGCGTTCTCGAAGCCGGTCCACACGCTGTCATCGTCTTTCAGGTTGGCGAGGCCCATGATGTCGAACTTGAGTTTCGTTTCCCATCGCAGCTCAGCCGCTTTGACCCAGTACCGGAGATTGTCGGCTCGACGGTATGGTTTCGCGATGTCGTTGTGCCAGTGCTCGATGAGGTGGAATTGCCGTTTCGATTCCTTGACTGCAATGTTGTGCATTGCGGCGAGGTCGCGGCCGTCGGAGAGCTGTCGGAAGAAGTCTGAGCCTGACGCCAGAGACTCGGATCTGGGTAATGACTTGGCTTTCCTGAAGAGGAACTGCAAAAACGCCATATCTCGCACGCCCTCATCGATGCCAAGCCACTTGCGGTCGTCCATCCAATCCCAGTCTTTCCGCTCCTTCTTTTCCTTCTCTTCCAGTTTTGCTTCTTTGTCGATCATGGCGCCGACTTCGCTCACCCACACCAGGACCTGTAACCGCTCGACTTCGGAGAAGCCCCCTTCGAATTTCCGTGATGCGCTTTGTCGCAGGACTTCGAGGACGTTGTATAGCTCTTTCCGAAGTTCTGAGGGTGATCTAATGGCGTTAAGTCGTTGCGGGTTGGGATGTTGGGTATAGTAGTCTCGTGCTGCTTTTATGGCTAGTGTAGTCGTGTCGAGGATGTGCAGGCCTTGAATTTCGTAGAAGCCTTGTGTTGGGGCCTCGTCTGGGTCGTAGGCTGTCTTCTCGCAGGATTCGATTGCTTGTAGGGCGTTTTCCAGCGCTTCGACCAATTCGCGTTTCAGCGACTTCTGGTCGGGTAATGGAGTGAAGTCTTGCGGTCGGTGGCTGTATGTCGAGACAGTGGGCGGGAGCATGATGTCGTCGCCGTCTTCCTGCATTGCCTCCCACATCATCTGGGCCTCCTCGTCGATCGGGGAGTCCGAGAAGTCGTTCTTGGGTATGTCATACTCGCCGTTCTTCTTCTTTTTCGCCAATTGTCCGCCTTTCCCATCGAGCAGACCAGTCCGTGCGAAGTAGTACTGTAGATGCGCTATACTGCCCAAGCTCATCACGCTTTCTCGTTGCTGTGCGGAGGGGGCGAAGTTGACGCCCTGTGGTCGGACATATCCTCGTCTTCTTGCTGTGGACCCTGAACCTGACACGGACCTTCTGGAATTTGACTCATTTGACTGGCTGGATATTGATGATACACCTGATACTGATCTGTTCTCCGAGAAGCATGAGGCGGTCGGTGTGGGTAGGAGGCTGGGTGAAGTCGAGGCAGAGGTCTGTGACACCGTCGTTGCCAGTTCTAGCTCTCCAGGCATCGTGGTGGGACGTTGGTGTATGGCGCTGATCAACAGCGATTATATATTGTGCCCGCACAGTGTTTGTGTACAGTCAAGGGCATGCGGATATATCGACAGAGAATGTACACAGTCCTACGCGGTAGAATGTAGAATTTTGTAGGTGTCGGTGGTTGTTGAGACCGTTGCAGTTTGGTGGGTTGGAAATTGGATCTACTTTTCGGAGAGTGAAAAGGGGCATGTCGCTCGCGAACTCTTTTGCTATCTGACAGCACCTTGTTCTACACATATTGCTACATACTTCTCAATGAGACGACGCCAGCGACTCCTTTTCGTCAACCCCGTGCCCCGATGTTGCAGGCCCGACCCACGACAGTCACGACGTGGTCATGCTGAACACTGATGTGTTGATGTTGATGTCTTGACACGTTCGCCAGATGAAGCCGCGGCCAAAACGCGCCCGCCATCTCCGAAAGCTTATCCATGCGCGTGGGGAAGCGGTGCCCTGCATGTGAGGTCATAGGCTTTTTGACATATCGTTGAATCGTCAAGGCGACGCGCATAGTCTTGCGGACTCAGTGGTACCCATCTGCGACTGGAGTACCACACGCCGATATTACTATTGCTCGATACGCATTGTCTGGCTTGCGGAAGTGCGAGTGCCATCCCTGATCCAGGCGATCATGTCTCAAAGAATATCTTTTCTCGTCCACGGGAAGGTTCAGGGCGTGTTCTTCAGGTTTGGTAACTACTTCACAGTCCAGTGCAACGGCTGACGAAGTCCGATTAGAGACTTTACCCAGACCAAAGCCTCGGACTACGGCCTCACTGTAAGTGACACATGACATGAGTGTCTGACGCCCACAAGCAACACGGCACGCTCACAGCAACATGTACCTTGCTGCACAATCGCTCGGTCCGACCGCATCAACACTGTCTTCGCCCGCTACTCAACACTGAGTAGTACTGACTCCTGACCAGGGCTGGGTGCGCAACACCAACGACGGCAAGGTACGGTCGTCGACCTCCGAATGTTTCGAGTTTCTCACAATGCTAGGTTGAAGGCGAGGCTCAAGGCGACAAGGCAGGTCTCGAGAAATTCAAGAAGGATCTCAACGAGGGGTCCAAGGCTTCTCATGTGGTCAAAGTCGAGACCAAGGATATAGCGACGAAGGACGGCGAATCCGAATTTCGGTCGTAAGGTACACTACTGTCCATGGAGCAGTGATGCAAGTGATGCACACACCGTAACAGGCAGTGGATTCTCTATCTGGCAAGGTCGAATCTGTATAGTCAGCGTGCATGACTTGGCTATGATACTCCAAGGAGCATTCATCAGACCACCTTTTGGGCTCCGCGGATTGCGGTCTCAGTAAGGGAATAATGCCGTTGCCAGAGAAGCGGTCATCGACACGACACAAATGGCAACGACCAGCGAACATGTTTCATGAGCAACTCACATGAGCAGGAAAAACTTGCTCAGCCTCGTACTGAAAGCGATTATTCCCGAAATTTGTATGTGCAAGGCTACCCAGCGAAGCCGATATTTTCCGCTTACCAAATTGCAAGCCTCAGGCGCCTAGCGACAATGAGGTATTTCCTCCCACGACGGCGACTGGAGCCCTTTCCTTCGGGCAAGCACGCGTAGACATAGATTGAGTAGCCGCGACAGTCAGTGATGGTCAGCGAAAGCCGTGGAGAAGCGAATGCTCGCAGCGGCATGATGTCGTATTCTAGAGCGGAACGGAGCATTGGGAATGCTTCCAGGTCTCCGCTGACAAAGTCACAGGTGTAACCCCCGAGGTGTGATTGGATGCGGCCCAGGTGTAGCGAAGCGGCCGTTAAGATGGACCTTAATCCCTGCTCTTCCCGATTGTATACTCCCAAAATAATCTCAGCCACGCGCATGACACACGGTGAGTCGAGTGAAACCGTGACTGCACTGGCCTTACGAGTAAATCTTGACGCTTGGACTCCGCGGCGTGCTTGCTTTGTATAAAATGCCTTGCTACATGCTTCGCTCGTGATTGACTGCCGCACCCAAATCACAAACAACCATAACATCGATACCTTACTGGCTGAAGACAACATATCCTTACCTCGTACTAACTGTACTGCTATGAATCCATCACGAGCAGTATTCTCATCCACCATCACAACCAACATCTCGAGGGCCGCATGCAGACCAGGCGCAACAAGCTTGGGACTCCGTACTAGCCATGCCCTACTCAAACCCATAGCCGCAAACACTTCTCGACAGTTCTCAACCTCCCGCAAGAGCCAGCTCGAGTACTTTCCACCACCAAAGAATGCACCACACATCAAGCTCACGCCACCGGCATGGCCTCACGAAGGGGTCACCGAAGAACAGCTCAAGGGCATTGTAGTTGCTCATCGAGAGCCGAGGACGTGGTCAGACTGGACGGCATACAACATGGTCCGAATCCTGAGATGGGGCACAGATCTCGCTACAGGCTACCGACATGACCCAAACAAGCCATATGTCATGAACGAGCGCAAGTGGCTGACCCGGTTCATATTTCTGGAGACCGTTGCTGGCGTGCCTGGCATGGCTGGAGCGATGATCCGTCACTTCCACTCCCTACGGCGACTGGTAAGCAAACTCTTCCGAAGCGAGTACTCCACACTGACAGCGATGACAGAAGCGAGACAATGGATGGATTGAGACGCTACTGGAGGACGCCTATAACGAGCGGATGCATCTCTTGACATTCCTCAAAATGGCAGAGCCCGGCCGCTTCATGAAGCTGATGATCCTCGGAGCCCAAGGCGTCTTCTCGAATGGCTTCTTTCTGGCCTACCTGATCGCGCCAAGGATCTGCCACCGCTTCGTCGGATATCTCGAAGAGGAGGCTACTCACACATACACTCTTGCGATCGAAGACGTGGAGAAGGGGCTGCTGCCGGAGTGGGACAATCTCGAGCTCCCGAGATCGCCGTCAAGTACTGGAACATGCCTGAGGGCCACCGCACGATGAAGGACCTCTTGTACTATGTTCGCGCTGATGAGGCGAAGCATCGGGAGATCCATCATACCTTGGGCAATCTTGAGCAGAAGACAGATCCGAATCCATTCGTCAGCGAGTATAAGGACCCAACAAAGCCTCATCCCGGCAAAGGTATCGAGCATATTCGAAGTACTGGCTGGGAGCGGGAGGAGGTCATTTGAGAGGCAAAAGGCCGGATTCGCAATTCCACCAAGAAAGTTTTGCAAGCAAACATTATTGCACTTCCACGAGGTGCCTTCCCGAGTGCTGGAGTTGCACCATCATGGCCCAGGACCACGAGGGCCTCCACGGATGCAGGAACGTGGACTCGGCTGGATGACAGGTTGCACCATGTGTACACATGCACTTCATGCATCAGCCAGAAAGTATGCTCAGTCCAGGGGCACAAATACATTATTGCGTCCGAGGCCGACTTGCAGATATTGTATTTGTATAATTACCAGCAGGCGTCTTGGACCGCCCTTTGATACCCTAGATACGATGATATCCCACGCGGAACGTGCACCACGTTGGGAAACAGTGGTGCTCAGAGAAGAAGTGAGATCCTTGTAGATGTTCAAGTTCTTGTTTTTGGGCGGGCCCATCTGTGCTGCACGATGATGGAGGAATCCTCTTCGGGCGACCAATGTCAACAGCCACCTCCGCCAGCCCGCAACAACTCAAAACGCGTTCAATTTCGAGGCTCCGTCGAACAGACGTGAACTCATTCGATGAGAGAGACTTCAGTCCTCGACGCTCTAAAGTACATCCAATCTCCTTTCGCTGACTTGCGGTATTCATTTCCGATGGCCTAAGCCTGAAGTCACGGGGCCATCTTATTATCCTTAGACGAACATCCTCCGCACTGCCAACAGCTCGCGTTGCATTGAACAACGACACAACACTACTATCTGACGACCCGTCTACGCATTCTCTCAAATCCCGACGCGAATCAACTACACCAAAAGAAGGCGTGTCGCATCATTCCGTATGACTTCAACGCTGGCGCAAAGTACCAAACATTCCGAACCCGCCGCGACGGGCACGTTTGGCTGCGCCTAGTTACAGCCAACCGCCATGGCGGAGATGCAGAGCGAGTTCGACCTGCATCAACTTCTGGTTCCAACGCCTACACGCGAGTTCCATGTTAGTCGCGACTCCGGCTCTGCCTCCTCGGGACCAAACAGCGATGCGGGCTCCTTCGTCATCCCCGAGGCCCTGTCGAGGAGCAACTCGATCTACTCCTTCTCTCGAGCGCCATTCAGTACACAAATCGCAAACCTCTCGTCTATGAACTTGCCCTCTGCCGAAACCCTCGCAGCAAGCATCAAGTCGCTGTCGTCTGCTAGGAAGGCCGTCAAGACACTCAATGCTGCTGCTGAGCAAATACAAGTGTGGACGAAGAAGGCGCTCAAGGTTCTTGAGAACCTCGATGCCGACGAAGATGTGGAATGGGCTGCGGCGGCCGGACGCGATGGTCTGACCGAGACAGAGAAGACCATCACCAAGTTCTCCGACCTGGTCAACGTCTACATACTCTCTATCGAAGAGCTGCAGACGCGGAAAGACATCGCCGACATAAAGGCCGATGAACTACAGTCTGTGGTGGAAACAATGGAACACGTTCTGGACGGCTGGGAGCGCGTGCGCAAGACAGTCAAGAAGGTCAAGAAGCAGGTCGAGCTCGCTATGGAGTGGGAAGAATTGTGGTCGACAGTACTGGCAGAAGTTGGTGCTGAGCTCGATGCGTTGAGTCAACTGGTGTTTTTGATGGAAGAAAAGCGACACACAGCACACAAGACCGACCCTCAGACAGACCACCAGCAGAACGTCGACATCAACGAGCTTGAGAACTTGGTCGATGAGCCCAAGGGTAAACAGTCCTCGAACGGCGCTTTCAACTTGGGACATACCCTCGAAGGCTCACCGCTAGCATCCCCGATCATCGAGCAGGGCCAGGACGACTCGATGCTGTTGTCACTGTTTGCGAGAATGCAGCCGCTCAGAGCCTCCTTGGATTTCTTGCCTATGCGGACTGCGCAGTTCCAGACCAGAGCAGAGAAAATCTTCCCCAATGCTTGCAAAGAGCTAGATGAAAAGAAGGAGCGGTTGGAGAAGAACTGGGTAGATTTGCAGAAAGAGGCAGACAATCTTCGCAAGGAGCTCAGCGAAGATCGCTGGGTCATCGTCTTTCGCAATGCCGCTCGACAAGCACAGAAGATGTGCGAGTCTGTTGAACGAAGTGTTGTCAAAGTTCAGGAAGCTGTAGGAGAAGGCTTCCAGCGGACCAACCCAGCAGCACTCGCGAAACGCGTTGAAAGCTTTGAGGCGAAGAAGATGCACTACATCCCAGCCATCGAGAGAGTTCTGGGTATCATTCAGAAGGGCCTCAAGGACCGCTTGACAGTGAATGGCGAAATCCTTCGTCTGCACAAAGATCTGTCCTCGAGGATGAGGGAGCTCACCGATGCGATGGAAGACCTCGGTCAACTCCTTGAACCAGTCACCTCGAAGCATAATTCTCACCTCAGAGAAAGCATCTCCAGCATAGTATCTGCAGATCGGTCATTCTCGAGTGTCACCATGGCAGGCACGCCAGGCACATCTCCCGCATCATCAATAGACTTCGCCAGCCATACTTCCGGCAAGCAGACTCCTCGATACGGACTCAACGGGTACAGCAAGCCTAGAGCAGTCTCCTCAACGAGACCGCCGCCATTAAGCAATCGAAGATCATCACTACTTCCACAGGGCAGAAGACCAACGACCCCATCATCCGCACACTCATCAGTCGCCCAATACCAACGGCGAGGCGTTTCCCCGGCGCCTGGACCGCCATCGATCTACAAACAAGGTCTGTACATACCCCCCAAGAATGCGCCCCAACGACCGGATCCGACACCTCTTGTGGGTAAGCCTCGATGGAGCTCAACCGTGAAGATGAATGAGACGACGGGAACTACGATTGCACCAACATACCGATCGGTCACCAGCCCGAGTCCATATCGAAAAGCGTACACACCACGGTCAATATCGTCAGCCACAGCTCTCCCACTGCGGAGTCCACTTGGGCGAGAGTCTTCGTCGTCACCAGTACCGATCACAGCACGAAGAGACCCGCAGTATATGTCATTCGCAGAGCGTGTAGGCTCTCCTACCAACGGATTACCTGGCGGCTTGCTCGATCCACCACCATATGCGCGCAGCAGAAGTGTATCTACCCATAACCCAGGCACGATCCGCTCTCCATCGGCTATGGCGATGACAGGCGGACGTAAACTATCGGCGAGCCATATCCCAACACCACGATCACCCTCTGCACTCAGTCGAAGTCCGCGACAGTCGCTAGTACCGCGAATGAGTTCTATTAATGCTCGCCTGGAGCTGGATGAGCCGTCACTTCCGGAGCTCGAAGTTGAGCAAGAAAACAGAAGCGACATACTCGACGAGGAACAGGATCAGCTTATTTCGGAGCCGGGAAGCAGTCCGCTGTCGCGGAGGACTATCACGAGACCGGGAAGTGTGCTGTCTAGTGGACGTGGAAAGCGCATGAGTATGCTTCCTTTGCCTGTTGGTGGTCGGACTAGCAGTCTTGGAAACCGACCGTAAGGAGAAGGCCGCTGTTTTTGGAGGCTGGACACTGTCAACGATGAGGTTCTGTGCGTCAGGACTGTATCTTTTATGTCAGCATTTTCTTGATGAGCGTTGTAGCGAGTCCCTGTTTTCATAGCATTGTATTGAGTCAAGTCCAGGGATGGCTTTAGGGGCTCTGTGCCTAGTTTCTAACCATGGCATGCCTATCGTGGCCCTGGCAAGTCCGCCAATCAACAAGAGGCCTCAGTCTCCACTGATGAAAATTGACCCGGCGACCTTCGTAGATCTAAAGACCATCTTCTCTCGTGACACCAACCTCAACATCCAGCAACCATCCCAGAACTAAAGGATCCGTGATCAACAGCGCCCACGATGCCCATCAGCAAGAAAGACCGCGTCCACAGGGAGCACAAGAAGGCGGAGGCTGCTGGAACGCGTGTGCCAGTCAACCCCAACGGCACGCCAGTCAAGGCGAAGAAGGAAATGTCGATATGTGCTTTCTGCCGTAAAGAGCTCGCCCGTGACAACAAGAAGATTCTCGAGTAGGTCGAAGCAATAGCTCTCCCTGTATTCCAGGCCATTCTATTCCTCCATAACTTGAAGTTCATCACTTTCCTTTTGCCGCAATCGCTGACCCTCACGCCAGGCAGCATGCCAGCACCCACAACGACCAGTGGCCGAAGGAGAAGTGCTGGCCAAATGACTTCTGAGTTAATCAGTCAATAACCGAGAGGTCAAGATCGCCTGTCATATGGGCAGTCTAACTCAAGCGAAACGACGTCCTGGAACTCGTACTCTACTTCTGCTCTTCCAGTGCGCCGGATACGGCTGGTCGACGGCCCTTGATCTTCGTGGCCCAGGTCAGTAATGCAGTGGCTATCAGGTCACAACGTGCGCATGGACCTTCTACGAAGAGTGACGAGGAGCGGCTGACTATGATGCGTCACGCTTGAGACGCTTTGCCGCGTCGAAATGGCGACATGGACACAGTCCTAAATCTGCTAGACTATGGATTCGACTTTCAGGTCCCCAACACGCGAATATGGTGCGTCCCAGCAGTCACAAATGACAGCAGTGTCGATCTTCGAGGATTGCTCCTCATTCTAGGGCAATGTATGTCAAGTATGCGTAGGACCGATACGGCAGACGAGATGAGGTCATGGGAAACGCGATTCCCCAAGTCACGGCAGGTTTGGGTGGGAAACGAGCTCTACGCATTCGCTGTACTCAAAAACCGAACTAGTTGGGTCGAAAGTCTCCTCGAACAAGGCGCCGATGTTGCGGGACTTGATCATTGTGGCGATATTCGCCTATGGGTTGCTTGCCACTCGTGTCAAGATCCGCAGATTTTCAACATCCTCCGCGCTAAGGGCCTCAAGCTCAATGACTTTGGACCACAGCGAGAGAACAAGTCAGCTACACTGAAAGAGATGCACCCTCCGCGGCAAGATGACGCAGACAACCCTTGACTGGCTGATGGCACTTCTCTCAGAGGAGGAAGCAGAGCTTCGAGAGAAAGACCCCAGCTTCTGCAGGATCCTGAGGCGCTTCGTGGAGTTCCTGAGCCGCGGAAGTTTGCTACGAAGCGGGCTGTCACTGATATGGTTTGAGAGCGGTCTCTACGCCCCATGCGATTGCAAAGCCGCAGGCGCTTATTGACTTGACGAGGGGGAAAGGCTGTAAGCACACAGGAATAACCTGGCCTCAAGGTTCCTGGATATACATTGCTCGCAGCTCAGAATTACTTCGAGGGCCTATAGGCACTCAACACCCAGTAGCACCTCGAAAAGCACCTAAAGAAGGCCGGTTCAGGCGTTATCGTGCTATATCAAGGGATCAAGCTCAGTGTTGCTTTCCACGTGATCGCAGAAGGTACAGTATCCGAGTCGTGTTTCGCCGGAATGCTTCTTGTGCAATTCGGCTTGGCACAAGCTACCCCAAAATTCCCTCCGGGCACCGATTTCTAGGTTGATTTCAGCTTCTCCTGCTTTGCTGCCCTTTCCGTTCCATCAATCTCGGGTACATCACATGCACTACAGTACTTGAGTAGAGCATGGCCTTAAATTGTGCCTTGCAGCTCAGCAGCGCAATGCTTCAGCTTCAGACTTGACCGTCTCGGTGGAGACGCAGGCATTCAGATGAGGTCGCGAGCCGGATGATTTTGGTCCAATTCCCCCCCGTGACAGCCAGAAGGCCAACATCAGAACGCCACAGGGTTACTCACAGACGCTATCTCCGACATATAACGACCCGCATTCATCGCTGACAAGCCACATATGATTTCTAGAAGCTCTGAACAAGTCAATTGTTCGCTCTGCCCGTCCCGGGATCCCCCAGTGTTTCCGCCGCGTTGGCATGCCGGAACCAGGTAAGCGAAATCTTGGCAGGGCATGCATGAATACGAGGCGCCAGACCCTATTCTTGGATGGCCGTCTCAGAAGTCCATCAAGACAAGACTTGTGGCTGCAAGGCAACATTTCGACTTGACAAGATCTCATGCAGGCTGCGATTGGTGCAAGGTGACAATGCCATACATTCTGCCATGGAGCTCTTCGTGTTATCACAACCCCGATATGGTATGGTTCGATATGAAAATGTGCCGTTTGCTACTATACTGCTACACTGGCGTTGTATGGTAAGGCTTTGCTGGAGTCTGGATGCTGGTCAAATTTCAAAGCATTGACAGTGATGGCAGATGGTAGACGCTGCTATATGAAGGAGACGACGTCGACACTTCACATCGCTTTGGCCACTCCAATTGACAGCATCACAGTTCATTCATTTCTTTCATCATGTCTACCTTGGCCAAAGTCGATATCTACACCGGTCCGTGGGTGGACTGGTCGAGGGGACCAATTCTCGGCAGCACCCTCACCCTCTCCTCGAAGACTGCGCCGATCTTCACGGCATTCCTTGCTTTCTTCATCACAGTCGTCGGCGCCTGTCTATGGAGGATACTATGCTTTGTCATTCACCAGAGCTCTGCCTCCGAACGACCTCGAGATGGACAGCATCACCAGCACCAACTCATCTTCAGGAACACTGCTTCCCCAACAGAAGCCATGCGAGCGTTCTTCGAGTCCGCCTTCTTCTGGCGCAAATCAACTGGTCACTCCTTCGTCAGAGCACTGCCGCTCGCCCTCTTCGCGATCGTCTTCAGCTGCGCGCTGACAGCAGGCTCCATCCTCTCCTCGCTCGTCGCGAAGTCCTCCGGGTCAGAAAGACTGATCACCTCCGACAATTGCGGCTTCTTCGCCTACGACAATAGCTCCTCCTTACCCATCCGCACAAAAGCCATGGTCTCAAAAGACCTCAACGACACACTCATCGCCTCCGCCTACTCCCGACAATGCTATCAAGGCAACGACAAGCTCAACGTCATGCAATGCTCCACGTATGAAAAACCCGCGCTGACCTACAAAGCCGTCACCAACGCCTCCTGCCCCTTCGACAAGTCCATGTGCCTGAACAATCTCGTCTACCAACTCGACACTGGCCTACTCGACACACACAAAGACCTCGGCATCAACATGCCCACCTCCGGCCGCGTCGGCTTCCGCAAAGTATCCACCTGCGCACCCATCTCCCAGACAGGCTTCATGACCAACCGCACCTCCGACGGCACTGACGGCTGGGTCTCGACGGCGACCGCATCATCGAGTACCACTACGGCGGCATCGGTGCACTCGGCCTCAACACGACCTACTTCTACAACGCCCACGCCCTCCTCGACGGCTGGGGCTACGAGTTGGAATCCATCACCGCCTCCCCCGGGTCCAGCGCAGGCTGGAACCCGATCGACGAACTCGCCCGCACAGACGCAGACATCTCCCTTATCTTCCTCGCGCCCAACAGCATCCAGTTCTACAAACCCAACACCGACCCTATGTTCGCCGCCACAACCAAATTCGACGCTGGCAGCACCGCCTCCATCGACGGCACCTACTACACCTCAGACAACTGGGTCAACATCATGGCCTGCACAGACCAATACCAATACTGCCACCCCAACTCCAACCCCGCCGACAACAAAGATCAATGCACACCCCTAACAGACTACGCCACAGCCTGGACCTCAATCTACGACCCGAAGCTCAACCTCAACGACGTCCAGCAACTCGTCGCGTCCCGCATCGCACTCAATTCGAGGGCGTTGAGCATCCACCACGGCATCTCCGGCCGCGGCGCCTCGGCACTCCGCGCGACGGAGTATGTGAGTGAGCGCGCGCAGCTGGAGATCAAGCCGAACCAGTGGCAGGTGGAGGTCAATAGTTGGTTCGATGTTGGGTTGGCGAGGTTGCAGCGGAGTATTGTTGAGTATGCTACTGGACCAGACTTCCTGCCCGAGGGTACCTACCTCCAGCGTCCCGGCTCTACGGATGTGATCAGCAAAGCAATGTGTGGCAGCCAGATGGTCAGGTCGGCGGACGGGACCGTCTCGTTCTCCGTCCTCGGCATATCGATCATTTTCGCCGTGGGCGCGCTGATCATCTTCATCTACCTGATCCTCGAAACCTGCATTGGGTTCCTGCAGAGGAAGATGCGCTGGGGCGACTATAGACGGGTGAGGTGGGTCATGGACGATAAACTGCAGGTGCAAAGGATGGCGTTTGAGGGGGCCGGGATGGGTGGGGAGTGGCGGAATCTGAGTGGGAATGTGCCTGTTACTGCGCATGGTGAGGAGTTTGCTGGCCTCAAGGAAGTTGATCCTGAAAAGCCGCGATGGAGACCCGTTCATGCGACGAGGGCCAGCTGGCAGGGTAAGGGGAGCAGTGAGGCTGCTAGCGTGGCGAGTCTGCAGCAGCAAGCGGAGGTGATGAAGTTCGACCAGCAGCAGCCGCAAACATATTATCAGCAACAGCAGCAGGGACAGTATCACCAAGTCCCACAAGCGAGTCCGCAAATGCATCAGGCACAGATGATGCCGCAGCCGCAGCCACAGCAGCAGTGGCCTCTTGAGCCTCAGCATCAACAGCAGCAGCCGGCGGCATACGAGAGGCAGAGCTACCAGCCCGTGCCATCACAGAGCTTGTGAGATCCGATGGGCGAGGATCAAGACAGGCCAACGGCGCAAAGAGTGAGAGCGATACACGTTTGGGATTTGTGTTGTTAGAAAGCATTAGGTTACCTGCGACGGTGGCAAGCGTCGGCGTTCGGTGGGCATCATTGAAGCACTTGTCACACAGAAGAGAATGCAATCAAATTTTCCACAAAAGAGCTGGAATTTGTTCTGCGTGCTAGCAGTATCTGAAGGAATGAGTCTTGATCTCGAATACTAGCCATACAATGCGGACTGGTAACGCCTCGAGATACACCTTTTCACGCCATCTCAAGCTAGTATGCCGCTCAGTAACTACTGCAGTTCCTTGCATTGTGGACTAGTGAACACCCAAACGCCCTTGTGATGCTTCATGCAGATCTGCCGTGTGCCGTGGTATTACTCCTTCTCGCTATGCTGGGTATCGTACAATATCCTTGGTATCATGTTCTTAGTGATTCGAACGTCATGCAAAACACAACGTATGGTCATCGGTGTCTGTGTTGCAGCTCTCCGGAATCGATGCAGTCGTCTGTGAACATCGTGAAGCGCCGCTAGAAGCCGCCCTAGTCGATCTGCATCGGCACAAGTTCTGGTATGCCAGTCTCGTTGGCATCTTCCTCCTGCTTCACCGGGGCACCGTCATCAATGTCCATCGGCTCCAGATCCGGCAGATCAGGAGTCGCTTCGGACTCGGAACCGTCGGAGTCGCTGTCGATGTCGTCCTCGTAATCGAAATCAGATTCAGGACCGCCATAGAGGTGGTACAACTCGTCGGGTTCTTGCCAGTCGAAAGAATTGATCGGGCAGAACTCTTCATCGTCGTCGTCCCAGATTTCTGCTTCCAGAGTCAGTCGATCGTACGTGAAGTGTTTGAGAACTTACCTGTAGTTACAAAATCGTTGATGACGTTACTGAGGATGATCTCCATCCGCTCATCTGCATAAGCACCGGCATCGATTTGGCTGACAGGGTAGCAATTGTCGCTGTCCTCCAATAGACCCATGGTTTCAAACATGTCAAGCGCCAATGACTTGTTGCGGCCACAATTCTTCAGCTTCTTCAGTAGAGTTGGCCAGTCGGAATCCAGGAGGAAGGCGAAGCCAAGAAAAACAGCAGACAGCTTTGGCTGTCTCTTCAGAGTGTCAAGGAATTGCTTCTGGGTGAACTTGATACAGTCTAGATCGAGGCGTACCAGTTTGGGCCAGACGGTGTTGCCAATGATGGCTGTGATAGTGGTGGCGGGACCGTAGTAACCCAGGTCGTCGAAGTTGATGAGAATACTGGTTGCACCCTGGGCAGCAGCCAGAGCCTCGTGAAGGTAGCCCTGAGTAATCGTCTTGTAGGCAGCGTGGGGCCCGACTCCGTGGATTTGCAGGTCCTCGCGCTGAGACTCCTCCATGCGTAGTGTCAAGCGGATGGTTTGTAGGCTCTTGAAGACATTTAGAACATGAGTCTTGATGGACATATTGCGAAAGAAGTTGGGGCTGAGATTATGCACAGTAAGAGACTGCAAGCCCAGCAATGGGCCATTGGGAATAAGCAGTCGACGTAGCTGAGTGATCGTGGGCTTGGAGCACAGTCCAGTCGGCATGGTGCAGGTCATCGGAAAGGCCTTCTGGTAACGACGAGACATCGAATGAATGCATCGGGTACCGGTAGTGAGCGTGAGGTGTCGCAACTTCGGCAGACGTCGTAGGCACGACAGCGCGTTTGCGTACGTAGCACTCGTCAGAACGGCTTGCTGGCCTCTGTAGGCTTTCTGGAAGTTGTTGTAGTCGTTGAGAACAGCGGCGTCGTACTTGGCTTTATTTCGCTTGTACAGACGCTGGTCTCGTGCAGGGGCGTCATCTGCGGGCTTTACAGGCTGCAAGTCTCCGTCAGTCTGGATCATCGTGTCTGGCTACGTAATACTTACGGCGGAATCAGCATGGTGATGCTCCAAGAAGTGATCCTTATACTGCTCAAGAGTTCGCTCGGCGTACGTATTTCCTTCATAAACAACAGTGTCGATGGTCTTGGAGAACTTGCTGAGCAGGAACGACAGTCGCTCGAGAGAGTCCTTCGCAGCATGGAAGCAGACTTTGGTTATCAAGAACTCTGCTCCAAGCTCGGCGCATCGACGGCTCGAGAGTCGTAAGGCAGCGACCTCCTTGAAGTCCAAGTTCTTGAAGATGACGAGGATGACCTCTGGAGGTAGAGCGTCCATAGCGAGCGTCAAGATGATGGTGCGTACATCTGTCTGCAGTATGTTGGCCGCTGGAAGATTAGTTGACTCTCATACAAGGTGAGTACCTCAGTATGTGGACAAATGTGCTGTAACTGCCTTTGCAGCACTGACCGGTCGAAGTTGCCTTCCCCACCCAAGAAAGAAAATGAAACGCGCCTCTTCCAGGCAAAGCGGGGCGCCAAATTACGCGACTGACTGCCCCGCAGAGAAAACGCTAGGCGTTACTGGCGTTAAGGCCCGTCGTGCTGGGTGACGGCGTGACGGGGCGGATCGCTCTCCGCCAACCACCTCGACTCGACTTCACTTTCCAGCCGCTTCAGCGACAAGGCAGCTGTGCAGTCCTCCTTTCATTCTCACATGGAGGGGAAGATCTGATGACCTGATCTGCACATATTTGACGGCTCGGAGCCAGCGCTCTGGGCCTTCTTGATGCGGCTTTGTATTCCCGAACCTGCTGGAAGCAAGCACAGCCAAACGCCTTGGGTAGCACAGCGCCCAACTGACGCCCTACGTTATCATGGCGCAGGCCGACGAGAGCGACGCTCAACCCGAGCCTGATAGCAGACCAAAGGCAGTCAATAGCGCAATCACCGAGCACTCATCGCCAGCCCTCTCTCCGCAGGTCGATACGAAAGCCGCCGACATGGCTGCTCTGGCTGCCCGAGATGGGCCTCTCAAACTGCTCGACCTTCCCGAAGACATCCTCCAGAGCATCTTGAAAGAAGTCACACATACCAATGACCTGACTGCGCTGGCTCTTACACACTCGACCTTACACAACCTGGTCATTCCACACATCTACTCACGATTCGACATCGTATGGCCAGAAGTCAACTCTAACGTCGAGACCAGAGTCGGCGTAGATGCGCTGACCTACGGGCTAGCTACTCTTGTCATGGCCAACGATGTCTTCGGAGAGCCCTCACATCCACATAGAGAGCCCGACAAGGCGAAGCGAGATCCGCGAAGAATCCGGCGAGGCAATCACTTTGGTCAATATACCAAGAAGTTCAGTCTCGGCAATGGACCCGCTGAATGGGTCAGTGAATATCTCATCACCAAAGAAGGAGGCAAAATGCTGGGTACACTCGTCGCTTTGGCGATAGGCAGGATGCGAAATCTCGAGACATTCATTTGGGATATGCCTACAGGCGTCCTGCGAGATGTCTGGTTGGCGCTAGCTTCCCTGGGGACTCGAAGTGATGGCGAAGGGTCGCGTCTGGAGAAAGTCTGGGTAAGATGGCATGAAAACACAGAAGGCAGTCCTCTTGCTTCGCCACCACCGCCCGCAGGCCCTGGTCAGCAACAGCCGCCCAACATTCCTGCTATTCTCGCAGGGACAGCTTCTGCGCTGTTCCAAGTCCCGCCATACCCTCGCGTCGAATTTCCGACATTCTCAATACTCCCACCTCTGAGGAGTTTGACCGTTCTCGACATCGATGAAGTATCCTACATCGAGGAAATGAGCGTATTGATCGAGAACTCTTTACACGTACTTCGCGAGCTTCGTGTCGGCGTAGCCGAGCATGCACAACATGAGTCCTGGACGATGCCTGCCGAGGAACGTCGCGTAATGCCTCCCCAACTCATGTTGGATGGGCATAACCCACGGCACAGGGGAGGAATTCTGGGAATACTGGTCCACAGATTCGCCGAGCCCGCGCCTGCTACCATGGCCGAGGATGAACCTCCTGCCGAAGCAACAGCTTCGAATGTGTCACTGCTGGATCTGCAGCTACCAGCCAATCAGGGATCCAAGAGCGCCGTCGAAGACGCAGATCAAGCCGACGTCGACGAGATTGGTCGTTCTCTGGCCGAGCAACATCTGGACGACTCGACCATAGTGGAAACGCCGAGTATACATGTGTCAAAGCGCAAGAACAGGAGGACGGATACCTTCGCCAGCATTTCCAGCTCCAAGACGCAGGGTGACTCTGAGAAAGACGCGATACCACCCAAGAAAATGCAGCTTGACTCACTGGACCTCGAAAGAGTATTCTTGTCGGTGTCTGCATTATCTCGTGGAATAGACTGGACACGTCTGACATCAATCACACTTCTAGGCTGTCGGAATCATGAACAGTTTTGGAAAGAGCTTCGACGGAAATTCGCACCTGCCTCTCGACCACGATCGTCATCGTCCGTGTCGAGGACGCTGTCCACAAGTCTTGGCGGCGTGTTGACTCCTCGCAACACCACGCCCTCGAGCAACATCCCCCGAGAGGAGTACAGACTGAAGATTACTCGGCTGCACACCGATACGGTATCCCAAGCCCTGATAGCGTTCATAAAAGATGGTCTTGCACCCGATAGCCTTGAATGGCTCTTCCTGCAGGATAGCGGTCTCTCAAGGTCTACGGTCAGTGTTGACACCATCTACAAGGGCGCGATTCGACGGCATCGCAACAGCCTGCGAAAGCTTTTGATTGACAGCGACTCTCGCAAAGAAGAGGAGCGAGGCACAAGCTGGCGTAAATGGGTGCTCAACCGCGAGATTCTTGGCTGCCTGACAAGTGGAAGGATAAAGCTGCGCGAGCTTTCTTTGAGTATCGACTACAAGGACTGGCATTACTTCTTGCAACGTCTGCCGCAGCTCAAGACTCTCCGAGCTCTCCATATTGCTCATACCTCGAACTTTGCTCAGCGGGAGCCGGTTTCGCGTGAGACAGCATTACAAGTCTCGGACATCGTGTCTCTTAGACCAGAACTCGAGCTTTGCTACTTAGGGGTTCACAATTCATGCTACGAGGTTCTGGAATGCCCGGCACAACGCGGTGCTAGCCCGCAACGACTGATGGTGGTCAATCCGTCCCCTGAGCTCGATAGCGACGACAATGACGATACAATCGAGGAGGCAGACGATGCCAGTCAACTTGACCTGGAGTTCAGTCATGGGGAGGAAACCGAAGATGAAGGCGTGTCTTCTGAGAAGGTCACATTCAGGCTGCGAGAGATTCTGTTCTACGAGGACAAAGTATCGATATTCCGGGCAAGACACGGTCGATTATGATGCGATATATGAGGCAAGATTCGATGGCACTGTACAGGGCACACGGCTGTGATGGTCGAGGACGTTCGGTTCACATTGGCAGCGCAAGCGTTGGTGATTTCTTCGTAGGTAGTCTGTAGCAATACTCTCGACAAATACTCGAGCACCCTCCCAAACGCCGCATCTGTGCCAGTCTTACCTACCCACATGTGTATCCCAGCACTGCACTGTGCCGGTCGGGCGCGTGTAGGAGCACGTGATTGATCATCTATTTCCCCGCTCCAGATTCGCGATCTGACCGAGCACCGCGCGCGTGACCCTCGTCTATAACGGCTGAGAGGGGGGCCCGCATTGTCATCGACGGAACTTCAGCTGCGATCATCCCATCTCGTCACTGCATCCTGCACTTCCGACCCTTTGCACGTCCCACCGTGGCTGGCCCACGACATCTTCCCGTCGCTATAGACGTCGCCGTACACTATATGGAACCGATAGCGTAATCGCCTCGGCATCCCCACTTCGCACCCGATCGTCAACGAACATCACGCGAAGCACGCGACGACAACCATGTCCTTCCTCCGCCGACACTCCGACTCAATCCCATCTCCCTTCCCACAATACCTCCACGCAACCGCCCCCTTCCGCCGCAAATCGCGCCAATCCAGCACAGACAGCAACGACAGCACCTTCTCCACATCCTCGACCGCCTCAACCCTGACCAACAATAGCATCCACGCCAGCAGCAGCAACAACCCGTTCCATCGCTCTCCAACGCCCGTTCCCGCCGCTCTCGTCACCAACTTCGCAATAAGTCCACCGTCTCCGGACTCCAAATTCCTCTCCGGCCACACCTCCCGCATCCACTGCGCAAAATGCTCCACAGACCTCTGCCTCTCCTCCCAAATCATCTCCAAGGGCTTCGTTGGGCGGCACGGCCGCGCCTACCTCGTCCAGGGAACACCCTCGCATATCTACACATCCACGGCGAACTTACCAAACACATACCAGGAGAAGGCCGTGCCTAGAAATCTGGTGACGGGGCAGCATATGGTGAGCAATGTGAGCTGTGCGATCTGTGGGGTTTGTGTCGGGTGGAAGTATGTGGCGGCGAGTGAGGAGGGTCAGAGATATAAAGTCGGGAAGTATATTTTGGAGACGAAGAGGGTGCGGGTTGGTGTTGGGTGGGAGAATTGGGATGAGGACGACGATATTGAAGAGCTATTGCCGTTGCCGCCAGATCAGTTGAGAAGCCTCGATGGATTGGGGCGTGGCGGAGGAGGAGGTGGTGGTGCCGGCATCTATGCAAAGAACCGGAGCAGGAACTCCTCACGCAGCCCTGCACGAACACGAAGTCCCAGTCCCAGTGGCGTGAAGAGGGGCACAGCGAAGAATCTGGAAGATATTGAATTCGATTCGCAGGATGAGGATGAATGCGAGGATTTATTTTCGGGTGTATGGAGCCCGCAGCTTGCGATCAAACGCCGGCAGGAGAGGGACAGTCGGATCATGAACAAGAAGGCTGCTATTGAGATGTACCGGAGCAGGAACGCAAGTGAGGATACGCTTGGCTCGAGGTGAGCTATGCGAGTGACATGCTCGATCTTGTCAGCTCAAGCTGGGAAGTATGAGAATCGGTGCGAGGATATTTAATGGTTTTACGATACATGGCTTATGAGATACCCCCAGCTCTTTCATATGTTTGACTTTCCTGGAGCACACCCAGGCGTTCGGTTTGGTTCAGGGATGTGACGGAGGTAGTGAATACATTCCATTAAGCTTATGCTGTCACCACATCCTCCCTTGCCATCAAGACCAAAAACAAGAACCTTGATGGAGCCCCCGGGAGTCGAACCCGGCCCTCGTACCTAGGTCGAGGAAGCTGTGCGATAGGAAGCTTGCAGAACCCTCGGCGCGGGCCCCTTGAATGAGATACGAAGGATGAACTCCGCGATCTGTGGTGGAATTGTTGGGCAAAACTGGCGCTGACGAGGTTATATAGGATCAACTGCGACGGCATGCACGGGATCTCTCAGAATGGCATCTAGAGGTCCGGCAAGGCATGCGCGGAATGCCAAGGGTTTCGGCGGCAGCGACGACCTTCCACTTACTTGACCTGGTGTCTCTGAGAAAGTCATTCAGCCTGCTTTCAACGTCCCATTACCAACACGCCCTTCCATTCAATGCAACAGGAAGCAGCTCACTTGTGAATCATGGACTTAAGAGTAAAAACGCCTGACCGAGTCGGTTGAGTAACTGCTCTGTACCTGCTCTATACCTGCCCTCGATGATCACCCTGATCAGAAGGTATAGGTAGGTCGTGTCGCTCTGGACTTGATATTCATTTCTTTCTGTTCGTCAAGAAGACCTAAAGCCAGGTGATCCACCTTGCCATGCCAACCTAGCATCATCTGTTGCTTCATGGTCCGAGCTTCAGATGTTTCGAGAATTTGGTGTGTGACGACGACATCCGAGAGTCTCTGGCGTAGACTCGTGGCAATCGCTCGCCTGATGAACTATGCTGGTGCCATAGACGTCAACATTTCGAATTCATCGTCCGCTTCTGCCTCTTGAACGAGTCTCGACCGATTCGGCCGACTGACACTCATATTCAGCGCCATCAAGGTTCACTTGGCATCTGTTGGATTTGGTCTCGCAATCACAGACATCAGAGCGAAGACTGCGTACAGTATACTATCCGTGGACTCAATGGCTCAGATTGATCTCAGTCTATCTGATCTCGACAACATGCACGTCGTCGCGCACTTCCATTCGAGGTTGGTCGAAATGAGAATCATTCAAATTACGGATCCTTCGGGGGCGATTCCATCATCAGCACAGCCTGTTGATTGGCTCTGAGATTTGGAAGAACCCCCAGCTCATCACGCTGCTCAGCCCCCAGAGGATTCGCCTTCCGGCTCTGGCCAAGCTTGAAACCTGGGACTTTACTCCGGGCGTTCGTCGAAGCCGGTATCAGGATCTTACATTTTGAGGCTACACAGTATAAGGAGAGCGACTTCTCCTGGGGATCGTATCTTCTGCTTTGCCGTCATCGAGGGCACTTTGTCCGCCAGCAACCACATCGTGTGCCCGGCACCGAATAGCAGCCAAATCACTGCAGGATTGGTCAAGTTGAGCCAATTGATTCCACTTGTTGCATTAAGTTCCAAGACGGCCAAGGAAACTCCGACGTCATTCATTTTGCGAAGTTGATCTGCCAGTCTAAGCCACTTCCCTGGCTCTTTGCGCTACCATCGTCACCAATATATACGAGTGCGGCCTCATCTTGGTTTCGTCGTATTACTATCAGCGCAGCACCATTCTACACGACTATAACATATATATTCTATACCTACCGACTATACAATCATGCCGGCAATAGACACCGTCTTGAAGGCCCGCGACCTCGTCGCACGCGCGACATACTGCCGCGATCGCTACGGCAGAGTATATCAGTGTAACAGCTCATGGTATAACTGGGGGCGGTGGGTGGCGGTTGGAGTCATCATTGCCGCTGCACTCGTGCTCTTCTTCCTCTGCTCGTAAGTCCACGGTTCCCACGATTGGGACCCATTAGAACAGCAGAACTAACACGATCGCAGGTGCATAACAGCACGCCGACGACGCAAGGCCGGCCGCAAGCCATTTTACGGTACCGGCTGGGTTCCCATGGCTGGCCAGGCGCAGTACAATCCCAACTATCAGAACACTCAGCAACCCAACTATGGCTACCAGGCAACAACATGCCCAACAACAACACCAGCGCGCCTCCCACATACGGACAGCAAGGTGGCTACTACGGTGGACAACAGAACACTGGCGCTGCGCAAGACTACTACAGTGGTAACCGTGGTGGCGACTATGCGCCGCCTGCTGGCCCGCCTCCTGCTAAGCATTAAGCGATATGATCAACAGAGGTTCATTTCACGATGCTCAACACACGGACGAGATGTAGTCGGGCGACGACCCGAAAATCGGGACATAAGCGAAGCGGGAGCGGGAACGAGCATGATGTTTGTGCACCCGATGCCTTAACTCGGAGCACTCGATACACTGGAATTGGACTAAAAGAGGCAAAACGAGGCGGTCGATTTTCTTATTCAGGAGCAATGTGCTATCATATGTACAACTACGGTACAACGGGACGAGGATGTGATTAGTGGTGGTAGCAGATTGCGATATGCATGGTGATCAATCGGCGCTGGGGAAGGCTGGATAGGTGACAATACCTGCTGTACATACAAGGCATTGCCATATAACCGAAACACTTGTTGCCAAAAGCGAAACTGCAGTACCTTGCTCAGTGAGTGCATGTGACTGAACCCGATCTCTCGTCATCATCTTTTTTCTTGCTGAAAAGATGGTGATTTCCCGGTATTTATTTGCCCCTCCAAAAGCCCTAGCTGGGCAGCAAATTCCGAAGCTGATGCGTTCCTCTTTGCTGTGGCTTGGCGCGTTTCAGCGCGTTATTTAGGGCTAGATGAGGCGCAGATCCCGCGCAAAATCCCCTACCAGAAGGTCCATCCCCCAGACTCAGCCTCCTTTCGTTACACATCCTGTTATAACCCTCACGGTCGCTTGCGCAAGCAAAGATCTGGTGTCTGTATACTACAATTTACGACTTCTTGTTCACTCGTTACAGTGACGATTTGGCTTGCACTCACATTCGCTTTGTTGAAGGACTTCTCGACTATCCACCACAACTCACTTCTTCCCCAGCCCCTCAGCCGCATTCCACGATTGTGCCCCTTCTGACGAACACCCGACGCCCAACTGAGAGACGCCGGCTGATGTTGTAATCATCTTGCCGTCTTCTGTATACACCACGCTCTACTGAGCAGCCTGACAAGATGTCAGGCGTAATCAACGACATCAAGAGCGCGCCCGAGACCTTCACATCATGGGACAAGTGCATGTCCAAGGCCTACTGCAAATGGCCGGTGATCGCAGGCATAGTCATTGGATCATTGATTATCCTCAGCGTGCTCTTCTGCCTCGTGCAGTGCCTATGCTGTGGATACTCGTGCGCGAAGATGCTTTGTTGTTGCTGCAACGGCTGTGATTGCGGAGGGAAGGATAGACGGAGGAACAAGGACGACAGATCATCGAAGTACCAGGACAGCAGCTACCACCAACTTCATCAGCCAAACCCATATTCAGGCTATCAGCCGCCCGCCGCTATGGCTCCCGCCTATGGAGCCCCTCAGACCGCGAGATTCGAATCAGACACGAAAGGAGGTGATGCTCTTCCTGCAATGCCCAGCTGGGACAACGCGGTTTCACACCGAGTCGAAGTCCACGACCCACAGCCCAAGCATGAAGATGTCGAGATGGGTCGTCTCAACCCTCACAGCGGCCGCGGTGGCTATGACCAGGTTCCTTTGTCGCCCACGTCTCCAACACACGCCATCCCAGGCTACTTCCCACCTGGAGCCGTTGCAGGCGGAGCAGCAGCAGGAACAGGATATGGCTCCTCTTCAGACCTAGGCAATCAGCGCCTCAACCAGCAACACACCGGCTACAGAGGCGTCGACTACGATCAGCCTCAAGTACCCACATCACCCGCACCGACATATCAAACACACGCACATCAGCCGTCCGGCGACCGCTTCATAGCCGGCGCTGCATCTCCATCGCCATACGGCTATCAATCGCAACAACAGCCGCAACACGGGAGCAACACTCCATATAATCACGATTCACCATATCACGACGACTACAATAACCGGTCCTTCTCTCCGCCAGCTCCAACGCCGCGGTCAAACACATTTTCGCCGCCTCCAGCAGGTACGATGCCTACGAGCAACAGCTATAATTCTTTCAACAGCACACCATCACAGTATGCCACACCATACGAGGCGCCGCAGCAGCAGTCATACGGTGGATATGGCAATGCGGTGACATCGCCAACGTATCACGAGGCGGAGGCTTCAGGGGCAAGGCCGCCTTCGTTACTGCAGGTCGGGAGAAAGGCTGTGCCGGGTTCCACAAGGGAAGTGTAACGATGCTCCACGTTCCTGGAAGGCACGGGACACTGGTCTGCATGAACGCGGAAATGGAACAGAAATCGTTGGATGAGTATACCACTGAGTCAGGATACATCTGCAGCTACAGTGTGTAACAGTTACCGAAGGGGAATGATGAACTTTCTACCTACAGAGAAAAGTGCCTGCTGACACCCGTACCCGATCCTTGCCTCTCGTGCTTCTGACCCTCCAGCAGTCACTGGTCTCCCCGTCACCTTCACTTCCATCCAGTGTCCACGAGTGCATATCGCGAACAGCAGCAGCAACAAAAAGCAAAAAAGACAAATTGATGGCAACACCCAGAATCGAACTAGGATCTTCCTATGCGAGGGGTTGCACGAGGTTCATCAGAACCCTTAGCTTCCGCGGTGGTCGAAACCTAACGCCCTCGCTGATGTGCTCGCCGTTGCACCATGCTGCCGAGATGAGCATGTTGATGATGACGGACGATTGATGAGCAAATTCTGAGAGCTCTGAGTATATAGACCATTGCTCAGTGAAGACTGTCCAGTCAATCTCGGCGCTGGTCGACCACGGCGCTGTCTCTGGTCCCTCAACCCCAACGTATCGTTGTCTCCTGCAACCCCGTGCTCACTGCTCTCCTTTCATCCCCTCCCTCTCCCGCACCCTGACCCACAACCCCTCCTTATCCCAAAACACCCTTACCTTCATCCCCTCCGTCCACCCCTCACTCTTACCATCCAACTCCAGGTCAAACTCCCACATCAGCCTTGCCATAATCAGCCGCATCTCGTGGTACGCGAGGTTCTGTCCGATGCAGTTGCGCGGACCAATGGAGAAGGGGCGGACTGCTTCGCGGCGATCGTTGAAGTAGACTGACTTGGGGTCTGTGGTTGCGGAAGGAAGCCATCGTTCTGGCGTCCAGCTGTGAGGGTCGTGGAAATTGGCGGTGGTGGTGTTCGCGGCGAGTTGGGGAACGCCGACTTTGATCTAGAGAAACAGAGATCAGTACACGCCGCTATCATCAGGTTGCGACCAGTAGCAGCTCACCTTCCCAGGAACCAAATGCCCAGCAATACTCGTCATTTGCCCCTCCAAGGTCTCCCTAAACATAATGATCGGCACCGGCGGATACAGCCTGAATGTCTCCTGCAGACACGCCAACAAGTACGGCAGCCTCTTGCTCACGCTCGCAAACGTCATTTCCTCTCTACTCTCAAACGCTGCTCTGACCTCCTCTCTCACTCGGTCCAACTTCTCCGGGTGCGTCAGCAGCATGTACGTCGCGAAGCTCAGCAATGTAGCAGTCGTCTCCGTTCCAGCAATCATCATAATATCCGCGTTCGCAGCATGCTCCTCATCAGTCAAATCGACCCCTTCCTTCCCACGGTTCCGCATCATCTGATCCATAAAATCGCCCCGGTGCTCAAACTCCGCATTCCCAATCCGCTTCCGCACCATCGCCTCAACCATAGCGCGGTGCTCATTCCCAGACTTGCGAAGCGTCCTGCGCAGGAGGGGTTGAAGGAATGGAAAGAACTGCGACATGAGCAGACCGACGGGCAACATGCGGATGACGGTCTTGATGCGTTTCAACCATGGGGTGGATTCTCCATTGGAGAGGCCGCCCATGTCTTCGCCAAAGGCCAGGTCGCCGATTAAGTCGAAGGTTGTGAAGTTGTAGAGGCGGTCGATGTCGGTCGTGCCTTCTTTGTCGGAAGCGGCTTCGCTGATGCGCGTCATGAGTAGGTCGATATAACGATTCATGATCCCCATCTGCTCGCCCAGGGCCTTGTCGCTGAACGCCGGCAGCATCGCTCTTCGATGCCGGAAATGCGTTTGCGCGGAGCGAGCATTGATGATGCTCTCCACTCCATTCTGGTTCGTTCCCAGGAACTTGGGCAGCTCGGCGTGCCCGTGGCCGTAGATGTCCTTCCAGGCGTCTGGATGGGTGAAGGTTAACATGTCCGAGCCGCAACGGACGACTTCGCCGTAGCGTTCGTGCCATTGTCGGGTCTTGTGTTCGCGAACGCCGCGTATGATGTCAATTTGCCGGAGGATGGGGAAGATGATCCAGTGGCTTGGGCCGGGGAAAGCGGCGAGTGGGTGGAAGTAGAGGTTGTAGACTGCGGTGTAGCTCCAGCGGATGAGGTAGATGATGGTGAAGGCTGCGAGAAGGAGCTGTGCTGTTTGGTACACGGTCAGGGAACCTAAGAATGAGGCGCTGACGACGCCCATGATGTCGATTCAGCTTGTTCAGACGCTCTCCTCGAACTATGAAGTCGTCAGAGGGGAATGGACGCCTTTTGGTTTATGTCAATTTATCGTTGTTTACATGCAGCCGCTTCACTTCGTCCATCATTTCGGCCGGGGTAGTTTGGTCCCCGAGCATGGTGCTGACAACTTGCTTTATTAGCTCCTTGATATGTCATTATGCGAGTCCTTGTCGCACTATTCCAACCTACGGTGTGACAGGAATGGCCCTTTCACGTGTGAGATACATGGTTGCCTGGCTTGTCAGTGGTAGGGATGAATTCAAAACTCGTACAGTATGGCGACCCACGCAGCTTCCCGAAAGTTGGAACCGCATGTCGGTGATTTAGGCTGTTCGCGCCGCTTACGTACTCGATCTGTGCGCCTGGGCTTGTGCCAGGGGTGCTCGGCGCCGGAACAATCTCCAAAAATTCGCCTTAGACGAAGGCTTGAATTCAACGCCCTGTACGAAGTAAAGGAGCATGCCACGTACTTGCGTCTGTTTCCAATTCATCTTTCATTCGCAGATACTGGAGCTGGTGGCTGTAGGTATATGATGCCATGATTGATGTCGTCGTCCACGCATGACGCCGCTGCACATCACGGAGACTTACTATACGACTTTGCGCCCCGTGATCGTGACTTCGCTGGCTTGCTCGACTAGATGTTCCAGCATCCGGAGCAGAGCCTGCCAATTCCTATGGCTTGAGTGCTACGACTAGATATCCAACAAACCCATACGTCCGCGGTCCATAATGTCTCAAATATCTTGGGAGTCAATTGATGCCACCATCATCATAGTTCGTCCTTCCTTTGCTCTACTGCATCGGCGTTTCCCCCTGTGGAAATGATGGCATGAGCAACGCCCACAATCCTAGCACCCGCCTCGACTTCGCGACTGACAGATTCGACAGTCCGTAAGCCACCGACCTCACCCAACAGCTTCGTGCCCAGCACGAAGCCCGGCACATTGCTCACACCCTCATCATCGTAGACGTTCCATTTCACACCCTTCAGCAATCTGTGCGAGTCCTGCTCGCCGCCGATTATGCTCCCAATGACGATGCCCATCTCGATCCAACCAGAAGTCTGAACACTGTCGAGCATGCTGTTCAAGACTGCCTTCTTGGGTTCTTTGAACTTTGAGGCAGTGATCTTGTCCTCTTGACCGAGCGCACGGACGACCCTTAGGGAGATATAGTTCTCACTGACCTTCGTGTCCAACGTTGCAAGCAGGGTCAAAAGCTCGAAAGTCTCGGTTCCGGAGACTTCGGCGATGCTGCCGGCTGCTTTGGATGCGAATCCTTGCACCATGATGGGTACGATATCTTGATCGATGCCGATGATGCCGTCCACGACGTCGTTGCCCAGCAGAAGGGATGGGTCGGCCAGCTGTGGCCCATTCGCATCACCATCCTTATCCTGGGCTCCAACAGCAGACTTGACCGCGTCAGTCATTTTCGCTGCAGCCCCGCTAGCACTCGACGACGCGTCCTGCAGCAGCTGATCAGGCGGCAGGCCCACGACATCGATAATTTTCTCCCCACGACAAGGGTAGCACCAACCGCCCGCACAGCCGAAACACCGATCGGCTTGCTTCTCGATACTCAGCGCATCCGTGGGTTTCGGAGCTCTAGCCGCAGCAGTATCCGTTGCCTGTCCAGGCAGATGAGGCCTTAGGCTGAAGATACAGCCCACGCAGCCGGGAGCGCAGCCCCAACAGCCAGCGTTGTCCGGATCTTGTCCACGCCCAGGACCGAAGATTGGATGACGCTGCCCTGGAGGGACCAGCTCATTACCACCACCGGGAGATTCTGGTGCTGGCGTCTGGCGCGCTTTGATCGGCGGCCGCTCCGATGAGTAGCCAGGCGATGGTCGGCAGGCACCGTCTGGGCAGGCGGCATGACAGCATGGGAAGGTTAGACTGCTGCTGGGAGCAGCTGCAGTAGGTGTTGGATACAGCCAGGCAACATCCGTAATGGAGTCGATTGCAGGGTGGTGAATGTTGCAGTAGCCTGGCGGGCAGTCAGCACCGCAGCATGGGGCAGTGGTGGCTGTTGCAGAAGCGCTGTTGCTAGTAGCAGTTGTTGATGAGAATAGTTGAGAGATCTTTGCTAGATTGCTGTTGGTGGCAGTCGCGCTTTCCTGCAGCGGCTGTTGGTCATTCTTTGCGGCATTGATCTGAACTGGCAGGCACAGAAACAGGGTGGTGATGGAAAAGAGCGAAGTAACGGCGTTCATGCCAGTGCTCATGCTGACGACCATCGCGATTGCCAAATTCTGTCAATTCGTTTGCCAAACTCTGGTCGTCCGAAAGTGTGGTAGTCCAGCGTCAAGCGTGACTTCCGAGACTGGCTCTGATCCTGACTTGGTCCTGGACTGTTTACAGAGTGCTCTGCTACTTGATAATGCAAATATTGGTGTCTGGCATATGTGGTCAACATCACGAGGCGACGGACCCCACGAGGCGATACTTATATTCAAACTTCTCTATAGCCAAAGAACGCCTTACGTATGCGGTCTGGAGCTATCGTGCAGTTGAGATGCACCCCTGTGCACGGCTGAAGGCTGTGGGCATTCGGCAGAAACCTAGAACCACGCCTTTCGTGATGCTACCAACGGCTCAGCCCCTGAGCCAGGGTTCTGGTGGCATCTCCTACCGATGAGCTCGTAATAGTCTGATTGATTCATGGCATTGACCGACATTCGTGTATTAGTCTTGCTTGAATGTAAGTTGAACGACTACACCAATCAAAGGTCGGAATCCGGAGCCAGCAACAGCACACTTACCTCGTTGCGAAGAAAACATGGCTGCACACAGGATATTCTAGGTAAGTGGTGGTGGCTTGGTAGAACTCTTGCTTCACGAAACGTCTCTTCGCACGTGTCCCTATCCATATTTCTGGAGACAGCTGCAACTATCGCTTGCCAGAATGCAGGCCGAATCCTTTCCACAACGATTCTGCGAGGTTTGGGATTTACCCCTCCACGTGGGAAGCTGAAAGAGGATCAACGTTCGCTTAGCCAATCAGGCGTCTACACGAACAGCTGAGTTATCTGGAACGATGCATGGTGCGCAAAAGGACGATTGGACGCCTTGAGGTCCGAGATACAACAATGATGCTGTATCTAGCATGTGTTCGAGCAAACGATAAGAGTCTGAGACGAACGTTGCTCCATGCCCTGTCTGCACTTGGGCCAGGTACAGTACCTTTTCGCTGATAGGCCACACCACTAGTAGTGGCTGTATGCATGTTCCATTGCGTACTCGGCCTTGTAGGGCGGCACAGGGCATCTCGTTGTCCTGTTCGTCCACAAGGCGATCTGCTGCCTGTTCCGATACATGATTCCGATAGCCAATAACGTGTCTGTCCCAAGTATTCGGGATTTGGAACGTGCGACATCCTTCATACCCGAGAAATGGTCCCGAATATACTCAGCGGATCGTCATTTGAAGCGACTGAGCGCAAACGAATTTTCTCATTGGCTGACTGAAGTTCTCCCCGACACGAGGCAGACTCGAGGACGTCAAAAGTTTGGTGAGTGACTTGCAAGCAAGGATTAGCGTAAGGCAGCTTGATGCTTGAGATCTGAGCCACCTCGGACAAATCCAGAAGTTAAAGGGTGAACGAACGGTTTATGAGCCTCATCGACCAGTCTGTCTCATCAACCAAACCACAACAGTTTGGAACATGGGCTAAGCTCAGCTAGGTGGGCTAGCCCAAGCATATATGCCCTGCGAGTCGATAAGGTGTAGATCATACCCATACTGTGAAGTCACTGCCATCTATACGCACCCTTCTTGACTCCGTACGCGTGGCATCAGAGCCGAGGGAATCTCCAGGCCCGCTGGAGTTCGACCTGACAACATGTGGAGTCACACTGCCAGAAAGCTCTTTTTCCTTGCCGTCGCCGAAGGCCATCTGAGTAAGGCCAGCAAGACTCAGCTGTACCGCGATCGAGCTGACCTGGGAATTCCGGGCTCGACATGCAGCGATGACGAGGACTGCGCCCAGTACACTGTAGAGCAAGGAGAACCCGATCAAGGCTCCAAGAGCTCCCTCTGGAACCTGAGCGACCAAGCTTGATTCTCGATGCTGCTCCTGGAGATTCGTCCGAGGCGTGAGATGGCCACCTATGTGACTGAGCACCTTGACCGAGTATAGATCTTGCCACTTGCCCAGGTAGTCTGAGAGTTTCGGTCCAGCTAAGCCCGCGCTGACAAGATTATTTTGCAGGTCAAATGCTCCGGCAATTGTCGAATAGACCTGATGCCCATGAAAGACCTCCAACAGCGTGCCGTTGGGCGACTGGCTTGCTGTCACTGATTCAAGGCTTGATTTGTGCCAGACGTAATCGACTTCATAAGTAGTAATCGAGCATGACATGACCAAGGCAACTATGTTGTCGCTGTTGTTGTAGACAAGTCCAGAGGCAAGTACTTCGGAGCCTGTGCCGAACATTGGCGGATATCCCTGGACAGCGAATCCAACATGAATCGGATTCAGCAGTTGTGCATCGGTAAGTCCGCCAGAGAAATTGGGAATATTGGTGGTAACGTTCCAGCCCTCTGCGTTGTAGATTGTGCTCAGATTGCTGTCGGTGAAGAAGGCATATTGTAGATTCTGCGACGACTTGAAGGCAAGAGGTGACAGATCGGGGTCATCTGGTTTGGACCCATCTTCTGTCAGAGTGCTATTCGGCAGCTTCCCAAGCAGGCCGAAAAAGTTGTCGGAACAATTGAAGGCCGTATAAAGATCTCCTGCTCCTGCTACTCGCATGTCGCAAGAAGAAGGAGGCACCAATGAGCAACTAGTGGCTACGCCTACGGTCGAAGCGCGAAAATCGTCGTTGGTGTCCAGCGTCTCAGGATTTGGCAGAACGATTGCAACGTTGGCTGGAACATCGGGAACTGCGGCGATGCGTATCTGACTTATGGAAGAATCGTTCGCTCCGAGTCGACTGATTTCGTTGTAGCTTGCGGTCGCATTTGGGTCAATAAACCTCTGACCGGCCGGCAGTGAGCAAGGGAAGCCGCCGTTGTCCTTGAGTCTATCCAGGCTCAAGCATTGCTGTGACAGACCTCGACCACTTTCGTGCTGAGGCACTCCTGAGACGTCGATCTGATCGATGATCACTGTGGCTGTAAGATAGTGAAGTACAGTGTCGGAGACGAACACAGCTGTCGATATGCCTAGGGCAGCCAGCATCACCATGCCGGCTTTGTTGAGCACGGGCGGCGTCTTGATAGCCCGCTTCGGCGAGCAGACATACCACACGTATGCCCGAAGTTGCTCCATTGAGGCCAGACACAAGCCTATCAGGATCGATAATTGATATGGCGTCGGTAGCATGTCGAACTGAGAGGTACTGGAAGCTTCGCTCATGTGTGCGCTGGAAATGACACTCCATAAGGACATCACAGATCCTGTCAGCAGTGGCGCGACGGTGGACAAGAAGCTTGCTGCGAAGACTAGTCGGGCTTTCGAGATTGTTAGTACTCGTTAGAGAATAACAGTGATGGACTTACTCGCTGAAAAGTCCACAAGTATCACTGACGTGCCATTGCCATATTGCTCGGGTGGATCAGTCGAAAGGTCGTCGTGTTGCTGCTCGACTTTGTATCCGAATACCAGTCCGAGCAACGCCCCTGAGAGGAGAACAAGGGGTAGTATTACGGCGATGGAAGGCAAGATCAAGCTCTTCTCACGGGTAGGCTTGCTGTATTCCTCATCATCGTAGAAGCTTTGTCTTGTGATCCGCCCAGAATTGTCGGCGTCAACAGCTGGCAGTGCGTTGACGTAAGTATTGTGGTAGGAGAAGTCATCGATCCCATGGCTTGACAATGGCCAATTCCTCGAGTCTCTGTGAGTGAACTTCGATGATTGCATGTTCACTGCCTATCTGTAGTGTTGGATGTACCTGCTCTATAATGCTTCTGTGCCTTATCGAAGTTTCCCACGCGCGGATTTGGCAGTCATAATGGTAAGACCCGTGCCATGAGCTCTTGATCATGGTATATAGCAGCAAAGGCTCCATTCTCTCGAGTTCGAGAAAGATGTCCATCTGCGTGGCTTGAGTACAGTCATGTTGACCCGAGCGTACTGAAGCTGCCAGTGGGCCGGCTGCAGCGATCCAGATGCAGCCAACACACGGGCAGCCTCGTAGATCAAGTCATGATTGGCAGATGTGATAAGGTCTTCGCCACCGGCAAGGCGTCGAGGCATGAACGAACGGGGATCGAGGCCAACGACTGGCGAGGAAGAAGCAGGAGCTGAAGACTACTGGCAGGTACGAAATGGCCCCTTAGATTTCGCAATCGTGTGGACCTCCACTTCGTCAAAAATGCATATTCAAATGACACATATGATTGCGTCCCACCTCATCGCGTTCAACAGTGGGTCAGGACTACCTTGAGGTCCGGGTACGCACGAAGGTGAGGCGGGCCTTGAGACAACATTGCGCTTCTAGAAGTTGAGATTGAAGTACTGTTGAGTTCTATATTTGACAGACCAATGAGCGCCTAGCTACAGGGGAATCAAGTTTGTGCATGTGAACCGAGCCGCGGTTGCAAGTCCCAGACTTTCGAGAGAAGTGTCTCGAGCGTTCGTAGTAGTGGCTCCTCATACACCGAGTCGAGCCCAGACAGCAACTCTTCCTAAGATGCAGCCTCGACATAATTTGAAGGGAAGATACCGACTCTACCATCCTCGCTACGCCCCGTCCACCAGTCTGACTTGTTCTCTGTTCGTTTCGTAATCGTTATGATGTCGTTCTTCTTGAAGGACAGATCTCCGTCCTGCTCGCCCTCAAACGTGAAGAGGGCCACCGCTTGATCTGATTTCAGATCGCCCAAACCAGTTTTCTGACGAAAGATTGGCTTCGGAGCAGTAGGTCGTGCAGGCTTGTCGCCAAAGCTATTACCAGTGTAGTCATTCTGCAAAGTGCTTGCTCGGCTCCTCCTGTTCCCCATGTTATCGAAGGTTTCTGAAGGATTGGCCCTTGAGCCGAACGTCCCAGTTCCAGTCCGCTGCGGTGAGTTGAAGCCCTGGTCGTATACATCGTCCTGCCATGTATTGGCACGCTTTGGATTGTCCCTATACTCATACTCGTCTTCGCCGTTTCGCGAGCCAACAGTATTGCTTCTGTTGGTGCGAACACCAGCGCCATACGCATCGCCAGACCTGCCCTCCCAAACGACGTTGTCGCGGTTGTCATCGTAGACAGGAATGTCGTTATACATGCTGTCGGCGCCTGCTGCATTGCCCGAGAACACACGGGTGTTGAGGACGTTCATCAGAGGGTCTGCAGACGGCGGAGGGCGGATTGCGCCTTCGAGTAATTGCCTTGCCGTTATTCTCCCATTGTACATCTTCTGATTCGCATCGCGCCTCTCGATGAGTACCGAGCCTTCCAGACTGACACCTGCGAAGGCTCCTTTGGTCTTGCTGTATGCGAAGACTCCAGCCACACCTTTCATGCTGGCGGCACCCGCAGCTGTGATTTCGTCAGTCCCAGCAAGTTCTGATTGACTGATACCTTGTCTTACCTTCGGCATTTCGGCCGACCGGTCCAGCGGCAATACTGACGTTACCGCCTAGTGTCACAGATGCTGCCTGTGAGAAGGTCTTGACTGCGTTGTAGTCGTTCAGAATGAAGACGAAGTCCGTCAGCTCGAAACCGATCTGGCCACCGAAACCACCACCGATAGTACCGATCGCTGAAGGTGCCGACCATGTGCCATCGGACAGTCGCGCAACGACGATGCCGGATCCGAATCGTCCTGAGCCTAAGAAGCCCGCTTTGAAGACCGTGATCACTGCCAGACCCTGGGACAAGTCAGCCAAGACGAACAGCTGAGGTTGTGCATTCCTACCTTTGCATTTGAGAGCACGGACGGCGGGATCACTTTGTCCGGACCGAATGACTGTCTTGGGTCGACGAATGAAGCCAAGATTCTGCCTGCTTTCTTGCACTCGCCTACTCTTCGTCAGCGAGGTCCCTGTGCGACGATGGGTCAGATGGCTTACTCCGCATGGAAGCGGGCAGAGGATTATGGATGTTGAGCGGCATCGTGCCTGCTTTCGCAGCCTAGCTCTCCGCGGTGTTCCTGTCACTGTCTTCTTTTGCGATGTTATTATCTCTTCTCACGAGGCGATATATCGGATGGTCCGCTTGCGATCGTGATGCGGACAGATGGATAGTGGGACAAGAGCACTATAGGTGGCGGGGCCAGCAGTTGGTCAATGATATTTATTTGGGCGGCAGGAAGTGCACTTTCTCAACAGTGGCCGGAGCAGGCCTGATTACAGAATACTTCTCGCACGGCAATAGTAAGCAGGCGGCGTGCGAGCTACCAGTGACGAGGTAGCGATTTTCTGCTAAGTCCACCACCGCGAGTCACATTCGCAGCTGCGCCGAGGACGCCTTCCTGCTCGGCGTCATCGCTTCTTGGCATCGCTTGCGTGGAGAAATGGGGCTCAGCACTTCCTTCTCTCGTTCTGCTTCTGACTATCACCTGCATCTTCCTTTCTTGTCATGAAGAACGCTGTGGCAGTCCTCCAGACCATCAGGGTCCAATGATGCACAGCTGACGACTATGGAACAGGCAGCCCAGTTGAGGTACGGTGTCCTTTGCTATCGATACTTACGCGCGAAATATAGATCGACCATGGAGCCGCAATGCTCAGCGTCACGACCATGTTGTCACTGCGATTTTCGAGGACGGAACAGGAGGCTTTTGCGAAGCTCGACTGGACGTTCCACATATTGCGCGTCACCGCACAATGACCTGCCGTTAGCGGAAGAAGCATGATGTCTTTCCAGGGTTGGCAAGAACAACTGCACGACGGGCGTCGCTGTGTCTGGAATCGTGTCAACAAAGAGTTACCTTTCCCTGACCGCTTTGATCAGACAGTAAGCCACAAGGTACCGGGCCTCGTCTGCCGATGAGCCTGTCGAGTGGTCAGAGATCGTGTCGTGCTAGCTAAAAGTGGTCGGCATCTCCACGGCAGCTGCACGACATGAGTTGATTAGGCACTTCCATGGCTGTAAGCTTCAACTGGAGCAGACGTGCTACTTGAGTCTGTCGATCAGCCTCCGCCTTGTGGTAGCGGCTGGCTCGCAGCGGCCAGGGGTCAGTCGCTGTGCCGAGCCAAAGCCAGGGCACCTATGCTGTATCTCAACATCATTAGGGTCGAGTGGTGCTGAATACGTCCATTTCTTGGAGTTGCTGCTGGCTCGCCACGCAGCGACGATTTTTGGTCGCTGCTGGTGTTATGACCATGATCCTGTAGGTAGACTGGCGCCGAAGGTCACTTCTCTTGCACTTTGCTTGCATTGGGAAAAGAGAACTTTTCCCGCATGTGTCTAGGCCTACGGGCCTTAAGATAATCGTATAACTGTGCTTGAGATGGGCGACGGTGATCATTATTGTTCTACAAGCGCCGCTATCGAGCACTATACATGGAATATAAATGAAACCGCCCGCAACGGTGCGAGCCGGTCGAAAGCCCGCGGAACCAAAGCCCGCAGCCCGTAAGCCCCAATCGATAAGGCACGACACACGTCATGTTTGGGGTACGCGACTCCTGGAATTGATGCCGATACTGTCGATACGAGAGTACTGCAGTGAGCTACTCCTCCACAGATACACATTCGCTCAAGACAAATAAACAAGGATGGCTGACCCAGCTATCAGTCCGCCCATGGCGCCTCATGGCGCTGAAGGCGCTCAAAACGCAGCAGTCGCGCCCACAAGCCTCACGTTCCGCCCTCCCTCCACCTCCCCTGCCTACCAGGCATCCAAGCCATCCACCTCGTTCGCTGTTCCGCCACCCTCCTTCCTCTCCGGGCCGTGGCACGTTACACATAGTACGCTGCCTATGTGGAAATCCAACCGCAACGTTGTCATCACCTACACCTACCTCACAGACGGCGCGACCCAGGATCAGACCCCGAACGATGACCTGCAGATCGACGACCTCGTGACCTACGCGCCCAATAACAACCCTTCGAAGCAGAAGACCGTCAAGGGCATTGATACGCCTGATCCTAACGTCCCTGCGGCATGGAATTGGCGCGGTAAGGGCTGGCTCAAAATCGCGTCGAGCCACTGGGAGGTCATCGGCTGGGGCGAGGAGGACGGCGGCTGGGTGGTGACATACTTCGCGAAGACACTGTTTACTCCCGCCGGAATCGACATCTATGCTAGACGCAAGGGCGGCTTGAGTGAGAAGTTGCTGGAGAGCATCAAAGCCGCAATGCGAGGCGTTGAGGATGACGCGTTTCGCGAGCAGGCTGGCAAGATCTTCCAGATTGAGCATGACTGGTGAAAACGCTGGTCTGGCCTGCATTTCGCTGGGGCGAGGTCAACACAGCTTGGAACAGACATCGGCCGTCGAACCCACCGGCCTTGTTCTGTTCCTCAGTCTAGCTGCCGCTCTAGTGCACAGGCTGAGCCAGGCATGGCGGTGCTGGTGTACACTCCGCTCGAGATTAGCTCGTTCTCCATCTTCGCCCACTTCTTCAGATTTTCATCGGTCATGAGCTTGAGGTCCAGGTCGGCGAGCTTGACATGTGCGACTTTCAGCCTTCCTTGAGCAGATTTAGCCAGCACCAGGAAGAGACTACAATCTCTTAACGCCATCGCAACAGCATAGTCGTGTGCGCCAGGATTGCTGGGGTCTTCAAGACCTCCGTATTGTGCTCGGCCTGCAACGTCGCAAGGTGCTGTATCACAGGTTGGATCTGCTGCAAAAAGGCATCGATGAACCAGTCGGAATCGCCATGCTCAGGATCGATCTTCTGCAAGATGCCCTTGATGATCGCTCGATCATCTGAGAACAAATCCAAGGGACAGAAGCCGGAGTCACCCTTGCCCTTCTTTCCTCCCTTGGAACGTTTTAGCGCATTAGTCGCACATGTACGACACCGTCGAGCCCCTGCAGGCGCACTCGGGCTCTGATGCAGCCACTTGGGCTTGAACTCATGGAACAGTGTATGGTCGCCATGCCGCAAGTTGGGCATCAGAACGGCATGTGGCTCTTCGTTAAGTGGTGGGTGCCCAGGGCCTCGTCCTGCAGGCACGCGTGAACCTGCCTTGCTCTCTGCCAAGTGCTTGTCCAGCTTTCGAAGGATCTCATCCGCCTGCTGCAATGTATTCTCCGTCAAAGGATACAGAGCCTTGGGCATCAAATTATGCACATGCTCCGGTCCAAATAGTGGCGTGATCCTGTCGCGAATGGCCGTCATGTTGACCAGGGTGGGCCGCGTGGTTGGCAGATCCTTGCGCATACGTAAAACGCAGCAGTGGTCGTGCAGAGCGAGGTCAGGGTCGGTGGTGTTAGGTGCTATGCTATAGATAACGTTAGCGTTGCCTTCGGTGAGATAGTGTAGCGTCAGCGGCACACGCAGGAGAATTTCCATGCATTTCTCCGGGTCGCTGTGCGGATCGTTGTCGTTGGTCGACATAACTACACGGTCCAAGTTTATATCATATGTTGGTTGTTAATCCAAGAACACCGCTGCCTGCTGCAGCAACGTGCATGAACTCTCTGCTGTATCCTGGTGAACTCTGACCGCCGAGCGTATAGGTGGAGAATGGGAAGTGCTTATATTCTGCCGCCTGAACTTCGCCTGCACAAAGAGGCCTAGTTGCTCAAGAGATGCAATACTTCAAACTGCGCTAGGGTCAAAAGCAACATCAGCTGCTGCTGTGCGGTGTACGAAGTACTTGGGAAGGAGAAGAAGCGAGAATTTTTATCTCATTCGTTGAGATCGCTTCGGTGTCGCCCGCTCTTGGCGGCTGATGGAAGCGAAAAGGCACCTTTTTCTATTGGCACGCTCAACGACGCCATACACGGTCGCAGAGTCTCAAGTGCATGATCCGATACCCTTGCAACTCCATGAAATTTCCTTGCAAATGCGTGCCCACACCTTTGCCATGCGCCAAAACGCTCGACGACCCCACCGGCGGCAGCAGACTCTTAGCCCAGTGCAGCAATGGCCCGAACGCTTCATAGAAACGCGCCTGCTGATCGCGTGTCCCGTTGTCTATTCGTCGCCGCAATGCTCGTCTGCGACTTATGCTCTACCATAGTGCCGCGTTGACTCGATTGAGCCGAGATTCGGACCATGAAGAGAAGTGCGTCTGCCCAGTTCGCCGCTTCAGCGAGCATTTCGCGTGTCATGCCAGCACAAAAGAAGTCTGTCGTCCGCCCCAGACGGTAGACCTTCGACATCGATCTAGTTTATTGGACCTGAAAGCCCCCAAGCTTGTGCGCCGAGCAAGATCACCAGGTTTGATAACCTTACTTGGATGAGTTCGAGAGCTGCGGGCGTGGGCATGAGCAGGTCGTAGGAATCTTGAACAGGCGTAAGAGTGTTCCTTCCGCGCTGAGGAGTCTGCGTTCTGAGTATCGACTTCTGGTACGTCGTGGAGATGTTGTTGTGGCAGCTCTTGCTGGACGACAGTGTCCGATGTGCTGGGGACCACTGTCGACGCTAGCTGTGAATTGTCGGTGCGCTCTTGGTGTCCGTTCGACACACCAGGCTTGAATAACAGGGTGACCATTGCTGCAGGCATGGTTTCTTCTGTTTTGTCCTGTACAACGCTGCGCCCAGATCCCTCCGAATGCGTGGGACGATTGTCTGTACGGGCGCCTTCGTTCACAGACTTGGTTGCTGGCGCCGTGACGCTCTGAACATTGTCTGACCTTGCTGTTTCATGTGAAGGATCCTCCACTCCACTGTTGATCTGGAATCAATCAGTTTGGGCATCGACCAATACTCGCTGCTGTGGTCGTAGTTGAGATGAGCCAGACAGGCTCAGCTTGCAAATTCCGAGATGTGCTTGGGGATTAGGGGGTCTTGAAGTCGGAAGTGTGATAATACCTTTTCGATGCTAGTCGGACTCTCCTCAACTAGGCCAATTGGCTTTGTACGAAGTGGGATCTCTCCATTCGTCATGGTTCTTGAGGATCGCCGCCTGTCCTAACTCATGTTCGCATGGTGTTTGGGCAGCAACTTTTTTTTAACGAGCTGTGGCGTAGGTTCCAGATTCTCGGATATGACAGCTGCAAGGTTTATGGGATCCTCATGAGGTTTCCTTCATGCCCTGATTACTTCAGAGTTCAGCAACACAACGTCAAACAGGGTTGACGGATGTGTACCTGCCCGGACTTTAGCGAGTCTTGGCGCGAGCCATGTCGAGACCCCACGCCTACGTCACAGGCACCCGTTCTCGTCGACCAGCAGGTGTGACCACACTTTCGGTCAAAGGGTCTTGATGGCAATCTTTGCAAAGTGGCACATCGATACGAGGTCTGGAGCTCTTTGAGCCACAAATTCGCAGAAATGGCCGTTTCTGACAGCATTGCTAAGACGAAATCGCTCGATCACCTGGTTCTTACCGTGCGCGACCTAGATGCGACGATCAAGTTCTATACCGAGGTCATGGGTATGCAGGTCGAGACCTTCTCGTCCGGAGGCGAGTCGCGGTTCGCTCTGAAATTCGGTTCTTCTAAGATCAATCTGCACGTACACCGAAAGGAGTTCGAGCCCAAAGCTCAGGTTGGTAACGCCAGTCGCCGCTCGTTTGACACAAACCGTTGACCCAAGACAGAATGTCATGCCTGGCAGTGCTGATCTATGCTTCCTTGTCGAGACTGACGTTAATGATGTCCTCAAAGGGCTCAAGGATCGAGGGATTGACGTCCTTGAGGATAGTCGTGTCGTTGAAAGGACTGGTGCCCAGGGGAAGATCAACTCTGTTGTACGTGCCCGCACAAAAAACAACCAGAAGCGATGTCGTTCTTTTTGCCAACAGACTTGGCTTCCGAAGATGAACCCTCTGCTGACTCTTGGTGTAGTATTGCAGAGATCCAGACGGCAACCTTATTGAGTATCGCTCACCCTTTACCTGATGATCCCGAGGACGCTAATCTTGCAGTGTAGGATGTCCAACCTTTGCACCGGCTAGCACCATTACTATATGCCTGGCCGCAGATCTCCAGAAACTGGCTACCTATAGAACCCACTCTCAGATATGCCCGGCTCTTGCATCCATGCTCTCTCTTATGCATATCTTCGTACAGGCGTTGATCATTTCCGGAGCTCTGTGAAGTGAGCAGAAGCATAACTTGCAACTATACAGAGGAACGATGAACTACAAATGATACTACCTCATACCGGTCGGGAGCCAGATCTACTTGCGGCACATGCCGCGTTGCGAACGCCATATGAGCTGTTGTCATTGGCAGCGGTACCTTAGGCGATAATGCAGAACTGCCGACCTGAAACACTTGAGATGAGAGTCTCGCGTAAAATGCCCCGAGCGGCCTTTCCAGAAGCCAAGACCATGCTTGAATCCTGGTATACCTTGTCATGTTGCGCTGCCGTTCCCACGAGCACTTGAAACACCTATTCCATTGTCGCCGCTTGCTGCCCGATTCCAGCACGCGAGTCCGAAGTCCTCAGTTAATAATCGAATTTCGGTCACGGGCCTCGCGGCATCCTGTATGCCGCTATGGGACGTTACCAACGAAAGACCCAGCGGCAAACGTGAACGGCGAGCAGCTTATCCCAAGGGCTGCTGCACTCTGCAGATCAACTTTGCGAATCGCCAGTCAATCAGACGTTGATTCGAGTCCAAGTCAAACGCACTCATGTCCAGATCTGCCGTCCTCCACACAGTCTCCAACAGCAGAAGTGATCCCTGCTATCAGCGCTTAGGCGATCTGCCCCGCTGAACAATAATTCTCCGACCTTCTCAGTCTATAGAGTAAATGCCCAAACTACATTTGGGATGGTCAACGCGACTGATCTGCGCTGCAGCGCGAGGCCGCCCGTAGTCGGAGCTGCGCGGCGAAGATGAGCTAAGTTGAACGCCAGCCTGTCGATAGATATCCGACTTTCAGCAATTATTGGAGCTAGTCGTCACCACTGGTCTTTGCTCGGGAGGATCACGAGCTCGCGCTATACCAACTTTCGCCCGAGAGCCAGTGTTTCGATGCGAGTCATGCCGCAGTTGCTCCATAACAGAAGTGATGCGAATCTCCGGCAGGTCGTATCCCTCCTTCGGCCGCGGGCATGTCGACAAATTTGGCGGACACCTTTGTCCTGTGCGATGCCGTGGAAGCCGAATAAATCTCACGAAGCGAAGATGACTACTGGCTGTAGAATCAGCAGCACTTGACTCGAGCGTGATTGTGAACGAACGCTCTCCGTCCGCCGCTCAGTCCTCACTACTCATGTCTAGCATCGACGTAGTCTTGACATCTGGTTGCTTCTGCAGCAAGGTGGAGGCTTGCATTCGGAGTACCACCGTAGGTAAGCACGCTCCGTCTCCATTCGTGCCCAGGAAGTCGTGCCCCTGTCCCGATCGCCGTTAGTCTTTGGGCTTGCCGAGAACTGCGCTTCTCTCTTCTGTTTATCGGTATTTGCAACCGTACGCAACAGTGTCATCAGTCAACTGCCGACGAGGGCTCTCTTGTTCTTCGCTCTTGCAGAGCCGACATCTGCTCGCTGTTCCATCACGAAATCAGGAAGACTGCAAGATTACGCAGACGCGCTTGACTCTTCTGATCGCCCGGTCTCGCCCGGAGATCCTCGATTGAAGCATGTTTCGTGCTCCGCACAAGTGTGACAGTCCCGATTGCAAGCCCAGCCTTCACGGCGTTGCCTGATCGATTTGTCTAGCCTGCCATGCCTACATGGTGCCAGGTCTGGGTCAATTGAGCCAGGTAGATGAACTTGGCACTTATCAGACTTTCGGCGTGCACTATTTGCGCTGCAAAGCACTGGCTCGTGATCCCACGCATGGGAACAGAAGTCGCAGTTGATCTTCGACCCCGATACCACATACCTCCGCTCAAGGCAAGGCATAGACAGCTGCCTCTTCATCAAAACCCAACCAATAACGGTACTCGAGCTGATCTCCAGTGGCTGACCAGACCAACAACTAAAGTTGGCAATGATCGACTCAGGTCTGCCAGTTATGGCGCGACCCAATTGACTGGTAGAGGTGTACATCAAAACTCTGCTCTCCGAGAACAGCCTTTCGGGATTTCACGATTCACCCAAACCTGGAATCCCAATACCTCAATGGTCACGTCGATCATCCCATCGTGTCTACTATCAGGTACAGTACCCATTTCGTTCTTACTGCCCAACGTCAGTCCCGTCAAAGTAAAATCAGTCAACCACGGTGTTGCGCACAGGTGAACGAGACGCGTCTCTTAAGCCATATATATCTCATACGCCTCACAGTATGTTGCCAAGGGGAAGTTCTCCATGCGCAACGGTCGTTGATGTTCGAGTAGGGTATCTCTGCAGCCTCGACAAGCTTCGAACCACCTCAGCGGAAGGACATAGCTACATAGCACACAGCCATAACGCGCAGCCAGGCGAACTCTATCCGCCCCACATCTCAGTACGATACTGAGTTGCGCACCCGCGGAGAACGTGGGACTATCCACTACCTTGGGATGCCATCAGGCATCTAAAACGGTTGTCTCAGGACCACAGCGTTGTTCCAGGCTTTACGGCATACGATTCAATAGTCAGTCAAGGTCTTCAATACGTGACTACCCGGGATGGGCGTCTGAGACGCAAAAACAGCGTACTCCGTTGCATGTGAGGGTCACCACACATTGACGACCCTCCGAACCACAGTAGCAACCTGTGTACTCTGTGACTTCATTGCTGCGGCGAAAAACCATTGCATATTAGTTTGGCACAAAAACGAATGTTACATTCAAGCCTCGCAGGAACTGGAGACTCCCGGAGCATCTCTCCTCAAGCAGGTCTTACCGCAACCGCTGGAGTGGCTTGCCCACCAAACACGATCTCCGAAAACCCAATCATGCTTGCAAACCCTCGTCAGGCGAACCCACAAACACATATTATAGCAGACTTCCCGCGGTTTCCTCCTCTTCGACCACTACAGTCACTGTCTACACGTGGCTCCCTTTACCCTTCGTATGGCCATCCACGGCGACAGCCAGACACGTGGTCGATAGAAACACCTTACCCATCTCAGTATTCGACAGCAGTTTTCAGCCCACAACCTCGACATACTCGTGTTGCTCACCTGGGCTTCGAGCGAACTCCAAGAGCTGAATTTCCGACTGCCGGTGATCTTACCGCGGGCGTCCATGGACCACACGCTGGTCGACACGACCGAATTGACGAAGTTGCTGATGTCAGGTGGGTAATCTAATCCTCAACATGAGGAGCTATTGACCAGGTTTTTAGCCCCCATAATGAACAAGCCGTGTTTCCCTTCGACGTGCGACAAAGACAGACTGAGAACAGGCGCTCTCAGCCGCCACCATTGAGAACGCATGCTAGCGTCGAAGGGCCGCCATCAGCCCCCATAGTGACCAGTCCCTCCATTATGTCGTCGCAACAATCCCACTTGCATGTCAACCCCTATGCTAGGCGCTGCTCCCTTCACATTCGCCAACAGCCGCGAGCTGCACGAGCAGGGCCTGATGGAAAGGACAGGAGGCCTGTCGACCCGCCTCCGGTGCTACAATTGATGATCACAGATTTCAATCCTGATAACGAAGCAGATAAGGCAGAGATGCATGCGCAATTCGTGGTACACTGCAACTTGGTATCGGTCTCATCACCACGCGTGATATGACTACGAGGGCAGCCATTGCGGAGGATGGCTCGCGCGAGGTACAGCGCTTGTTGCTAGGGAACTATGTGTCTAGCCCTTTCCACACCAAGGACGATCCGGATCCTCCAACGATGCCACTCCATCCGTCCTCTACGGGGCAAAGCCAGCGCCCGCCGTCCCCGAGCTCTCGATTTTTCTCTCAGGGTACCACTGTTCCCCAGAACCGCACTCCTGGCGCTTTCTTCATCTTCGCTGATCTGTCTGTGCGAAAAGCAGGCGAATACAGACTGGAATTTTCCCTAATGAAAATGGACCCAATCTACTTGATGGCTGGCAGAGATCTGCCGATACTGAACAGAGTTACGAGCGATGTCTTTCGAGTGGTGAACGCCAAAGACTTCGATCAGGTCCATCCAAGCACACCTTTGGTGAAGGGGCTCCTTGAACGTGGAGCTGGATATCCTCTCAAGCTCAAAAAGGGAACTAGAGAGGGAGGAAGGAGGAGAAACACTCGTGACGATCAAGGTGCTAGCGATGACGATGACTCGGACCTCGACGATGAAGGCTGAGAATTCACAACTTCTCGCGCGAGTCAACCTTGATGCCTATTACTTGACAGAGATGTTACTGCGGCCCGCCGCCTAAACGGCTGTCGAGAGTTCGGTACGATCATCACAAATCTAGCCCTTATAAAGGCCCGACAAGCTCTCCGCAACCTCAACATGGTGTGAGCAAGATTTGGTCATGTCGCATACTACAGCTCGAGCTTCTTCGAAAATGCAGAGTGAGCTCTCACGATTCACCAACATCGCCCAACGGCCGGCATAGCCTCATCCTGGCTATCCGATCGTCGCCCAATCCACGCAAGTGCGCCATCCTGCGGGTCGTAACGAATGCTAAAGTCAAAGTTCGATCCCACGCCGAACACGAGCTGCCGTTTCAGAGTTCGGTGCAGTCTTTGCTCCTGAAGGGACGTCGCTGGTTTCTGCGACTTATCAAGGATCTACAATGGAGGGACGTAGTCAATATTTGATCAACAATCCGATTGGCAGAACAGGCAATCACCGACTGCTCGGTGCTATGACATGCTTTATGGACGTAGTCAAAGCGTGGTGCGACAAGACGAGACTTTGTGCAGATCTGGGTCTGATTAAACCCCTTGTCAAGCCATCTTAGGCCCGATTGGGACCAGCGAGTGCGAACGGCAAAGCGCGGACAAGATGGAGGACCTCAATGTGTCTGTATGCACCAAGCGCCAGCCAATGGTCCCTGAAGAGTCCTGTCAACGCTTATCGAAAGCCATCCACCTGAGACGCAGACATGATGCAGTATCTGATGTGCAAATGGAGACCGTCCACTCGATCGCCTCGGCTGCGATGCCTTACCTAATACAGGTCCGTTTTAGCATAGGTAACGCACCACCTACTTCGAGTAAAGACTTCGACGTTGTGGCGGTGATGGTCGAGCCATGACACCATTCAATTAGTCGAATAAGCGTCCTCAATGCCCACGCCTGTTGAAAGGACAACTCCGCATGGACATCCTGAACTCGGATACATGAAAGTTCAAGCCACCCGTTGTGGTCGAGATCAACGTAATGCGATTATGCTTCCTATAGCTGCAAGTTTGTCACTTGCGATCGTCCCAAGCATGTTTCGCACCTTCCTCATGGGCACCCACCGCTGCTGAAAGAGTGTCTCATGATCTGCGCAGGTTGGATATTGGCTTGTGGCAATCACTTTCTGCTAGAAGGAAGAGACCTTTAGTCGCCACATTGTGGCTTGTGTCCCCTGACGCTTGATGTACGTACAACCGGCCGGCTTGATTCAAGCTTGACCATGTACCGAAACACACTGCAACTTTGGTCCGGCACTACCCGCAGGTGTGGTCGCACAGATCTCAACGTCGTGACGTCGCAAGCCGAGTATGATGATCTATATCGATCTCGGCTCGTGAACCGAACACGCAGCCAGTCGACCCGATGGTTTCGATCGAAAACACCCGTGGGAAGCTTTGAATCTCGGGATATCGCCGCCTTCGCATGAACACGGATGTCAGACCCACGAATCCAAGACTTCACGGTCTCTAGCGGAAAGCGTAGTGGAAGCCAGATCGGAATTTCCACTCATTTCGCTGTTCCGATGCAACGGAGCATGTCTGTCAAAGCAACTGAGTCCGGGGTATAAAGTCAATGCACGGACTAAGCCCATACACGAGGCGCGGCCGAGTCTATCGTGCTCAAGCGCACACGCGAGTCAGAGCGTAATATGAAGAATTGTGCAAACGTCGCTTTTGAGTTTCCAAGTAAATTTCGAGTTATGCTGTCATTTTCTGATTACTGATCTCCTCTGAGGACATATACTGGCTCGACTGCCCATTGATCGCTTTGCTCATGCTACGATACAGTGATACCACGCCCGATCACTGCGCTCGGTGGAGGGCTCAATGCAGCAATCGCATCGTGCAGTGCATCCACTTAGCATCTCAGGTGGCTGCAGCAATCCAGAATGCGAGAACACAGATCGGCGACGCCCATGCCATCTGAACAACAGCAATCTGCATAAAACAACGTTCAAGCCACAGAGGTTTACCTAGGTACTTCGTTGCTCCGCCTACACCACTCGAGCTTCTAGTCCTGGACCGGATCTGTCAGGCCCATCCTTCAGCTTCAGTACACAGAGCTTCGCGAGAGCTTGGCCTAGCCCAAACACTTCTTACTTCGTAGAGTTTGCCGGCTTGACTTGGGAGGCTGCGCTCCCCAACGACGCCATGCCATGCTGTCGAACACGTCGTGCTATCCACGCGATAGTACCACCAAACAGACGACCATCTACGCATCGTGGCCGTGTGGACTTTTGATGGCGGTGAGGGGTCAACCGAACAGTGGCTCTGCGCCCAAAGTCTATACCAGACCGATGATCAGGTGGCGTCGAACTCTCACGCGGGCCGAGCCATTTCCGCACGAACGGTACAATTAGTGCCGCATCAGAACAAAGTCCCGTGGTGGTTGCTTGATCGAGCAAAAGGTTTGTCATAACATAGATGAGTTTGCGCACGAGGACGTGATGCCGCCTCGATGTTGCCCTCAAGAATTGGAATTTGAGCAAGAGCCGGGTAGCTCTGGCCTATGTCATCTGCTTTGACAGCGAGCGACCCTACGATGTAAGTACACTCTTACTTTCCAGGAAACTACAGGCACATGCGAGCGCAGGAGCAGTGCTCAAACGCAAGCAGCTCTGGCCACCATTGCGACCAAAGCAACGGCATCCTTCTGGTTTGGCTAGCGTACCGGAAGCACTAAATGTCCACAGGCCAAGATGACATCTTCTTGATCTCAACGGAAAAAATAGTTTTACGCGTCCAAGTCACGCTACGAAGAAGCATGTGCGTTGTCCGTGGCTCACACAGTCCGGGATATTATCCCGACTATTGTGAAGTGTCTTGTTGTGCGAGCTATGCCCATTAGTCGCGCAGTTGTATTACAACATCGTGTCACTCTTTTGACGCGAAGGGCTTCTGATATTTCAGTTGTCCTAGTCCGTACGACATCACCCATACACCCACGCCTTCCGATATGCAAGTTGATAATCGATACCGGAGCCAGAGTACTCCATATCTACTCTCCAGCGACCTCATGACTCCTGCCATCTTGCTGAAAACTCTGATACCTCCGTACGCCAGCTTGATGACAGGACCTAGTGACCACCAGTGGTCGGGAGTCCGAGGTAGACCTTGAAGGAGTCGTAGCTGTTTCAGGGTCAGCACAATTCCAGAACAGTAGGCCGGAGAAAGACATACATGAGCCATTGAAACGCCGTCAAGGTCCCAATCATGCCGATTCTCACGGGCAGTCCATTCCACAGCCCAGCGAATCCGATCTTGCCGTAGATCCTGGACATCGTCTTGCCAGCACTCTCGCCAGCTGCCAAACGTCAGTCTCGACTCCGCTCAAGGGACCCCCGGACCGTATAGAACTAGACTCACCTTGCCGATCACTGTTCAACTTGCTGACCATGACATCCGCAGGATGGCTGACTACCGCACAGGCGATACCGGCAATATAACCACCAGCAAACGACACACCAGTCTGGGCCAGCTTGCCATAATCCTCCTTCCGACCACCCATCTGCTTATAAAGTAGTTCCACCACCTTCTCAAACGTTGCAAATTTGCACATCGTGTACGGAATCTGGCGACCCCACAACGGCACAATGCCTGCATACAAGCCGCTGACTCCCTCATTGGCCACAGTTTTCGACCACGCCTCCCGCAAGTTCTTTGCATACGGCGGCAGCGTTGTCTGCATGCGCACCTTGAGCGCCTCCCACGGACAAAGCAGCACATCGGCAATGAATTCTGCACTGGCTGAAGCCGCTAGGAAGACGACTGTGCGATTCATGTTAGGGAACAGGTTGTCTCCGTACTCGTGCTTGAAGACCTCGTAAAAGCCGTATTTGCCGAGCCCTTGAAAGGAGTAGCCGACGAAGGTAGGTGACCAGCCGAAGAAGACGCCACGGATGCCTTCATTGCGGAAGATGGAGGTCCAGCCTTGTATGTTGGATTTGTAGATGCCTGGAGAGACTTGTCGGCGGGTTTTGACGAGATCGAGGGGTGTTACGAGGGTATGCGTTGGGCCGCATGCTATCACGCCCTATTGGAGGAGGTGATCAGTACTGGGTCATAATCAAGAGGGGGAAGGCAGCACGTACGCCTAGCATGCATGCTGTGAAGTACTTTGTTGAGTTGGGCTCAATTTTGCCAAATGGATAGCTGGGCGGTGCTGATAGCTTTGGTGGTTTTAATGTCGATGAAGACATTGTTTGTGTATCTGCAGGCGAATCGCGAGGTTGGGCCTGAGGGTTGAGCGGGTGGCTGCGCCCAGTCGAGGCAAGCTGTTGAGGTCTACGTCGATCAGAGGTGAGAAGCTATAGTCAACCGACTTGTGTACACGGCAATGGGCCGGCGACACAGCTGGCGAATCAGCACTGGCTGGGAGCGGGGAGTGGAAGGACAATTGACGGCGACAGCACGTTCGAAGCTAGGAGCAGCAGCAATATCAAAGAGCTCAACGAGAAAATTAAAAAGCTCACGAACCAAAGTTCAAAGCCGTGCGAAGCGGTCGGTGACGCGAGAAGCTCTGAAAGGATGTGATCAGCGGCATGTGAGCGCCAGGAACGGGCATTACTCATCCTCGCGAGCTGGTTATCTCTGCAATTCGGGAGGCTCGGATATGGTCGCGGTGACGAAGATGAAGTCATTGTGGGCCAGGGTTCCGCCAGCCGAAGCACTGGAGAAACCTTGCTTGAGCTTGTTCTGTAGCTAAGGATGAGTAAGCTTGCGAACAGCGAATCAGGCAGTGGTGCGGGTGCTCTGCTGCTAGGAACACGAGGCAGTTGCCTCCACGGAGAACATAAGGATATATACATGTTGGGACGTGATGGTCGTCTTTGTTGTGTAGAATGCCAGCGATTCTAGCCAAACCGCTACCATGAGCAGCTCTTCTCTGCAAGCAGGCGTCTGAACTCCACGCCCATGCAGTCTACAATAATGCGAGCATCGGGCTTTTTCGCCCGCGGCTTGACTTGGTTGCCTGGGGCCTCTTTCGAGGCATACTCGACCAGCGTCTGACCGTCAACGTCTTTGGTACTTGCATTGACGACAACCGTGCTGCTCGCTTTCTGCACTTTGCCCTCGGACGTGAGAGGAGAGATGGGCGTGTGATCGAGTATGTCTTGCCACCGCGACAGGAAAGCACCCGGGCCCGCGCCTGACGATACCTTCGGAGTTGGCAGGCTATGATCCTTATGTGTCGGTTGAGCATTGCGTTCCTTGGGGGATTGTGGAGCGGGAGATTGAGCTCTCGATGCAGGTCGACTTGATGGACGGCTGTTGATGCCTGAAAGCACGCTCGCAATGTGTTTCTCGTTCGAGGGTTGCGAATGCAGCACTGCCTCCAGTCGGCTCCTAGAGGATGCGTGCATCTCGTCCAAGTACTCGATCTGTGCATCCAGCACTGGAGTGATCTGCTTTTGCTGCTCCTTCGTGAGGCTCTCGAACAGCTTGTTGAGCTCTGCATTCAGCTTGCCAGCATCAGTATGGCCAGCTTCGTCCTTGGCACCTTCTGCTCGTTTGAACTCAGCGGCGGCACCTTTGGCCCAGCCCAAGTACCAGTCGACGAGTTCGGGACCATTCTTGCATGCTTGATGTATGAAAGTGTGGCACGAGAACTGGTGCTTACGCAAGAGCATCACGAAATCGCCCACCGAAGGGTTTATGGTGTTGCCCTTGCTGTCGGACTGAATCTTGCCGACTTTGATCATATCTCGGATGAATGACTCCATGTCTGAGATAGTACCCGACAGGTTGATAGCATTGTGCATATCCCTTATGACAGGATAGTAAGCATCGACGAGTTCTCGTATCGACTTGGTGAAATAGTCCGGACTAGTGTGGCACAAGACTCGAATGATCTCCTGCCTATCACGGATCGAGAGTTGTATGCTGAGATATTCCAGTGATATCTCATGCTCGTGTTCATTGAGTGTATGCTCAATGTCCCTCGCTCTGAAGATGGCAGTCACAATGGAGATGGACTCCTTCTGACTTTTGCTTCGTATTCGCTCCTGCTCTTCTCGCGGCAAGGAAGGATACTCCTTCAGGATTTGTAACTGCTCCTTGGCACTTTTGCCGCGTTCCTTCTCGATCTTACTTGCCCGACTATCGAGCTCTCTCGTGTCCCAATGTAGTACTGTTGAGACAATGCTGCACATATGAGCAATTGCTGGAGAAGGGTAGAAAGAGCACTTACTGTTGGAGCAAGTTCATTCCATCGTCGGCATTTGATGTCAAGCCTATCCAGTTGGTTACACTGGTTACGCTCATCTTGGCCAGAACAACCCGCATCATCGCACTGATCATGGAAGCGACATTGCCGATCTTGAGTGTCTGTCTAATGACCAGGTAGGGTATCAGCTTGTTGGCATTTTCGATCAGCTTGAGCAAATATTGCCCCTTGGGCGATAGAACAAGCGTGTAGTGCATCAAGGATGCAACACTATATCGAGTAAGCACACAACCGCAAGGCCTTGCCATTGCACTCACTTTACGAGGACAAACTCATGTACACCTTTGATCAGCGAGCTGTGCTGGCTCAGATCATCTGTTTCGGAAGCCTTCATGACTGTCTCCTCCAGAGCAGTCCCGTAGATGCATCCGTCCATGAAGTCTCGGAAAGCACGGGCGAGATCGTCTGCCTTTGAGATGTCGTAGTGGGAATCACTGTCCTTGACTTCCGCAAAGCCACCGAATGTGCCGCGAACGGGATACTCGATGAGTGCTGAGATGGCTGTGGCCAGAGTTTTCCGACTGCCGATGGAACCTTTGTCATAGCTCTCGCTGAGGTTGGACTTCTCGAAATTCTCGATAATGTCATGACATTGTACCTTCCACCAGTCTCCAGGCAGATCCCTTAGCCCAGGAAGGGTCAGCAGATACTTGGTGACAAGCGTCTGGAGTGCTGGAGCAGTAGATGGCTGTCCGACGTGTGTGGTAAATGGCGGCCCATAATGCGCCAGACTACCGACATTTCGAAAATCTCTGATCTCCTGGTACGTGTCATAGTGCGAAAGTATGTCAAACAAGGCGGCCGATTGACCAGGTGACAGAGTTGTAGCCATATTGCCTCTCCATAAGTGTTCGTTCAGACACCTGAGCCACGTTTGCAACTACACTTGTCGAGTGTCAACTCCAGACATGCTCCTCGTTGTCGCCTTCACGCTTTTGGTGTACTGACAGCCTGGTCGATGACGTTATCCAGAGGCGGCACTGTCTGCAAATACTCGAATGCTCACGTGAGAGACTTAGTGAACGCGGGCTCTCGCGAATGACCGTGGTTGGGAGATCCCAAGGGCTCGCTTATCTAGTCAGCGTGAATGAATAAGAATCATTTACAAAATGCCGTCTACAATCGGATGGTATTCGTGCACACGAGGAATACTTTGCTTTTGGAGAACGTGGAATTGCATGTCGTATGCGGCGAATCTTAGGGGGCATGAACGCATCAGTAAAGCTACCAAGGTAGCCGGAAGTCTCGCCAAGCGACCCGTCGACTTCACTTCGTTCATCTCACTCTACGTCGTATGATCCTTCTCAACCACTTGCTCAGCTTGAACATCGACTTACATCGCGCCTTCCAAATATGACAGCATTCAATCCGCCTAGCCTCTTGATCGAGTCCAGCCAACCGTACTCGAAGCCTAATTCGTCCCACGTGTCGTAGTAACCTGGATGCGTGCTTAGCTAACCAGGCCCTGATCCGTCGCCCAAATAACGAATCTTACAGCGGCGCTACTTTGGCATGCTCCTAGGTGGAACCTTCCCCAGGAACCATGAAGTATACCTGGAGCTGAACTGCTGATTAGTTGACCTTCTTGCGTGACATTGCTGCTCTTACAACAAACGCACCGCCGGTCGAAACGAACATACTCGTCAGGTATCGCTTGATGACTACCTTAGATACATGAAGCGAGAGGGTCGCAGGAAGTACTGGATCCTTCTCGGCGTCCCAAAGGTGAGATATAAGAATGGCTCTACAGTTGCCACAGGATGATCCATTCACTCTTCGGGACCTCCTCACCAATTCTGTGGACCTAACCATAGATGTCAGGTAGACTTTCCGCCCTACGCAACACTCTGAGACGACCGCACTTCAAGGCCAGCTCTCGTGATAATCACAACCACCGTCATCACGACGAGATGGCGTTCCACCGGGCCCTGGACTGGAACGAAGGCGAGGAAGAGGTCCACCGACTGACCGGCGTGGGTCGTCTGGTCGGCGACAATCCTACATCCTCGTTCCTTCAGCCTCGCGCAGCTCACATGGCAGCTCGATATCCTTTGCTAGCACTCGGAACCAAGACCACAAACCCGACCACAGGAAGGGACGAGATATGGTGCACAGTGTGGGGCGGAAAGACGCCCTTCGCACAGCAGATCGCACCCTCAGTATTGGGCGTTCGGACAATCGTTGACACCAAGTTCGACCCAGTAGTCGAAGCACTCTATGGTGGCAAAGTGAATGGCGAGGTGATGCGAGCAGACGAGGAATCAGGCGGCAGGCTCATGGCAGGACTGAGCATCAACCTCGAAGAACGTGGCCGCATGAAGCTAGCCGGACGAGTCATGGCCGGCGCCTGCGAGCAGCACACCAACGACGACTCTGACACCAGCTTTCCCGCCACCGGCGCTGGCGAAGCCCAACTTGTCCTCAAAATAACCCAATCCCTCGGCAACTGCCCCAAATACCTCAACCGCAAAACCATTACCCCAGCAATCCCCAATCCACAACTGCTCGAATCTGGCGCCCTCCTCGGGCCCCAATCCCTCGCCACAATCGCTCAAGCCGACCTCTTCTTCCTCGCCTCCGCTCACAAGAACGAAGACATGGACTGCAACCACCGCGGCGGCCCACCCGGCTTCCTACGCGCCGACCCCAAACCCAGTACCACTGCCAACGGCACCACCGCCACCACCCTGACCTGGCCCGAATATTCCGGCAACAATCTCTACCAATCCCTCGGCAACCTCTACACTTCTCCCGAATGCGGCATCTGCATTCCAGACTTCACCACTGGCACCGTTCTGTACCTCAGCGGCACAGCCGAGATCCTCATTGGGGCCAAACTCGTGTCCTCTGTGCTCTCGCACTCCTCCTCGCGGTCCGCTTCACCGTCACCGCCTGCCGTCTTGTCGCCGAAGGCCTCCCCTTCCGCGGCGCCAACATCCCTACATCCATCGACAAGCTCGAAGGCCGCTCCCCCTATAACCCACGCGTCCGGTACCTCCTCGCCGAAAACCTCGATCCCAACGCCACCACAAAGTCCGACACACCCCTAGTGACAGCAACCCTCACCTCCAAAACCCCCCTGACCCCAACAATAACCCGCTACCGCCTCTCCCTCTCCGACCCGAAAATCCACGGCCCCTGGCTGCCCGGTCAGTTCGTGGCGCTCGACTTCTCTGAGGAGTTGGACATGGGGTACAGCCATATGCGGGACGATGATCCATTGAGTTTGAATGATGATTATATTAGGAATTTCACGGTGAGTAGTGTGCCGGGGGCGTTGGGGGTGCATGGGGAGGAGTTTGAGGTTACTGTCAGGAAGGTTGGGCGCGTTACTGCTTGGATGGCTTCGCCTTTGCAGAGGGTTGGGCAGGTTGAGATTGGTGTGAAGGGGTTCGGTGGAGAGTTCAAGTTCGACTTCGGCACAGACGAGAAAAAGACAGTAGGCTTCATCGCCGCGGGCATCGGCATCACGCCCTTACTCGGCCAGTTTGGGACGCTGCTAGACAAGAAGTCTGGCGATGACGATGCACACCTGATCGACCGCACCACAACGATGTGGTCCCTCGGCGTACGCGACGTAAACCTCCTCTTAACCCTCTTGAAGGAGCACCCAGCGCTGCTGACGCACGGCAACCTGCATGTCTTCCTCAGCGGCGACGAATCCACTGCGCTCAAGTCAGACAGCAAAGCACGGGAGGCATTGTACAAAGTCCTGGATCTAGCCAACGAGGCGGAGAACTCGCCGTCCGGGTTGAAGGTGTTCAGACGGCGTATCGCTAAGGAGGATCTGTCAGAGGCGGACAAGGGTGTGGATGAGTGGTACCTGTGCACGGCACCGGCGATGCGCGAAGAAGTGCAAAGTTGGCTGCCGCAAAGGGCGATCGTGTTTGAGAATTTCAACTACTGAGTGAGCCGACTTTTCCGGCTCAAGGTGTCTTTGGGAGGGGTTAATGTTGTGAAAGTGTTATAGTCGCTGCCGAGAGCATACCTAGGTAATTATCGGACGTTGGAGGACAACAGTCTCCAGTATGAATCACTTCACTATATAAATCATGGTAGAGAATGAAGTCTGTCATTTTCGGAGTACTCTAGCGTACTAGGATCGCGCGCGTGCTCCTACGCTAGACACATGATACATACAAAAGGCGACAAAATGCTGTCTGCCCAATCCATCAGTTATCAGTGCGTGGTAGCCCATGCTGCTTGCTCGTTGGCTCATTCGTGCGTGGCATCATGCCATCAATGCTTTTCATTCCGGCTTTGCTTGCCTTCGTTTGACACTCTATGCATTCACTGGCCCTCGACTGCAAACGCATGACTTCGTTAACCAGCATCGGTCGCATCGATCGTTGTCCTTGCTTGGCCTGGAGATTCTTCACGGCATTGATGCTGTCGTTGCTCCTTGTTTTGCCTGGAGATTCTTCACGGCATTATGCTGTCGTTGCTCCTTGCTTGGCCTGGAGATTCTTCACGGCTTTATGCTGTCGTTACTCCTCGCCGTCGACTCTTGCTGATTCGTTGGACGCTGGTGAGTCTGAAAACCACTGGTGTCGATAATAATATGCTCTTCGTGCTGGCTGCCTCAGCAAGACCACAGTGAGGTTCGATCTAGCCCTACCGAGGTTCTATGGGGCCTGCTCAGTCTCTCATGTGGACGTCGTTCGATGGACCAGCAACGACGGCGACTTCGCTGAATGCTCGCATTCTGCTCTCGGCGACTCGCTCGTCCATGTTCTGGTGAAGTTCATGCTCTGCGTCTTTGTCAGGCAGACTCAACGGCGTGTCCGATCTCGTTGCGCCTAGCTCATCACCAGGTGGCGAGAAAGACCATACCTGTGCATACTGTCAGCATGGTCGGGTCATAGGATAGAAGGCTTTCCGCGAAGGAAAGTTAGCAAGACTCACCTCCATGATCGTCCGATTCGAGCGACTAGCCATAATGACCGCCTTCTCCTCCTCGAATGCCACACGCCACACCGCCTCTGCAGGCTGGCTCAACTCTCGAACCAATTGACCTGTCTCCACACTCCAGATCTTGACGCGACCATCACTTCCGCCACTGACAATACGGTTGTCATCGAATTGCAGGCTCGTAACACTATTATCGTGCGCTGCTAGACGATGAATCGGCGTCATTCTCTGCAACGACCACACCCGGACTGAACCGTCTGAGCCACCAGTCACGAGAGTGTTGCCACGCATCTGGAGTTGACCGACGAGCGAGGTGTGACCTTGGAGGATGGCTTGACACATGCCATTCTTTGGATCCCAGATGCGGACGCTAGTGTCGAGACTGCCAGTGGCGATACGTTGACCATCGAAAGCGATGGCATAGATCTGACTGAAGTGGCCGGTCAAGGTTCGCAGACATCTGCCTTCGGATATGCTCCAGACTCGGGCGGTTGTGTCGTAGCTGCCGGAGACGCAAAGATCGCCGTGAATGGCGAGACATCGAACGCTGGCTTGGTGGCCGACTAAGACTGTCTTGCACATGCCAGACGGGATGTCCCAGATACGTAGAGTTGTGTCTCTTGAACCCGAAATGGCGGTATGAGCATCCGACATCTTCAGGCAGCGTACTGTTGAAGTGTGACCTCGTAGAGTATGCACGCTCTTACCGGTCGACATATCCCAGACTCTGACATCTCGATCACAACCACCGCTGACCAGAATGTCGTCCCACGGAACCATCGCCCAGACACCCATAACATGGCCTCTCAGAACATGCTGTGGTCTTCCAGCAGTGTCGAAGACATGAATCTTAGCGTTGTCCATAGCGACGACAATGTACTTGTCAGTCAAGTGAAGACTCGTGACCACACCTGGATCTTGCAGGGGATGAATTTGAGCGTCGCCACCTTTTCGCCAGGCAGCCTCGATCATGTACTTTCGTCGGAACTGGTGGTGATATGTGCGCGAGTCTCTCTTCTTGGAGCGAGGGCTCAATGGTGTGTCGTCTGGTGCGAGTGTGAGATTGGGCGCACTATTTGAGGGACCGACTAATGCTCCGTCGATCGTTCGCTTCGGCGTCCTTCCGGCGAATGAGTATGGGCCGCGTGCGGCTTGTGGTAGGTACAGTGGCTCGATCTCTTCCGAGGCGTCCGAAGACTTTCGGTATGCATGCTTGTCACACATGTTCTTCCACAGCATGTCGTCATTGAGTAGTTTGTGCCAGCGACTTGACACTTGTGAGGCTCGTGCGAGGCTTCGAGGATCGTCGATAAAAGAGAGCACCTGAAATTGTCAGCAACGTGAACTAGTGTCTCGGCGTGAACGGTGAACATACCCTTAAGCACAGCTCATCTGGCAAGTGCTCAAACGGATCCTTCTTCAGACGTGGAGAAACAAAATGGTGAACAAAGCTCAGCAGGTTGTTGTCGCACATATTAAGTAGCTCAGCAAGATAGCGTTGCCGTTCAGCTGGATTAAGACTGCCAAAGTGTACTCTTGTGTCCCGTAGGATGAGTCTTCATTCTCGCCAGCAGACGTCCAGCTCGGCACTCTCTGATAAGGGGTTGGTGACGGTGCTGGTGTGGGTGGTGAAGCCGGAGCAGATGGCAGTCCACCCATGGTCGACATACTGGGCTTGTTGGAGGTAGACAGCCGCTTGACACGGCTGTGTGACATCGAGGGTTTGGTTCTGTAGGCGCGCATGTCGGCTATTGGGGCGGTGGCAGGTGGTGCAGAGAATTGGTAATCACCATCGTGGTCGAGTGAGTCCCGTGGGAGGTACTCGGGGTATTGTGTGAGTCTCTCTGGGTCTATTGGAGGAGGCTTTGCACGAGGAGAGAGAGGGCGATCGACAGCCATGTCGTCTGAATCCATGTTGGTCGAGAATCGGAGTAGGATGGCAGGGTTGTGACGTGCTAGCGCTACAGACGTCAGAACAGACAAGTGCCCGTCACTCAACAGAGCACGCGAGGTGGGCCGTATATGATGGCTAGCTCGCGCTCATTGTTGTCGCCGTCGCTCGTAGCAGAGCCGAATGCTGTAGGATTGTCGAGTCCTGGTGTTGTCAAGCGCTGTGGCGGGAGAAGAACTTCTGCAGTGACGCACTCGGCGCTTGCGGCTTCCAGGCGGCGTCTGCAGAAGCGAATGATGGGTAGATGGCCCGCAGATCGACAACGGATCGTCCTGTGTTCAACTACAGGCAGATCTCGCCGAATATGATGTGTTGTGGTCGCAGATGTATTGTGTTGTCAGTGCAGGGAGGACCATGAACAATGATGGAAGAGGCTGGCAAGCGCGGCCTCGCGGGATAAGGCCGGCGATTTCCATGTTGTCGAGGGAGTCCAAGCCTAGACTGCCTCGATATGGCAGCACAGGCGAGCACAGGGCAGCCTTGGGATGCAGCAGCAGCAATGCAGTGACACATTCTCCCAGTGTTGCGGCCAGCACTTACTGTTTGTTGGTCCTTTCATTATCGTCGTGTCGCTTGGTACTGCAGTTCTTGGATGAATCGGGTGTCCTGCGTGCAGTTCTGGTAGAACTCAATGGCAGAAACGTGCAAGTCCAAGCAAAGTTGCTAGAGGCTCCGCGCCAGGCGTTCTCCTTTCCCATTCACTGGTCTGCAGTAGAGGTGTTCTTAGCATGGTCAAAATGTCTACGTGCAACTGCTCTTGATTCATGTTAAGTACAAAAGTCACCTTTATTCTCGGTGACAGGGCACGTGAAGATGGCATTCACCTGCTACTGGTCCCTACGGTACTGCAAGAGGTTGGAACTACGACTGAAGGTTCAGCACAGTACCATGCCCTCGGCACTGTGGGAGACAAAGGCAGATACCCTCAGCAGTAATCACATTCTGATGTGCCTCTGATACTTATAGTAGTACATCCAAAGAATAGACCAACCCAGCATGCTAAAACCCAATGCCCGCTTCAGTGAGCGTGCCCTATCTGCAAGAACAGCGGCAGTATCATCCCAAACACAGCCGCCCCGAGATCCACCATCGAAGGCTTCTCTTCCTCCGACTGCTGCGAATCCCTCCCACCGTCGACGAACCCATTCGCACCTCCCTGACTGCTCGACTCATGATGACTCCTCGACGTCTCCTGCATGGCATGCATCGCCACATACAAGAATGTCCCGCCAGAAAATAAAAGTAGCATGCCGGTCCAAAACGTCGTACCTTCGACCGTGCTAGACGTGATGCCTCCTAGCACATTCGCTATGATATACGTGATGATCGCTCCGGCCGGTGCTGCTAGGCTGAACAGGACTAGATGGCCACGTGCTGAGCGTTTCGAGAGTCCTTGCTTCAGCAGAATGGACGTGAGGCCAAAAGCGGCTGGCGCTTTGTGGACCATGATGGCAAAGAATATGATGAGACTCAGGTCCTGGTGGCTGTCGTCGAAGATGCGCCCAAAGCAATGCCGTCGGCCGCCGCGTGGATGACCAGACCGATAGTCGTCGCGAATCCTCGCTGGTGATTCACCACAGCTTTGTCCGAGGCTAGAAATCCTTCCGCTTCCGAATCCTCCTCGCGCTGGTTCGACGTCGACAGGTTAAATCTCCGGCCTAGGTTGTTCAGCGCGATGTGGTGTGTTGGCGTCTTAGTCTTGGACGGCTTCGTGTATTGTGGCACCTTATCAATCAAGTACATGAGGAGAAACCCCGAGATCAGCGCAACTCCGACCCAGGCATGAGGTGAGCTGTCTTCATCTTTCTCCTTGTGCTCACCCTTGCTGTCCTTCGCTTTCTCGTCAGCCAGTATGCTTATGACGCCGGGCTCTGTAGGCGTCTTGGGAGGGTCGGACAGCGCGCCTGGTATGACAGGTCCAGGGAGAGCGAATGGATCAGGCCTCTCCTTCGCTTCGCGCGCATACAAGTCGTCTGCATAGACTGGCTCTGGCTGCTGCATCCGCCGCACATCGAGCGATTCGTGCTGTGCCATCCCTCTCTTGTGCACATGCGATGCACCTGGCATGCTGTACAGTCCATTGACGCCCTCGGGTATTATTACAATCAGGGATGTGCCAACCAGAACTCCCATGCCCACCGTCGAGATCAGTCGCAGTTGCGTTTGCGACAGCGTCAGCGTCAGTGGCAGTATCCCCGCTAGGAACGATGCAATCGCCATGACCAGCGACAACGACAGTAGCTTCAGGAGCGCCATGGTTGCGACTTTAGTCCCCCGGCGGGGAAGTAGATCTGTGTCGAGATGCGGCCTTGTTTGCAGTCCTGCTATAAGGAACAGTAGACGGAACGATCGTTGATACAGGAGCTCATAGTGGCGCGATCGTGAGGATCTGTGCAGCTACAACGAATGAGGACCAAGATACTGTGGGTGAGTAGATACCATCCCTTCACCTTGTCAATCGCGACTTCGTTGGAGTTCGTGATGCAGGGGATGGGCGGAGTGGAGAAACCTTCGCCTGGAGCCCGACACTTTGTCAACCGGTTTTCGATATAGTCCTTGAAGCAACATCACTGCCGTTGTGGCAGCCAATTCGGAGATGCTTGCATTTACCTGAGCACCGTTGGGCCACATTCAAGGGCTGATCGAGCCGAGCATTTCATGAAGTATTTGGCGGTGGCTATCATACTACTCCGATCCATAAAATGCTTAGGAGACAAGACATTCATGCGTGCAAGCATAACGTGACGAGTGTATGTGATGCGATCCGTACGAACTCGTTGATACACATATATGTATGCCCCGTCGACGCTGGAGCAAGATGACATATTGTTGCAAGAACCCTCGGGCGTCCGCATCTCAGTGATTGCCTTCTTCACGCTTTTGACGACACCACGATGCCACCACAACGCTCCCACGGCTTATGCCTTTTGTGTGAACGCGCTGTACCAACACCTGCTCTCAAACCTCCTCGTCCTCTTCTACCAGTCTTCGAGTGCAGATCTCGGCTTTCTCAGCAGGAGCATAATCGCTTGCGCATGGTAGAGAGAGCCACTTGCAAATGCCGTGTCTTGACAAAAATCAGTAACACCGACGATGTTCACGGCGGCTCACTCACCTTGTGTGCTTCTTGAAGTCATAGACGTAGGCGTCAGTGGTCTGGTCTGTCGTCAAGAACCGTTCAATGACGAAGTTCCGAGCCTGCAACTGTGATGCTAAATCCGATCTACCGACGAGATGATCGAAGCCGCCGTCCTCTCCAGCGCTAGGATACCCTTCGCCTAGGGAGATGCGGCTGCCAGAATCGCTAGTCTGACCCAGACCAGCTCTATGCGGAGCGGCCAGTCGATCGTAAGCGTCTTCGTCACCGTCCGAACGGATTGAGTCGTCGGATGCATCTGAATCGTCTGGGTCATCCTCGTCCTCTAGCTCGCCGATGCCGAAGGGGAAGAAGTCTTCCACTGAACAGCCACATCCAAACACCCAGTCTTCTTCCAGAACGGCAAAGGTGAGCCGCTGGAGACTGGGACATTCGTCAATGATGGCATTGATTAGCGAGGGATGGATCCGACTCTCCGCAATACCAAGAATGGATAGGTTAGGTGGATAGTGTTCCAATACATGAGTGGCCATGTCGGGATACTGCTCGTCGAGGCGAGCGACATACAGCTGACGAACAGATGGCAGCGCAGCCCAGGGCAGGATCGAAACCATAGATATTCCGTCCTTGTAGAGGATAGTTCGAAGCTTGGCCAGCGGTAGAGTGGTATCGTCTCCTTCCTGCATCTCTTGCACATAGTGTAGGAATAGGTTCGAAGCTTTATCCCAGAAAGGTTCTCCCAGGACTTCCAGCGTTCCGAGATTTGGAAGCAGAGTCAACAACATGATCAGACACTTGCCGCACTCGCACTTCTGTTCTTCTTCGTGTGGCGAGAGCTCTTCCTCAGGATCCCCAAAGTTGTAGATGAAGCTAATCTCAATGTCACGACGCCAGTATCTAGCCACCTTGCGTTCGAAAGCTGGGTCGAAGGCGGACCAGTACCATGGATCACCCAGAAACTCGAACAGCGCATCGTTTTCGTCATCGGGCTCTTCATGACCATGATCAGCATCGTAGTTTCTATCATATTGCACTCGACGGACGTAACGTGCTCGCCATGGATCGAGGAACAGTTGATAGAGAGCAGTGAGGGGATCGTGGACTGCCCATACCCCAGGAGGCGGGTTCGGATTATTGCTGATGTAGAGTACCGAGTACTTCACGCAATACTCTCGGTGAAGTCGCAGACGGGCATCGGACAGTGAATGCAGGCGCTTGTTGCATAGAGAGAACGAGATGGCGTCCGTCGGCGGAAGTATGGCGGCCATCGTGCAGATGAGATCGTCATATAGCTCTCCGAGTTGAGTGGCTGTCATCGTAGCTGGTGTGATTGTAATGAGCAGAGAGGTAGAAGACTTTGTTGACAGCTGAGATAAATACGTCGGTATGAAGGGCAGTGGAAGTGGGCCTGTTGGAAGAGAAGATCATGGAGAGAACAGATGTTGAAGAGAGGAGATGATGGAGCAAGCTGAAAGAGACGATGTACAAAGGACAGATGGGCAAAATGCACTTTCCTTCGAAGCTACTGCAAGATGCGTTCTGGGACGCGTTCCTTCCGCTTTAGCTGAAATTGCTTTCGACTTGGGCAAGGTTACTCCAGTCCAGTATCTCGTACCTTGCTACCTATAATACAAACATCACTTCGTCGACACTTTACCGAGTCGGAATATCCTGAAATCTCTAGCCTGATGTCCAGTTGAGAAAGCGACTGCGACTCCCAGGCCATGTCAATTGCCAGCTGCTGATCCATTACCGGTATCCGCTCTCCAGTCCAACCAAGAGGCATCCAAGATCGACTCCGGAAAATCCGACTATGGCTCCGCCGTGAACTTCAAATGATTCTCGTAGAACTTGAGCATAGCAATCGGACAGTGGTCGTAGATCTGACTCATGCTGACCTTCGTGTGCGGCTTGCCGGAGTCCTTCCATCTGATGTATGCCGTTAGTTGACCGGTTGTACTGTCTCTGTCGATGTGTTCGATTTTGTTGATCTGTGACTCCCAGCTTTGAGTCTTCGGGAACCAGCCACCTTCTCCTCCATCATCACCATCATCGTCATGGCTGATCTTTGACCGCTTCGAGACCGGAGTAGACGTATCTGTCTTCAGATTACTCTTTGATTTTTGGCGCTTGATGCCTTTGCTGTCTGGGCCGCTTTCTATGGCAGGATTGTATTTGATTTTCTTGTGGTATGCTGCTAGAGCGTCTCTAGCGTCCCTGCAAGGTCTCAGCTTCTACCTGCTGATGAACGGCGCGAATACTCACGGCAGGAGATTCGCTTCTGGTTCGTCTGTGTTCTCTGAGGCCGGGTATCCTTGCCACTTGACTTTGTACAACACATCCTGTTACTTGTCAGCGAAGACCGCCTTTAGGGCACAGTAATACGGACATTACCTTCGCCTGAGTGTCCTACAATTCTCTCGACGACGAATCTGTGGCCGAGTCAGACGCGCAAGCAGTGAGGTGGTCTGCGCCGGACTCACTCTTCCTCTTCACCCTCCTCGCCATCAGTTTCGTCTTCTTCCGCGCCGGCTTTTGGCCTCTCCGGCAGGTCCTCGTAGGGAATGCTACCGTCGCTGGCATCATCGTCTGCAATCAAACATTAGCTCGCGCAAACATGGCCAGAATGGATCCCACGCACCGTTGATCTGAGGCATCTAGGGCGACAGAGACCGCGCCTACGCGACCACTCTGCGATCGCCGCAAGTTTGCGCCTTAGAGGATCTTTGCGTGTAACAAGATGTGAGGAACATGAGGTCGGGGTAAGTTTGGTAGCGTGCAGTCGAGCCGGACGTCGCTAGCGCGTTCTCGCCCGCAATTCTTGGCGCTGAGCGGCTCCAGTCCGAGAAATTCTTAGAAATTGTTCGGCCAGGCGACCGGACTCCTCACAACGTCGAAACACGAGTCGAGACCACGAGTGCAGCATTGAAGTCACTATTGCTGTCATAGCCATTGGCACTTCAATACAATCAATCCTTCGGCACGGCCATACGAAATCTAAGGCGCCGATCAAACGTCGCAAAAGTCCCCCGAGCGGGGCACGTCCAGCAACATGGCGATGCAATTAGACATGGCCAATGCGCAGGTCATGAAGGATGAGTCCGGTCGGCCCTTCATCGTCGTGCGAGACCAAGGCAAGAGGAAGAGAACACACGGCAACGACGCCATCAAGCAACATATCATAGCGGCTCGCACAGTCGCAAACATCGTACGCACAAGTCTAGGACCGAAAGGCCTCGACAAGATTCTTATCAGCCCCGATGGAGACATCACAGTGACGAATGATGGAGCTACAATCCTCGGTCAGATGGAAATATCAAATCACGCGGCCAAACTGCTGGTCGAGCTCTCCCAGTCGCAGGATAACGAAATCGGTGATGGTACTACGGGTGTGGTCGTGCTAGCAGCGTCATTACTTGAACAGGCAGCCGATCTCATGGACAAGGGCATCCATCCCATCCGAATCGCCGACGGTTATGATCAGGCCTGCGAGGTTGCAGTGACGCACCTCGACACCATCAGCGACATACTCGAGTTCTCCCGCGAAGACCAGGATAATCTCCTCAAGGTGGCCAAGACGAGTTTGGGCAGCAAGATTGTCAGCAAAGCACACGACCAGTTCTCGAAGATCGCAGTTGATGCCGTCATGTCGGTTGCAGATCTGGAGCGGAAAGATGTTGATTTCGAACTCATCAAAGTTGACGGCAAGGCTGGTGGCTCGCTGGAGGACAGCTTGCTGGTGAAAGGTGTTATTGTCGACAAGGACTTCTCACATCCACAGATGCCAGATGAGGTCCGGGATGCTCGACTTGCCATCCTCACGTGTGCCTTCGAGCCTCCGAAGCCCAAGACTAAGCACAAGCTCGACATCTCCTCGGTCGAGGAGTTCAAGAAGCTACAACAATACGAGCGCAACAAATTCACAGAAATGATCGATCAGATAAAAGACACCGGCGCCAACGTTGTCATTTGCCAGTGGGGCTTCGACGACGAAGCGAATCATTTGCTTCTTCAGAACAAGCTGCCCGCTGTGAGATGGGTTGGTGGCCCGGAGATCGAACTCATTGCCATCGCCACCAACGGTCGAATAGTGCCACGATTCGAGGACCTCAGCGCGGACAAGCTAGGGCGGGCAGGTATTGTACGCGAGATGAGCTTCGGTACCACACGCGAGAAGATGCTGGTCATTGAAGAATGTGCCAATACGAGAGCGGTCACAGTGTTTGTTCGAGGCAGCAACAAGATGATCATCGATGAGGCAAAGAGGTCACTTCACGATGCTTTGTGCGTGGTACGGAATCTGGTTCGCGACAACCGCATCGTTTACGGCGGAGGTGCGTCGGAGATCTCATGTTCGGTCGCGGTGGAAGATGCTGCTGTGAAGAGCCCCGGTCTCGAGCAGTACGCCATGCGAGCATTTGCTGATGCGCTCGACGCCGTCCCGATGGCATTGGCAGAGAATTCTGGGCTGAGCCCGATCGAAACTCTGGCAGCATTGAAGTCGCGGCAGGTACGCGAGAAGAATAGCCGACTGGGAGTGGATTGTATGCAGACAGGCTCCAACGACATGAAGGACCACTTTGTCATTGAGTCACTGATATCCAAGCGGTCGCAACTGTTATTGGCGACGCAGCTGTGTCGCATGCTGTTGAAGATCAACAATGTCATCATAGCAGGCGACGATCAAGGTGAATTCTGAGGATGATGAAACGCGATGAAGCGTGATCTCTCGGTTGCATTGATGGTGGATTATTGGCGCAATGATAAGGATCCTGTTGATACCCATAGCGGCAGATAAATAGACCGACTGCATGTGAGGTCACGCAAATGCCAGTCCTGAGGAGCACGCTGGACGAAGTACCTGTGCCAGACCTTTGCGTCCCAACCCAGTGGGTGTTCGTCGCGATTGCCCCCAGGCAGGTGTAGCGCAATTGTACCTGCATTAGAGCCAAGGATTACCCGACTTCTTCGGGTGCCCCTGCCAGTGATTCGAGGAGGCCGATCTGAAACATCTTGGGAGCCGCTAACAAAAAGCTTCCGTGTCATCGGAGCTCGAACGGGCTTGTCTTCTCCTAGCCGTTTCGCGCGCAGTCAGCGTCCTCTCGGCCTCATCTTCGTCTCCTTGCGTGCTATCTTCACTGTATCGACAGTGTCCGATCGTTTCATCGAATCCGAAAGTTGTTGCACCATTCATTCAGTCACTCCTTTATTGACGACAAACCTTTTCAACAACGCACAGAAAGGTCCAGAGCCTATCCACATTCCTTTGTTTGTTCCCCCAGCCACTGCGGACTTTCTGCGCACGTCAATCTGTCTCATCTACCCCGTCTTTCGACTTCAAACCGCCTCCCTCGCCTTAAGCGGAGTGCTGTCTGTCAAAGCTCGAAAGAGGAACGGGTCTGCAACGTCGCGTCTCATCTGCAGAAGGAACGGTATTTTATGTCTTGAGCACCCTCCTCACGGCATCTGTTCAGGCAATTGAGCTGGTCTCTTGTGCTCTGAACGCGGCTGCGCCGCCTTGAAGTCAGTCGTTACGATCGCTGCCGAGCAGCGCACGGAGAGAAATGGGTTGCTGCGGGAAGAGAGAGCGCTTCGGCGATGTGCATGATGAGCAGAAGTGGGACTATGTTGTACGTATGCCCGACATCTCTGAGCTGGCCATGTTTGCTGACGACGTTACCAGAATCTCGACGACTTCAAGTCTCGATCATGTTGGACCGGCTTCGGTTATGCCTACCTTATCATAATGCTTATCGTCTCCATCTCAATCTACGTCGTCGACACGTTCCTCGCCATAAATCTGCTTGCCTTCAACAAGTGGGCCGGTCAGATCGAGCCAGCTATTCCCTTCACGATATCGCGATGGATCTTCGCTGGCTGTATTATTCTCTCATACATCCTCCTTATCGAGCGATGGATCCGAGCAGTAAGAGTTATGAAGCAGGGAGGTGTTGCGAAGAGCTATCTCGACCCTCTCGCAGTGCGAATACAGTCGATACGGATGGGCGCGAATGGACGAGGGTATCGACGTTTCCTAGTCTTCGCCGAGTTGACGAAGAGCCGGAAGGGCGCCGACTACGTTGCGCTGTTCTCATACTTTTCGTTCGAAGCGGCCATTCGGATCATCTTCGCTGAAGGCCCTCGAGTTGTGGTCAACGGCATCACGTTGTATTCAGTCACCAAGCTCAACTTCATTCCTACTGGCGAGCATGCGGCACCGGAGGGCAAATCATCCGTCGAGCAATTCTTCATCAACATTGGCGCCATGGCGGACAAGGACAAGCTACAAGCAACAGTCCTGTTCGGCATGCTGTGGACCTGCCTTATCTGGATCCTAGCAGCACTGTCGCTCGCAATTTCTGTCATCCTGTACCTCCTGTTTCTGTGGCATCATATTCCAGGTGAGGCTGGGGGATTGAAGAACTACTGCCGAATCAAGATTAACAAGCGAATGGAGCGCGTTGTGCGCAAGAAGGTCGACATAGCCCTGAAGAAAGAGAATGAGATTCGAGCTCGGGAAGACGCAAAGGCGGCACGAGCCGGCGGGAACGGCAAGGTCCAACCTACCTTGCCAGTCCTCGGAATGGACAGCGAGCCAACACTGCCTCCGCTGTCTCGAACCACCACAACCACCACATTACCACTGTACGACTCACGGCCAGGAACACAACGAGGAAGTCAAGACAGCTTCGACCAACCTCCAATGCCCGGCATGCCAACGAACGGTCGTCCAGGCTTCATGTCGCAGCAATCGGATTCCTCAATCGCAAGCTACTCGTCAAACGCACCCCTCATAAGCTCAGCAAGCGACATGGGGTACAGCGACGTCGGCGGTCCGCCCATGTCCGGTCCCTTCGGCAGACCAGGACCTCCAAATCGAATCAACACGCCACGAGGCATGCCTCCTGGCCCAGCATACCCCCTCGAACCACTCGGTCGTCCAGGCACCGCTATGAGCAATGGCCCACGACGAGCTTCGGATGAATCACTAATCTATGGACCCGATCGAAGTCAAGGAACGCGCACACCCTCATGGGACCGACCTACTGATGGCCCAGGTGCTCGACGCGGTCCACCACTGGGCAACCCAAATTTTCCACCAATCTTCGAGTCACACAACAATGGCAGGAACTCACCAGGTCCTGGCATGATGATGGATGGAGGAGGCCCCCCGCCACCGAGACGCTTCTCACCACCAAACGGCCAGCAACCATCACTTCCACAACTCCCACCATCACGAGGTCCTACGCCAGGAGACAGGGCTTTCACATCACCGAACAACGGCTTCGGTCCGCCAGAACGCTCATACACACCATTGAGCGGCCCACCACCACTACAACACCAGCAGACCTTCGGACAACCGCCGCCTCGGTCATACACACCCGTCGGCGGCCCACCTTTAGCGCGCGTGCAGACGGCAGAGGATGTTGGAGGGTACCGAGCGTTCACGCCCGAGCCGAGGGGGCCGAGTCGTGGACCGCCGCCGCCGATGGGTGGGTACAGGTCGAATGGACCTGGGCCTGGGTCTGGGTACGCGCAGCGAGGTCCTGGAAGTGGAGGTGGTGGAGGAGGGCAGGGCGTTGGAAATATCTTGGATCACTACTGAGTGAAGCCTTTCCAGAGAGAAGGTTGATGAGACAGAGAGGACAAGACCTGGGAGATGGAGACAGACATGAGCAGGGGTCGTGTATGAATAATGATTTTTTTGGTCCGCATAGTAAATAAGCAAGATAACTGGCTCGGTGGCTAGCTACCTGAGCTCTTCGAGAATACTGCCTTTTTCCGAGATATCGAAATCTGCATGACCATCATGCTTTTCCTGGACCGTGTGCCTCTTCTTCTCTTCACTGTCTGATAAAGCTGCTTTGACACACCAGGTGCTGCCTTTTGTGCACGATGGCCAAAGCTTCATTGCCTACACAGGCAGCACTACCTTCTCACAGCGGGCTGAGATGAGCTGGGCGGGATAACGTGACCAGCTCGGGTCCATACCATGACGGGTCTGCGTGTACCGCGGCATGGGAAGGGGCTTTGGGTTGGATGCTCCGGCGTCCCTGCCGCGCGCGAGCTGGCTGCTGTTGCTTCAGCAGCTCGAAGGCTTGCGGGACAACGACCGCGAAGCTCCTCAGTCTCTTTCTGGTTCCCATTGCTCGTCACAGTGCAGGCATCGGCCGAGTGCTGCAAATGATGGATGGTGCTCTGCCGGAACGGTCGACTTGCCCCTTCAGCGGTCGTGCTTGGTTATGCTTGATTGGCATATCGCTCCTTCTCGGAGCATGTTGCCTAGTCCGCGGACTCAGCTCCATGCGGTGTGTTGTAGTCCATGCAAATGCCCATCGACCTGCGTAGAGTCCACCATTCAAAGAAGGTGTCCAATGTGCCTGTTGGGTGATGGAAAATTGCCCGTAATGAAAGCGATAGGTCGAGGTTGTGATGGACCCATTAATGTTGGAGCATCGGCTGTAAGTCGAACGAATTCTTCTCTCGCAAGCCTACCCACCTTCGGGATCTGCTGCTGCCATTCAATCGGCCCGAAACTGCTCAGTGCCTGACCTGTTCCAAATTGCAGGATATGTATTGCAGATAAGAGGTCGTGACACCATTAACGTACGTGAGCTTGAGATCGCGAAGTTTGGTGACTCATACTCCTGCTGCTGATGAAGGGTCGTTTGCAACAAGCCTGGGCCTCAGTGGCAATGTCACACTATTTCGCATGCCTGTTCTCATGGAGTCTGGAGGCGGCCCTTGCCTCATCCAACTTGTCGGCGTCCTCGATTTTGCCTCTGAGAGCCTTATCCTGTACGAGCATGATTCTCACAATCTTCATGACTTCTCCAGGAACGGTGCTCTTGTAGATGTCCCAGAGGGATGTTGGGTCCGAGTAGACTTTAAGGCCTTTGTAGAAGCACAGTGCTGCTTGCATTGGGTTCGAGCCTGTTGCGGTTCATACCGTCAGTAATCGCGATTTCTGGCACTGTAAGCGCTGTTACATAGCGTGAGAACTCACCCTTGCCTGCCAGTTCCTCTCCGTGTGCGATCTGCTGGTGAAAGTACTTCTCTTGCTCTTCGATAGCTGTAGGGAAGCCCTCTTCCGTTGCTTCCTTGACCGCTGCCTGAATCTCTTGGTCTAACTTTTGTTCTGTATTCAACGGGTCGGTTAAGCGTAGAAAGTCTTCTGTATCTGCTATCAAGTGATCCTGGCCGATCGACCTGAGAGCTTCTGGCCCAAGCTGCTTCAGAGCTCTGAGCAACGTGCTGAAAGCAGCCGTGGCTCGAGTCTTGTCGCCCATGTCGATGTATACTCGACCCATGGTCCAGTATACTTTGAAGGTGCCAAGAGCACACTCGTCGTTCCATTGCTGCAGTGGTATTGGTTGAATCGTATCCTGAGCCGCGCCCAGCCAGCCGAGGATCGCTTCGTGCGCAGCCGCTACAGAGGCGTCCGTCTTGGGCTGACCGTTGATCGTGGCATTTGGTTGCTGGAGCGCTCCGTACATGTCATGGGCGATGTTGCTCAGGAGATGGCCCTCTCGACACGTCCGGGAGCCGTCGCATGCGGCGCGCAGAGGCGCTAGCGTGAGCATCCTAGTCTGAAGGGCATTGTCATACTCGCCGGTGGCGCTGTACAAAGTGCTCATATGGTTGAGCACACTTGCAATCTCCTCATGCGACATGTCGGCGCCATTCTTGTCGCTCAAGCCCTTGGTCTTTGGGTCCTGGGACTCCTTGACCAACAAAGTTATGGCTTCTGAGAGAGTCTCTTTGGCCTTGTCCGTGTCTTGCAAGTACTCACCCTGGTACAACTCTGCCATGTGGTTCTTGCAGTTGATGACGGTTTTGACCATGCGTTTCCGACGCTCGTTGGATGCGTCCTGCTCAATGGATCCCGAGGATGGTTCAATCTTATCTTCGCATTCTTGTGCAAGCATACCCAGATTCTCGACCGCCTCCTTTACATGCCCGAAGGTCTCCAGCATTTCTGCGAACCGGATTCGCAGGCCTATGAACGGCTTTCCGAAAGGATCCATCCTCTTCTCCTCCGCCAGCTTCACTGCATTGTGGAACTTCCGTAGCGCGGCGTCCTTGTCGGGCCTGACGTAGGTGTAGTGCAGCGCGAGCCGGAGCATCTGCTCCACTTCGGGCGGGTAGTCGGCGAATTTGGGTGCTTGGTGGAAGTACTCATCGTAGGAGACGAAGGCGAGGGCTGTCACCGCGGCGAAGGTGCCAATGAGAAGCATGCGGAAAAGGATCGGGCTGTCATGGCGGGCTTGGGCGGTGTAGTTCCTGATTTTGACGCTGAGAGGCACCCGACTTCTGGACGAGGAGAAGATCTGTCGGTGTGGTGCTGTTCGTGAGGCTTGAAATGGTGATAGACGGGCTGCGAGCCCACTGTTCGCCGACGCAGCTTTTGTGCAGCTGGATGCAAGTGCGAAGACCGTCCGTGAGGGCCTCATTGTTGCTGGTAGTATGAACAGTCGACAAGCGACAAAATCAAGCTATGGTGAATCGACCCGCAATCGTTGAAATCGAAGCATCGGAAAAGGCAAGCACCGATTTTGGTTCGGCGCGTCATCGTAGGCAGTCGCGCCTTCCCCATACCCCACAGGTCGCTCCTCCTCAAGCAGAACTCGCTGTCCTTGTCATTGAATCGAAATGTGTGGACGGTATGCACTGGGCATCGTAGGTTGCTCGCCGGATCACAGGAATACTCACTAACAACCTCAGCGTGCCTCGTTCGTCAGACATCAATTACAACAGCAAGGACTCCCGGTAGACGAAGCACCAGATGACGACGAGGCAAGGGAAACATATAACTTCCCTCCAGGCGCCTATGGACTTGTCTACCGTGCAGACGTGCCCGACCAGGGCGCTCCCGCCGATAATGAGGAGAATGGTGATGCCGCTGAAGTCACCAACACACAGCCAGAGTCCTACAACTACCAAATCAAGACCATGAAATGGGGTCTCATTCCGTTCTGGACCAAGCGCTCGCCGGACTATGGTTCCATGCTGAAGACCATCAACTGCCGGGACGACTCTTTGATTGAGGACCGTGGCATGTGGACCACCATGAAGCGGAAGAAGCGTTGTCTTGTTGTGGCTCAGGGGTTCTATGAGTGGCTGAAGAAGGGGCCAGGTGGGAAGGAGAAGGTGCCGCATTTCGTTAAGCGGAAGGATGGGAATTTGATGTGCTTTGCGGGGCTGTGGGACTGTGTTCAGTACGAGGATAGTGGCGATGGAAGTGCTGGGGAGAAGTTGTACACCTATACGATCATCACGACAGACTCCAACAAGCAGCTTAAGTTCCTGCACGATAGAATGCCGGTAATTCTCGAGCCGGACACGGAGGCAATAAAGATCTGGCTTGATCCTAAGCGGAACAAGTGGTCGAAGGAGCTGCAGTCGCTACTGAAGCCCTTTGAGGGAGAGCTAGAGTGCTATCCTGTGAGCAAGGAGGTCGGGAAGGTCGGCAACAACTCGCCGGACTTCATAATACCGGTCGACTCAAAGGAGAATAAGAACAACATTGCCAACTTCTTTGGAAATGCTAAGGCGAAGAAGAAGGAGTCAATGAAGGAGAACCCGGAAGGAAAAGTAGAGGAGACACGCTCCACAATAGACCATGAGAGTACAGAGGACAACGCTCCACTTCCCGTTCCGGAGCCAGTCTTAGGGAAGAAGCACACACTGGAGGAAGACGACACACAACCCGATGCCAAGCAGCAGAAGCTGTCTTCGCCAGGCAAGTCGTCATCGCCGAGCAAGACCACGGAAGAAAAGATTGCGTCGTCACTGAGCAAGACCACAGCAGGGAAGACCGTGTCACCGCAGAAAACAACGGGCAGAACGCCTCGGAGCGGTACCAGTAATGCAGGGGCAACCATGAAGACGAGTCCGAACAAGAACACTGAGAAAGGCACTCAACGGATTACGAGCTTCTTTGGGAAGTGAAGTGGTTTCCATTGACGAGGGGAGAAAGCGACTTGGATATTGCTAGCACCCTCCGCCCATTCAGCCAGAGACTGAAAACTCTCTTCTGCTCAAGAACGCTGATGCAAGGAACTCATGCTGTCAAGCCGCTTTCGACAGAGCCCTCCTCAGTTGGATGCGTGGCCCGACCATTCTAAAATTTGGATTCAACGACTCCAGTGCGCCTGTGCAATGGGTTTTGACCGCTCTGGCGGCCTCCTCGACAGGAAGAAGAGCTGCACAGTACAAGCTGTGGCTGTGTGCTCCTTGGTGTCTGGCTCTCATTGGCCACTACCGCTTCGTCGCCGCCCAGGGCGCCTTCGTGCCTGACTGTGGTCCAGGTCTTGCACTTGGTGCTTGAATGTTTCCGTTGCGTCCCGGTAATGGAGCTCCCACTGCCCAAGGCGCCGCTGTGCTGACTTGTGCTCCAGGTCCACCACTTCCGACTTGGTAACTGTTGAGTACCGAAGCTGGAAGCGGCTTTGCCTTCGGATCCTTCTCCCACCGAAACAGCGAGCCGAAAGGGAAATGCTGAACGACAGGGAACTTGCATAGCACCTCAGCGTCGTACATCTTGAGCATACCCTTATTGATCTTGCCCCACCCGTCTTTGATGCCTGAGATGTCGAATAGCATTGGACTGTGCTCCCAGAATGGGCCCTTCTTGACCTCGAATATGAAATTGATTGCAGAGAAAAACATGTTGGTGTCCTTCTCCTTCTCCACCAGGTTTTGCTTCGAGATGGAGCTCGGCTCAGGCGCGCCAGGCAATGAGCCCTCGGTTGGCGTGTCGCCCCCCTCTTCGATTGCTGGGCTGAGTTGTGCTGATCCAAAGATGTATGGCATGAAGGAATTGTCGTCGAGACCCCAGACACCGTGCGAGCCGGCTGGTTCGAGTGTATAGGTGACGATGAGTTTCCGGACCAGTGTCAGATACGGCTGAATTATTCCGAGCACAATACTTCGCTCTGGAACCGTTGGACCGCCGGAACCAAATTGTCCCAATTTCCACAGGCATCCTAAAAACGCAATGAAGCTCAGCTCGTGGCCAGTGCCGTAGTCGAGTCGTTGTGGACTGCCAAAACTTCCTAGGAGGTAGGCCTCGATCTCTTCCAGCGCTGATTCCATATCTTCTGCCGGGACATCCCATTCAAGATGATTAGCGACATACGTTCGGAGTAGATCTCTGACTCGCTCTTCCATAAGCTTGTACCACAGACGAAAGCTGACATTGCCGAAACGCCTCGGTCCCGTATCCGGAGGAGCCTCGTCGATCAAAGCGTCCAACTTCTCGAGGAGCACTCGTAGACAGATATTCTGGCAAGCCCATCCAGCCTTCACATTCGGAGCGTAGAGAGGGTATGCCACAAACTCGTCCTTCACAATGGTCTTCCGCGCGACGACTGCACGATTCAATTGAAGAATGAATGTTGTGAGATCCCGGTAGGCTAGCGAGGTCAGAAAGAACGAGACATCGGCGCCGTCGTAAATCTTTTTGACAGGCTTCTCGAACTTGTGGTGTGGTGGCGACTTATCAGCCGGTCTCGCAACCTTAGTCGGAAGCGTTGGAAGTACCATTCTTTGGTGTAGCGTGGCGTCTGTTGTATGGTGGCTCACGGCACGCTTTTGTTAAGGACGGTCTTTGACGGAAGTAGAAGTAATGTTGTCCTTGCTGGTCTCCCTGCCTCACCGTAGCCATCTGCTTCACATGCCAGTGAGCTTTGCCTCTTTGTCAAGATGCCGTGCATGTTGCTTCCAGAGGGATGATGTTGATGTCCTGGAGGTCTGACAGAGATCACTCAGAAGGTCTCAGGGGCCGCTTAGAGTCTGCTGCGTCAAAGCGAGTTTCCCTCCGCCATCGACCTTGCGGTGAAAGCTTCAGTCCCGAATGGCATGGCATGCGCAAAAGCAGTTCTGTTCTCTTTGCTCTTTCGAGCCGCCACGACAGTCCCATATATCCAATCCAATATATTTGGAACACGTCAATGCTGTCCTCTCTCCCCGCTATTCCACGCGAGCTGGCCGCTCACCGTTGGTGTCGAAGTCATTCATAGAGAGAGGAAGAAGCGCGAATCGAAATCGACGCGTGCCAAGTGAGTCACGCTGATTGGCCGGCTTCAGCTCTCGGGAAGCTGCCCGCACAATGACAATGACAATCTGATTGCCACCCACGGTATCTCAACGACGCGTCGAGTCTTCTTCTGCCTGCGATTGATTCACTACAGTCACTCGTTCCGACTGAACACACCCGCCGCCATGATAACATCGTGACACACCCTCAACGACCTCTCACAAGCCCATATCGGTACCCCGCAGCCTTAAATACGCCGTGACACATCGAGGTCACAGCGGGCGCAGAAGTCGGGTCGCGGTAGACCACGTTCGGCACCTCACATATGAGCCATAGACTCTGGGAAGCACTCTTACAAGATGACGCTGAAAGATTTCGGCTATACCTGGCTGAGGCCACCTATAACGCCAACGCGCGTCAGTCCTCCGCCCCATCGTTGAAGATTGGCAGCCCTGGATCGTTGGGTACCTCACCACATTCGGCGCTCAAGTCGCGCAAGTCCTCCGGCAATGTACAGAATACGCCGCGCACCAACAAGAACGGCGGTGCAGCTTTGACGAGACTCGACGTCAATTCGAGGGACAGCTTTGGACGAACACTTCTTCACCATGCCGCCACACAGGCAGGCGAGACGGCATCTGAGTTCATCGCAGCCCTGTTGGACATCCCCTTCATCGACTTGTACGCACAGGATCTGGAAAGTGGCTGGACTCCGCTGCACCGTGCCCTGTACTTTGGCAATGTTGGCACCGCACAGGCTTTGATGAGGCGTGACCTGCAAGATGCCACGGATTACACCACGACAGCGGCACACGCTCAAGCTGGCGGTTTAGTCAAAATCAAGGACAACGAAGGAAACAGTCCATTTGAGGTCTTCCAATTGACCATTGCGCCTCGCATACTACAGAGCTCGAGCCACACCATTGGGGATGGTGATTCTGATGGCAGTAATAGCGTGGATCTCAATGAAGATAACAATTCAACCCAAATTATGCGACAAGTCGAGAAGCACTCCATCCATCTCGACGGCCACGAAATTTTCGCCTTTGGCAGCAATAAGAACCTGAATTTAGGGGTTGGTGACGAGGATGATAGGCATTTCCCCGAACGCATCAGTCTCAGACGGCCCGATCAGCTACTCTTCCGTCTATTCCAAGACCATTCGGCTGAATGTGCGACAAAGGCTTTCCCAGACGAGACAGCCAGATCTTTGCCAATCCCGAGCTCGGTCGAGGAAATACCGTGCATTGTAGCGAACAAGCCTATCTCGATCAGAAACGTTGTCATGTCGAAGTTGCATACGGCCATTTTGACAGATGATCCGATATCCAACCTGCACGTCTGTGGGTTTGGACCTGGCGGGCGACTTGGTACTGGAGACGAAAGGACTTCCTTCGGCTTCCGATGTATACAGGGCGGTGGTCTGGCCAAGAAGCGCATCGCAAATGTTGCGCTGGGTCAAGACCACACCATCGCCATCTGTTCGCAAGGTGAAGTCTTCACGTGGGGTAGCAACAAGTACGGTCAGCTTGGCTATGCGCTTCCGGAAGTCAGTGGAAACGACGTGCCTATGCAGCTACTTCCTCGACAATTGTACGGCTTCGTCAAGAAGGAGCTGGTCATCGGCGCTACTGCCTCTGCCATCCACTCCGCCATTTACACAGCGGGCGCTCTGTACACATTTGGCAAGAACGAAGGCCAGCTTGGTCTCATGGATGCAGACGCACGCTCGCTTGAGATGGTCACCACACCTCGCAGAGTTGCGCCTTCTGTGTTGACAACTCCCATTGCCTCAGTAAGCGCGATCGATCGAGCAACTGCCGTTCTCCTCGCCAATCATGAAGTCATCGTGTTCACGCACTTCGGCTACACCCGAATTGCATTCCGACTCGAGGGCTATATGCGTTCTCTCAGCCCGGACTTTCCTGGATTTCAGCAGAATCATATCATGAGACTCAATGCTGGCGCAAACACAATCGCGGCTCTCTCGGCCTTCGGAGAGGTCTTCACGGTGGAAGTACCCAAGGTTCCGGAGACCGTATCTGCAAGCGTTTCTACGACCAACCCATCTAAGGCACGAAACGCACTGCCTCCCTCTGTTCGTGTCTGGTCCCTGCGCAAAGAACACATGTCCGCAACGGACGTTGCAGTTGGGCAGGATGGGTCAGTGATCCTCTGCACAAGGTCAGGCTCCGTATGGCGGAAAGAAAAGCGTGCCAAGATCAAATCCGTCAATCATGAGGGCGCTGCGAGGTCCAAGACAAAGGATTACAAGTTTGTTAGGGTGCCAAATCTGACTCGTGCCATTGCTGTGCGCAGCAATGCTTTTGGGGCATACACTGCAATCCGTAAAGATAGCGATGTCACGCACACTCAGATCGCCGTCGAAAGCCCTACGCTTTGGTCAAGCATGTTTCCACTACTGGCATTCCACCAATATGGGGAAGTCAAGGATGACGATGAGACCATTGACAATCCTCCGCTTCGATTCTGGGTACCGATGGGCAGAGGTCCCAACACTGCTCAGCTAAAGGTAGCAGTCATCACACGGCCGGATGCTGAGTCGGAGATCAAGCATATCTGCCAGATGCAAGCAACGCCCGGAAGCTCGCTTTGTGATCTTTGGATAGGGTCCACCGTAACTGACGTCCGCATTCCGGTCCATTCATTTGTCCTGCAGGGCAGAAGCAGTGTCATGAGAACAGCGCTGACCCAGTTCCGCCAGTCATACTATTACGCTATCGCCGATGTCCTCTCGCTTGAGTATGGACGAGATGGTCAAGCTCAGCTGATCTTCAACGGCGCGGACTTCTTGACCCTGGTGAATCTCGTTCTCTATCTGTACACCGACGACATCGTTGACGTTTGGCATCATACGTCTAAGGCTTTGCATCTGGCGCCGCGATACCGGGCGGTGCGTGTAGAGCTGATGAAGATTGCATCGAATCTGGAGCTCCGCCAACTTGAGCGGGCTGCTAGGCTTATGATCGATCCTATTCGAAGCTTGGCACACGACATGGAACATGCGGTGGTTGATCACGACTTCTTCTTGGACGCGGATGTGATGATCGACCTTGCAGATGGCGCTGAGATCCCGGCCCACAGTGTTTTGTTGACAGCTCGTTGTCCCTTCTTCGAGGGCCTCTTCCAAGGCCGCACTGGAGGAATGTGGATGGCCGCCCGGCGTGACGAAGCTCAGGACAAAGCTGAGCTCATGCGCGTGGATCTCAAACACCTGAACAGCAATGTGTTCAAACTCGTGCTTCGCCATCTGTACGCAGATACTGGCCTGGAGCTGTTCGATGATCTGGTGACTTCGGACTTTGACGCATTCGCAGACATCCTATTGCAGGTGCTGTCTGCAGCCGACGAACTCATGATTGATCGATTGGCACAAATCTGTCAGAGCATTCTTGGCCGCTATGTCAACATCCGAAATGTTTGCTATCTGCTCAACACGGTTGCAGAGTGCCAAGTGACCGAGTTCAAGAATGCAGCACTTGAGTACATCTGCCTCAATTTAGAAGCCATGCTGGAGCAGCGATTGCTCGAAGATCTCGATCCAGATCTTCTGGCCGAGCTAGACGAAGTGGTGCAGCAGAACCAGCTAGCTTATCTTCCATTTGCCAGAAGTTCGAGAACATACGATGAACTCGTCGATCGTTATCCAGAGCTTGCAGAGCAAATGGATCTCGGAAAGCGGCGACGTATTGACTCCATGCGTCTTCGCACCAGGCTGGCCGATGCTCAGGTCAAGGAAGATGCGTCGCACAAATTCAGAGTCGGATCTGTGGACAAGTATGGCAGCTCGCCATCTCTCGTGCGCAGATCAAGTGGGCCTGGCAGTGCGGAGACCACACCAGAATCTAGTCCTGCTATAGCTGCGCAGGAGGGTGGCGAAGACTTTCCCTTTGAAATGGATGAAGGCGAGGCACTTGGCTCTCCTTCGTTACCCGCGAATGAGCCAAGATCTCGCAGGCCGATGGACGCTCATCAAGATTTGATTGTCCCTCAGCCACTCTCAAGTCCTTCGTTGGACTCAGCACACCATCGAGATCGCGCTATGAATCGCGCGGGCACGTCTGCGGCAGACAACACGGCACCAGAACCAGAACGAGGTTTCGGCACAACCAAAGCTCCATGGCAAACACCATCACCCACTAGTCACCGCGTCGATCTGCGAGACATTATGAGTCAGGCTTCGGCATCGAAAGTCTCAAACCTGTCACAGTCCTTGGCCAAGGCAGATAGTCAAGCCAAAGCTCGGCAGAAGATGTCACAGAAAGATCGCAAGAAGCAGTCTCAGCAAGCCAAACATGAGCAGATCGAGGTACCGAAGCCTCTGCCGCCCGCAGAAATGTCGGCTGGAAAACCTCAGTCTGTATGGCAGACTGTTCGCAAGCCCAGTGGGAGCGTTGCAGTGGTGCAGAGTTCACAAGCTCGAGCGACGACTCCACATCGACCGACTATGACCATGAGACAGACTGTTGCAGGTAGCCCGGCACCGGCATCGCCGCCACTACAATCGCCTGTTCCGTCTTCTCCTGCTGCAGTATCCGCCAGCAAACCTGCTCAGCCCGTCATCCAATCTATCCGACACACACCAAGCCGAGCTTCCACCTTGTCAGCGCTGGATGCCCGCGCGTCGATGGCTGACATCCTGTCGCAACAACAGGGGGAGAAGATTGCCGTGAAGGAGGCGGTAGCCAAGAGATCGCTTCAGGATATTCAGCAAGAACAAGAGTTTCAGGCGTGGTGGGACAGCGAGAGTCGCCGGATACAAGAGGAAGAATCGGCAGCTTCCAGGAATGCAGGAAGGTCCAAAGGGAGCCGTGGTCGCGGACAGGCTGGTCGTCGCGGTGGTGGTAATAGAGGAGCCAGGAGAGGATCACAAGGTCCCAACGAGGGCTTGACTCAGGCAGATACACAGGATGCTACGGTGCCAGCGCAGAGAGTAGCGCACAGCCAGGTCCAGCCGAGTGCACGAGGCGACGCTCGACCGTACGCGCATGCGCGCAGAGGTAGAGTGTCGAGTCCTGGCCACGGGTGAAATGGGGGTAGTCAGTACAAATAGTAATAGTGTGAACATTGACCCACAAAACACCGTTCAATGTAGTGCTTTCCGAAATCAGCGACGTCATTGTGCCAATGCTGGGACTGCACATTGCCAATGCTGAGGGACTTCAACGCAAATTCTTGCTTCCATAAAGCAGCTCACTCAATTCTTGATGTAAGTGTTGCTCTCAATTTAATGAGCCCAAGTCTGTCGATTGATCTCTGTTGAATCCCGGATGACTTGCATGCGACAGCAACTCATTCATCCCCAACGCTCCTGCCGGTCTTAGAAGCTTATCTCGACACGGTGGTATGAATGAGCCAGTCAAGCGGGGTCGCTGGAAATGTCCGCTCTCATGCTCTCGAAGCGAAGTGAGAATGTTATCAATGATAGAGTCAAGATAGCATGTCTACTCTACCTTCTGCATCTCTCTACGTGTCTGGACAGTCCGCAACCATGAACACAACAGACTCATCCCACAGGAAAGGCATCGTTGGCACAGCAGAGTCCTTCTGGCTGTACGATAGCGAAACTGGGTTTGACTTGACACATCCAGCCACACCAGATGCCGAGCCTTTGCAGCCCCGGTACACAATCCGGACCACGACGCTGCCGATCACTGTGCACCCACCGCACAGCGCACTGGTCATCATTGACATGCAGAACTTCTTCCTTTCGCCCCAGCTTGGACGTCCCTCCGATTCTAAAGGTCTGAAAGCTCAGCAGCAACTCCTCAAGTATGCCATACCTGCTGCTCGAAAGGCTGGCATCCGTATCATCTGGTGCAATTGGGGACTCACTGACGACGACATGAAACTTATGAACCCTGCCACGTTCCGGGCCTTTGGCTTCGAGACTGTGCCCGCGGAGGACTTCGGCAGATACCATGAGATCCAGCCGAAAGAGGCCGCGATCGACTCACACGGCGTCAATGAAGCTGCTCCAGCCATCAGCAAAGCCAAGGTCGAAACCGGCGGCAAGAACCCTCGCATCTACAAAGGTCTCGGCTCCGACATTGGCGACGTCGAGATCGAGGATGGTAGCACCGTGCCTGGTGGACGACTCCTTTTCCGTAATACCTGGAATGCGGGCTTGACTCCTGAGCTCGATGCAGCATATCGAGAGGGCTTGAAGGCGAATCCGCCAGATGTGTGGATGCACAAAGATCGCATGTCTGGTCTCTGGCATCCCAAGACCCAGTGTGCGGAGTTCCTGAAGAAGGATGGCATTCGGACTTTGTTCTTTACGGGGGTCAACACGGATCAGTGTGTCGGTGGATCGCTGCAGGACGCCTTTACTACGGGCTTCGACTGTGTGCTGCTGTCTGATGGTGCTGCGACTACGAGTCCGGATAGCAGTCAGGAGAGTATTGTGTTCAATTGTGAGAAGACGTGGGGTTTTGCGACGACGTGTCAGCGCTTTGCGGAGGGCGTCGGTGCTTGAATCCGTCATGGTCTGCTGGAGTCTGGTTGCCTTCGAGTCTCGCTCTCGAGGCGCGTTGCGGTGGACAACAAACGTCGCACATTCTGGATGCATTACCGGAGAAATGCAAAAAGGAAGTTGGCGGCGCCTGGACTCGAACCAGGATCTTCTTGATTTCATCAGTTGTCAGAGTCGTTACAATTTGGCACGAAGCTAAGTTCAATGGTGGATGTGGTTTGTCTAGAAGACTTTGTTGAGAAGTTGATTTGGTTTGACCAGAGGTCTTTGTTCAGCAGTGGGTTTGGTAATGACCGAAGTCTAAGATCAGTTTGATTCAATAAAATCCTCGGAAGGACAAGATGGAAACGACAGACAGACTCAGACAAGATGTGCTACCATTGCACCACGCCGCCAGCGTTTTGGTGTGCAGTTGTTGATGCAGATTTCAGTCAAACGAGTTCATAACCACGAGTTGTCTGGTGCTCTCGTTCGCCGCTAGCCTCTTTGCGACTTCTTTCTTGTCTTCACATACTCACAGCCACCTCTTTCTCTCATTATAACGGCGTGCCCATTCCACTGGCTCACTGTTTCCATACACCGCCGAGCCTGGCCGACTTGAGAGACTTCAACGGGCCAGCGAGCGGGACCGCAACTGCCATGTTGATAACGTAACTGCTCGAGCTTCTGGTGCCTCCTTCCGCGGCTTCCTTCGCTCTTTCCTGCGTAACATGCGATCCTTCCCAAGCCACTGACGCGCCTTCCATGCTTGTTACAGTGATTTCCCCTCGACTTGCGGATCTTGCTGTTCTGCCGTGTCGTGCTGCAGCGCTCTTCTGGTCATACGTATGCTCGTCTTTCTATACAGCTGAAGCATCCGACCGGTCCTTGCACCGCATGCGTGCACTTGCTGTCTCCGTCGAAGACGACGTCCACTGGCCTCCCACTCATTCCCATACCTCCAGTGGACAGCTCGACTCAGACGCTTCCTAAGATCGTCCTATACGGCCTCAAATGTTCCGGCTCCTTTTCTCTCGTATCCAAACATCGAGCGGCAACATCATACCATCGCCACATAAGCGTATCCGGAGCACAGAAGCAAGAACACGCTATCAAAAGTTACTAAGTACTTCACCTCACCCGAAGTCCGAGCCAGACACCGTTCTCAAATCTTGCATGTCCTGCCTGACCGGACATACGCCTCTGCTCCCAGTACGAGATGTCCGCTGCACGCACCCAATGAAGGTCTCTGTGTCCCTGATGCTATGACAGAGGGCATGCTGCGACACATTGTGTCTGCACAAAGCCGCTGTGTGGGCCGAGTAGAGGTCGAAAAGAGCATGCTTCATCGTTGAGCAGTCGTAGTGTCTCGAGTAGTCGGTTCGGTGGTAGTCAGGCGGAAGGCTGAGGTTTGTGTTGTATGCCCTATTGACGATCACTCCATGCTATCAGGACTTTCATTAACACCTTTCACGAGTTTCAGAAACATGTTCGAGACCACGGACACGACTTCAGCATAGGGCTTCTGCTGTGCATCTATTCCCTTCAGTGCTTCCGCGCATTGTCACATCGACGATCCTATACCCACGTATCGCTGGAATCGGCTTGTTGCAATGAGTGATTTTTTGATTCTGTTGGTTTTTACATTCAGTCCACTTTCCGTGCATGCGCTCTCGCTGAGAACCGAGCCTTGCCCGCCGCATTCACTTGTCGGTCAACTGAACCTCCGCTGAAACCATTCAGCCCTCACCGGCCTTCGAAAAGACCCGATGGCCAATTACGGACGCACCCGAAACATTGCCGGCTGCTCGAGCATTGTCACGCCCGTCACGCTGGAGCAAACACGCTTGCAGATGGGAGGTTGGCAGCGGCTGGATCCATTCTTGAAAGCTGTCCACGCAGTCACAGAGGTGTTGAACGCCTCAGGTTGGTCAAGAGCGAGGAGCATCAGGCCGTCGCTGTGCGGTAGCGTCAATGTCACGTTCGAGCATCGGCTTGGGGCGTCGCGCGCGATAGCCGCAAGGGATGCGCTCCCTGTCCCAGTCGTTTGCCGACAGGACCTTGCCGAGGCAGTGAATGGGTCCTCTGGTCGAAGAAGAAGACTTCATTCAGCTGCTGTGTTGTTGGACTTCAGGGTGTCGGTACATTGAGGGAGGATATCCAAGCCCGAAGCGGGCAAGACTTTGGTTGCTCGTGAATGGTCCCCGCAAAGTTTACAACGACGCCTCATTCGCACATCTGGCATACCCTTGTAGCACTGTGACGATGCCGCAACAATTCCCGGGTCTTCTTCTCTTGCAATCTCCGCTTCGTGCGAGCGGATATGCAGTAAGTGAACCTCGGACAACTAGTTGTAGTTGCGTCGTCATTACCATCAGATGGAATCCTGAGACGCCTTGGAAGCGGGGAAGACTGGACACCGCACTAAGTCCGCAATAGCTCTCACCATCTCAAAAGACCACTACATCTGCTACGTAAAACAGGCGGAACTGGATACCGCTGCCTCCCCATAGGTACTCCTCACAATGCAGGGCAAGCCACGACAATGGAACAAGACTGACATCCCCGCGTTTCGAAGTCTATCTGGTCGAACTGTTCAAGGTCTTAAGCAGCATGGCCTGGCATGATTTCGCTTGCATCGCTCAGCACCACGTCCCCGGCATAGTGAGCAAACAGCCATCATGCCAAACACCAAGACTGTACACGTATCTCATTTGGGCGGCATCGATGCCGCCTACCAGATGCCCAAACCCTATGACTCTTCCAAACCAACGTTAGTACTCGTCAACAGCTTCACGACCAGCTCCGAGCTCTACCGCAGTCAATATGCCAACAAGGAGCTCACCGATGCACTGAACTTGATTTCCATCGAACTTCTTGGACATGGGCAGACAAGGACCAAGTCCGAGAACTTCACCTACTGGGACACTGCATACATGAATCTTCAGGTTATCGATGCTCTTGGTATCAAAGGCAAGATATTCGTGCTCGGGACGAGTCAAGGTGGTTGGATCACCGTGCGCATGGCGTTGCTCGCTCCTGATAAGGTGAGTTCTCCTGCTCCTTGGTTGACGTCGGTGACGTAAGCAAAATCTGATCAAGATGATAGATCGCTGGAATCATTCCGCTGGGAACATCTCTCGACAATGAAAATGACCGCACTGTATCCTTGGGATGCTGGGAAGGTCCCTCGCTGCTCAAACCCAATATCGAAGCATGGACGTCGAACAAGAAGACTCCCGACTTTGAGCCATCCACCGAGTACGCCGATTTCCTGATCGACATTGGTTTTGGCAAGGATGTCGACAAAGAAACCCGCAAATTCTGGCAAGACACCATCAAGTCCAACTATCAAGGCGACGACGGTCGACGGAGAATCCGTATGGCTGCGATCAATCTGGCGGAGCGGGACGGTCTACATTCTCGCCTCTCGGATGTAAGATGTCCTGTGCTCTGGCTGCATGGCACGGATGATGCTGTCTACTCCGTTGCGAATGCGGAGGTGGAGATCAAGAAGTTCGTCAATAGTCCGGATGCGAAGCTGCAGGTTGTTGAGGGTGGCAAGCATTTTCTGAGTTTCAGCCATCCGAAGGAAGTTGATGGGGCTTTGATTGCTCTTGCGAAGAAGTATGGGAAGTGAAGCAGACCGTAACAATCTGTGTCGCTGATTCCATGAATTTGATAATATATTCGTTTCCCTTAAGTTCTGCACAATAATGAGCACTGAGGACTATCCACTCATCGCCAGACACGATTTGGCGGCATAGTGCAACGGTCAGCATACCATGAGCATATCAAGGGGGTTGTTAGGAAAAGGTTGTGTTAGTGCATAGGCCTAGTGCCAAGATATGTTCTCGCAGTCAAAGGCCTCTGGCCACCTCACCCTCGCTTCTTCATGAAGATCTCAGTTCGATCCTGAGTGCTGCCATCATCTTTTTGCTTGTAACGAGAGCATCACGTTCAGCAATGGCGTTCAAAGACACGACAGGGTCCCCTGCAGCAGAGTTGGTAGATCACGAGAGCCCGGAGCAAAAGTGCAGTTGACGAATTTCGCCGGACCGAACGGACCGTGTGGGTCACATCACTCGACTGGCGCTCGGATCGAGTTCCTGGCCACCTACTCAGCGCCATGCCCTTCTTGCGTGTATATTATCCCATGTCTACAAGTTCTCAAAATGCCTGCACAGCAATCTCCCATCCCGTCGCCTCGGTCAACCTCGTTCTTTCGCATCAGGAACGCGCTCTTCTCATCAGGCATCGGCTGAGTCTTCGATCTGTCCTCCAACTGTCTTGAGAACCAATCTCCACCAGCTCCGGGCCTCGAAATGGTGGACACACTGCTCCAGTCGAAACCAAGCGCGGAGGCTTGGGGTCCTGGTACGTTCGTGGACAACAGCAAACCCAACGTTCCCGAAGACGCACGCCGTGTCTTCGAGCTTCTTGCCAAGTCCACCCCAGGTTTCACCCAGGACGAAGATCTTTGGAACGCGGTCAGCTTCAATGGCAGCACTGAGCCGATTGCTCCCGGTCCACTCAAGGCGCCTGTAATCGCTGCAGCCTTGCACGCGATGGCTGGTGTCGTCGCGAAGGAACTTTTGCAATTAAGACAAGGTGGCCCCTCTGATCACCGCGTCAGCATCACTACCGACCATGCAGCACTGTGGCTAGGGACAGTCGGCCTCACTAAGCGAAATGGCGCCAGTGTGCCGCAGCTGTCGAAAAGTGGCAAACTTGGCGAAATATTCCCTGTCAATCTAGAGAAGGATATCTTCTCGCCCGCAATCAGAGTGCGCACTACAGCTGTTTACCCCACAAAGAAGGACGGTGTCTGGTATCAGCTACATGGCTCGCTCAATGCTGATCCGGTTTTAGAGACTATCGGTCTTAATGCCTCTGTCCAGTGCAGAGATCATGAAGACGCCTACAAGATTATCGGTGAGGAGGTCCGCAAGTTTGGGCCCGAAGAACTCGAGATGCTCCACATTCAGAAAGGACTCTGTGGCAGCATTTGCTACACACCAGCGCAATGGAGGCAGACGCGCATGCATAAGGAGCTCGCCAAGCATCCGCTATTGAACTACAGCCATGAATCATATATGCCACCTACACCTGCTATTCCCCTTCCTGCAACAAAAGGAGACGAACGGCCGCTCGCTGGAATCAAGGTTGTGGAACTAGTCCGCATCATTGCCGGTCCCGTCATTGGCAATACTCTGGCTTCACTCGGCGCCGATGTCATCCGCGTGGGCAGCAGCAAACTCCCTGATTTCAATGTAAGTTGTTTCCTGTCATTCTGCCATTAGTGCATTGTCGACACCTTTTCACTGTACTTTGCTGGTTACGGTCGTCATCGCAATACAGATACTGACCTTGATGTGTAGTCACTCCAACTGACCCTAAACGCCGGCATTGAAACACTTGATATTGATCTTAACAACAGCGAGGATCTTGCTCACCTTCAGAAGCTCATCGAAGAAGCAGACGTCTTCATCCAAGGCTTCCGGCCAGGCGCATTCGAGAAGAAAGGTCTAGGCTTACATCGCGTTCTCGATATGGCGAGTAAGAGAGGGAAGGGCATCGTCTACGTCGAAGAGAATTGCTACGGACCAGATGGTACATTCCACGATCGACCAGGCTGGCAACAAATTGCCGATGCTGCCTCAGGCTGCAACTATGTCACCGGGAAATACCTGGGACATGATGACGGCACGTGTGTACTTCCGGCGCTACCGGTCCCAGACATGCTTACGGGCCTTATTGGAGCCATCGGCACCATGATGGCGCTCAGAGATCGTGCTCGCCAGGGAGGGTCGTACCACGTCTTCGCGGCACTGATGGCTGCAGCTGAATTGCCACTAGCCCGCGAAATCGGCTTATACCCTCCCGAAGTCACACGCCGGTGCGACGAGAAGTTCAAGTGGGGACATACGGACGCGTCGATGTTTGTCTTGGAGCTTCTCGCAGTCGTCATTGACTCGTGGCAGAAGGAAATGCCTCAATACTTTGGTCATGACTCGCCCTTCTTTACCGAAGTCGAGGGAGAATGGGGGAAATTTGAGCTCCTGACTCCAGTCTTGCAGTTTGCGGACCCGAAGGTGTCGCCGCGATGGTCCTCCGCCCCGGAGCCGAATTGTCGGCGGAGGGCTCATGAAATCTCATTCAAATAAGCGGAGGTTTTTGCTGGTAGGGGATTTCTTGGAGACTTCCTAATGTTATTCGCGAGGATTCGATATTGCGACGCATTGTTCTCGCATACGAAAATCTCAAACTTGGGCTGACTGCTGTCGAGCACCCTCGTTCCCATGAATTGGTTAGCATGGCTGTCAGCGCGTTGCCAGAGAATAGGGACAATATGTATGACCACATGATGAAACAGGGTATAACGTTGTCATCTATGGTATGAGCAGCGACCTCATACATAGTTCGCGCTTCCAGAACGCTCGGCCCGTGGAACTCTTACAGCACGTTCTTAGGTTCGCCGGTGGGTGGTTTAATTCCCGGTAGTCATTCACGCGATCGAGAAAAGTAGCCTAGATTCTAAGTGCTTAAGTACTAGTTACTTTAGTAGGCCGAGGCAGGGTACCAGGACTTGGCATGCCAAGAACCGCTTCTGAAAAGTCGTCATAATTTTGGCTTCCGCCATAACATCACATTTGCTCCTGGACACCTGAGATTACGGTACAGTAGAACTCGCAGCAGACACATCAAGCTTAAAGGCTCGCCTTCAAAGCTGTGGTATCTTTCAGTGCCTGCAATACACCACTAAAGTCACGACCACCCCACTCCTGGCTGTTGGCTAGAGCTCTATAGACCTCTTCGCAGCGCTTACCGAGCTCTAGCGGCACCTTTGCATCTTTTGCAGCGCTCACAGCAAGACCGAGATCCTTGTGAGCTAGTTTCGTCACGAAACCGCCTGCGTAATTACGGTGGGCTGGGGGCAAAGCGTCGCCAACCTTGACTTCCGGATCGGGGTGGTTAACCTGGTAAAACGTGTAAGTTGTGAAACGCAAGTTGGTGTATCAGCAATCACTCACCTTGCTTGACCAGCACTCCCCGGTGGAGTTGTTGATTATGTCGGCTAGGACTTGAGGCTTGACGCCCAGCGTTGTGCCGAGAAGTGTTGCTTCACTGCTAGAAGTCAACACAGATATTCATATCAAGGAGTACCCACAACGGCTACAGCGTACCTTAATCCGAGCATGGTAATTCCGAGCAATAGACTGTACAGGATCAGTGACTGTCTGATCGCGGACTTGAAACTCAGGGCTTCCGACATACTTGTTGGAGATTTTGGCGGCGAGACCGGTGCCTAGGTCACCGCAATGCGTGACCTTTCTTGCCATGGACGACAGGACCGGTAAAGCTCGTTCAAAAGACTGCTCGTCGCCACCGACCATGATAGCCAGCGTGCCTTTTTCGGCGCCAACAACGCCTGATGTGCCGGCTTAGTGTGGGCTCAACGACGTCGAGATGGGGAAAATTGTACCGCCAGACACAGGTGCGTCCATCATGTTGGCACCGACCTTGCGCATCTCCAGCGCGACAGCTTTGCTAACACTTTGCTCAATTGTCGACTGGTCCAGACACAGCGTGTGTGATCTCGACTCTGCGTCAAGGTTTTGCAATGCGGTTAGCACACTGTTCCTGCCCGTGTACACCTCTTGGACGTGTTTCGAAGTGGGCACCATGCTCATGATGTATGACGCTTTGGTTGCGACGTCTGCAGGGGCTGGACAGGTGATTAGTATCCGACCGGGCCTGCAAGCATAATGCCACGAGCGGGGACCCAAGCACTCACATGCACACTTCAGGATCTGTGCTGAGGGATTCTCAGATTTGTGTCGCGCAATAACGCCGTTTACTGTGGCGTCGTTGATGTCGAAAACAGCAAATCGTTTGAATGGGCTGCGGCAGATCAGATTGTTCAGCTAAACTCGAGGTCAGCATCACTCCCGTGGTCTGGATCTGGCAGGTGCTCGCACCATGTGATTTCCCATTGCTCCCAATCCAATGAAGCCGATGGTGCTCGTCCTTTCGAGCAGAACTTTAGGTCTCGACATGATGATGGGACGTATCAAAGTCGAAACCGAGCTCAAATCGCTCGTCTACGACAAGCTCGGGCTCAGCAGGGTGTCTTGTACTTATGAATATTCAAAATGCAGTTGCTCTCGCTAACCCCGGTCTTGCACCTACGGGCACATCACCGCCGCCGCTTCATATTGGGCTAATGCGCTTCCTGATAGGCCAATCCAGTCTCGGCGCAGTAACGAGAACTCCGAGAACGTCAAACGGTATTTTCATGTCAGCTCTCAACTCGAGGCACGGATACGGGCTGGTGGTCCATCCCATCCCGGCCCGGGAGGACCGAGCTGGGATCGGCTTCCTGTTGGTAAGAATTCGGTCCGATCGGTCCGAGCGTCTCCTTTACTGTGACAATAGGCACCCCATCCGGAGACCTCTGCTGTTGCGGAGCGGCAGAGATCCTCACGGGGTTCACCATGGCGCGTCCAAGAGTCATCGTATGCTTCTACGAAAGTATGCTCGTGCTGTTTGTCGCGTCGTCTCCCAGGATCTGGTCCTCTCTGAGTTCGACTGCGGCCCGGAGCCCTCGAGCAGCACTATACTATAAATTACTAGGAGCCCCTATGCATGTGAATGGTAGCAAGTTCACCCTAGCGAGTTCCTCCCAAGCTTCTCGCAAAATCGAATTTTGTGACCACCTCGCTCCTTGAGAAACAATGCACGCTCGCAGCTCCGTCGTTGACGAGGGCTTCGACTTGCCTGCTTACAGGTTAAGCCAGGCCGAGGAGAAGCCTTCCACGGTCGAGAATGAGATATCAATCACAGAGGGTCCCCTTGAGCGGAATGTCACAGTCAATTCTGTCTCATGGGACCACACTCATCGCGGACTGTCCAACAGGCATCTTCAATTTATTGGTAGGGGACCTCATTCAGATCTTCTTCTGGCTTAGATAGCTGACATGAAGTATAGCAATCGGAGGCACAATCGTAAGACTCCGGGTAAACGAATTAGAATGACAACATTCTGACCATGACCAGGGGACAGCACTGTTCGTGTCTATCGGAGGTGCTTTGGCAAAAGCTGGGCCCGGAAATCTTCTCTTAGCGTTCGTACCTTGATGTCGGATGACGCCCCAGACGTGTTGCTGATATGAAGTAGCTTCATCTCGTTTGCAACTGTTATTTTGGCTTGCAATAGCTGTCTTGGTAAGTCAATGGCAGACAGTCCGACCGGCAGGATGAGCGGGACACTACTGACGAATGCAGCCGAGATGGTTAGCTACTTGCCAGTGTCGTCGTCGTTCATTCGATTCGCGGGGCGGTGGGTAGACGATGCCTACGGATTTGCTGTTGGGTGGAATTTCTTCATCTACGAGGCCAGCAAGTTCTCTGCCGTTCTTTCGTTTCTATCAACAACTAACGTCAGAGTAGTATTGGTACCCTTTGAGATGACAGCATTTGCGCTGGTCTTGACGTTCTGGACCGACAAGATCCCTGTTGCCGCGGTCATTGTCGTCATGATTTTAGTGTATGCTGTCTTGAACATTTTTGCTGTCTCATGGTTTGGCGAAGCAGAGTTCTGGTTGGCTAGTGGCAAAGTTCTGCTCATCATTGGTAAGGAGGAGTCTGAGGCAGAGACGATGGGTTCGAATTCCGTACTGACTCGACACAGGTCTCACTCTCTTCACCTTTATCACGATGGTCGGTGGAAATCCTGACAGAGATGCTTACGGATTTCGCTACTGGAACAACCCTGGCGCCTTCGCGGCTACATGGAGCCTGGCGATACCGGGCGCTTCATTGGATTTCTCTTTGCCATCATTCAAGCTGGATTCACCATCGCTGGGCCGGAATATATCTCAATGGCCGCAGGAGAGGTCAAAAACCCACGCAGATCTCTGCCAATGGCCTATCGCACTATGGCGTACAGATTTGCAGCCTTCTTCATTGGAGGTGCTTTGTGCGTCGGAATCATCTGTCCCTACAACGATCAGACACTGGTGTCCATTTACTTCGGAGAAGGCGGCGGTGGTGGTACTGGTGCAGCATCGCCGTACGTCATCGGCATGAACAGATGGGCTATACCTGTCCTGCCATCCATCACAAACGCCCTGATCTTAACATCAATCTTGTCAGCCGGGAACTCTTACATTTACTGCTCCAGCCGTAGTCTGTTCGGTCTCGCGCTCGATGGGAAGGCGCCTAAGATCTTCACCAAGTGTAACAAGGCTGGTGTGCCAATCTACTGTGTGGCCATGACCCTAGCGATCTCATGCCTGGCTTTCTTGCAAGTGAGCAGTTCGTCAGCTGTGGTACTGAACTGGTGAGTGCCAACATTCAGTGCTATGTTCGACATGATGAAGCTCACAGTTCTATCCAGGTTCTTCAGTCTGATCACCGCTTCTCAGCTCCTCAACTTCGCCTGCGCCTGCGTGACCTACATGTTCTTCCGCCGAGCATTTACAGCCCAGGGTCTGAATCGGGATGACCTTCCCTATCAGTCTCGATGGCAGCCGTTCCTTGCTTGGTATGGCCTGATCGGCTGTGTCCTGGTCATCTTTATCAACGGCTTCTACTTGTTCATCGATGGTCAATGGGACACTCGGTCGTTCATCTTCTGCTACTTCACGTAAGTGCTCCGCCCTTTTCTATCCGCCCTGACCTCGGATCTTCATACTAAAAAGGATACGCCACAGTGTTGCACTCGTCCCTGTGATGGGTCTCGGATGGAAAGTCTTCAAGCGTACTTCGTTCATCAATGCACGTGAGGCAGATCTCGTCACTGGGCTAGACGAAATCCTCGACTATGAACGCACACATCCGGTCTATGAACCGACTAGCAAGATGGGAAAGATTGTGCATAACGTGCTTGGCTTTTAAATAGCTCTGGAACGTCGTAGCGGTAACAATCTTTACAGGCGAGGGATCACGCGGTCTGAGGCCAAGTCACAACGAGCTGCGTGACGTCGTTGATCAACGACAATGATACCTGGCCCAACGTATGAAATACTTACCGAGTAATATCCTGACTGTGACGAATACTGTGCCTGGGGGTGCCGAACAGGCTGCAACTTGGTTAGTCAGTCACGGAGCTGACTGATAATGAGAGCGGCTGAATATCAGGCTGTAATTAATCTATCCGTTTCGGAATATCTGCCATCATCGACATCATCGACATCATCGACATCCTATCTATCACTGTTGGCAAACCTGTCCGAATCCAGCGGTACTTGGTGCTGCTGGCATTTTAATGCCATACAGGCACTACATTAATGACGGACTAGGCAAAGTATGGAGGATCCCAGCCACGCCAGCCGGTCCGAACGGTCCGCAGAGGATCGCCCACCTTGGAACTTCTCACCCGGGCCAGAGCACGAGCTTCAGCACCCAGCAAGTGCGGCATATGCTGTGTCTCTCAAGGACTAACATTGCACACATACGCCACCGAGACACACGCACTACACTTCCATGGACGCTGTGAAATCCATTGACCAGAGACTGATTCGTCCAGTCATCATCACGGACAGCGAGATAGCAGCCAGAGCCGACGAAACATTTCCCCTCGGCAACATCAGCTGGAAGACCTTGTTCACTTCGGGTCAAACGCCAACCAATTCCTTGAGTACTGGAATTGCTCTTTGCCCGCCGAGAACTGGACATTTATGTGCGCATCGCCATGCACAGGCGGAGGTGTACTATATCATCGAGGGTCGAGGGACAGTCAAGATCGACGGGACGGAGACAGATGTCCACGCCGGAAGTGTGCTGTTCATCCCAGGCAACGCGGAGCATGCCATCTGGAACGTGAGCGACGAGCCTCTACGATTCTTTTACGTTTTTCCAACCGACGCATTCGAGGACGTAGTGTATCGTTTCTCTGAAATCACACACGAGCCGGCGCAAGTGACGGCATCACCGGTCTGCAATGTGTGACTGCTTGCAGTTTAAAGATATAGATTTGATGGTGTTCGCACACAACGTTGTGCTGCGGTATCAATTGTCCACGAAGACGGTAGCATCGTCATCCGTGGTGGTCCGCCTAACTACTTCATTGCGCTTATAGCTGCGGAGAACCAGGCCGTCGGTCGACGTGACTTACATGAAGCTGAAGAGATATCAAGGCTCGGAAAGCAAAAGATTGCGGGGAATGCAGCAAAGTAAAAGGGGTATCTACCTAGGTAGTTCGTAATGCCCTGCCTGCCCTTGTCCCAAGTCTGGACCCGAGTCTTGGCGCATCGTGTCATCATCCGCTCAGGCTGTCTGCTAGTATTCCACTCATGATACTCATGGGTCGTCCAATAATAGATACATCATGACCATTATCAATCATGGATGGCGAAGACGAGCCGTTGTACTTGCCCGTTCACCGCGTCGCTCAAGCATGTGTCGCGTGTCGGTATGCTGGCCCCGACGTTCCTGAATTCCAGTTCTGCACCAGACTAACCACGCCCTCAGGCGTAAAAAAGTCCGATGCAACGGGAGCAGACCTGCCTGCACGCAATGTCGCCGATCTAGACAGGGTTCGCGATGACGCCCCCACTTGAAAGGTATGGAACTAATAGTAGGGGCAGAGTGCGTCTACGCAGGCGCATTGAACGGTCACAAGCAGAATGCGGCCGGCGAGGGAGAGGAACCCTCCAGAGAGTCTGCGCCTAGCACAAACGTGAGCACACCCTGGGTCACATTTCCACTTTTGGTGACTGAAAGGTCTGCTGTCACAGGATGCCATTATGCAACGGCTGGCATCGATTGAGTCTACAATGCAAAGCTTCGCCGCTCATCTGGAAAGGTTAGCTCCCTGAATTCTCTCATCAGTCCAGACTAATCACTGCCGATCCACAGAATCTCCAGCGGCTCGATAAGCTCAACGGTACCCGGGACGAGGATGACAGTGCCCTCTGAGGAAGGGCCACCACCCAAGAAGAAGCGCTTGTTAGATGCAGATTTCGAAGCAACATCGCCAACACCCGAGGGATATCATGTCCCTGACGACGTTTTGATGCCTATTATCGATACATACTTCACTTGTGTCCAGAACCAACCATATTCGTTTTTCCATGAAGGAAATTTTCGCCAAGGTCTCGCCAAAAACGATCTCCCCGATCACCTCGTACTAGCAGTCGTCGCTAGTGCTATGCGCTTCTGCATCCATCCAGCGCTGCCTGCTGATAGCCACGAGTTGGCCGTCAGCTACGCTAACAAGTCGTGGAAGTCCGTGGTATCCAACTGTTTCGGCCTAAGCACAACGGCCAACCTCTCCATTGTACAGACTATCGCTCTACTGGCACTGTTTGACTTTACAGGTAAGTCAAGTCGAACTCAAGTTGTTCCTGGCAAACCAATCTGACGTTTTATTCAGCGGGCAAGTCGCGACACGGAGCCGCATGGGTGAAGATCGGCATGGCCGTTCGAATCGCACAGGACCTCGGGCTTATGCTTGAATCATCGCCCGAACTCTCATATGCGGAACAAGAAGAGCGCCGGAGGGTGTTCTGGTCGGTCTACCTCTTGGATCGACTTGTGTCTTGTGGCCGTGGCCGACCTCCTGCAATAGTCGATGCTTGCTGTCAATTACAATTACCTTGTGACGAGCAAACATGGAGAGATGGCATGTGGCAGCCGACTTTGACACTAGATGAGCTTGCGAATCGCACATCGCGAAGTGTCCAACATCCAGGGCTGTTCGCTCGTGTCATTATCATGGCGTATACAGTCGGCCGTGCCGCACAGTACATGCTGCAGGAGTTCAATATTCGGAGCCGCTACTCACCATGGGACCCATCGTCCGACTTCGCTGCTATTGAAGCAGACTTGTTACATCTAGAATGCCACCTCGAAATTGACAAACCACTGGTGGAAACACTACCTCTCTATTTCGCCTCAGCAGAACAAGCGGACTATCAGAGCACGGGGCCGGCCATCTTCTCCAGGCTGCTATTCCACTTGTGTTACTGCATGCTCACTCATCCGTTTCTGCTTCGACGACGACTAGAAACAGGGAGGATCACGGCTCCCACAAGCTTCCTAGCTCGCATGTTTGATACTGCCTGGCATCATGCGCAGCGAATGGTCGAGATCTTCAGGGTGGCTAACAACCACGCTGTCCATTCCGCTCTTCGTTCAGCGGCTACTGCATGCTGATTGCTGGGTCCATTGCAATCCTGTACGCCGACCATGAGGAGGCTGCAGTGAGCTCCAAAGCTTCGATGTTGTTGCAGGAGGCAATCCTTTACCTGCAAGACGCGGGCCGCTACTGGCGCAATGTAGCGACAATGGTGAGTTCGATTTGCCTAGCAAGTCCTGCGGAGTGATTGATACTGACAAATCTGGATAGGCAACGATTCTGCAGCAAACAGCTGAGAACACAGTTGCATATAGTCAGCTCGCCACCCAGCGCTCGCAAATCGCTCCCCTGTCGCCGGAGTGTGACAAGATCATGTGGTCGCTGGTGGACTACAGCACGATCTCTAATGAGAAACCTGCGAGTTGGGCGAGCAATACGACTCCGAGCACTGATTTGTGGTTTGAGTCATGGATCGACCTCTTTGGCATGCAGAACAATTCAGGGGATTTTGGCATGGAGCGAGGTGTTCTAGACTTCTCCACTAGGCCCCTGGGGGACAATGTCACTGATATATGAGATGTGCTGAGCGGCAAGCAGTCAGCAAATGTGAAACGTCCTAAAAACTGAACTTGCGAAAAGTTTCGCGATTGTAGATGACCATGATGGCTTGGTCGGTCGCCATGTACTCATGCTCTGTCGCCAAGCCAGCCCTCCCGAGTCAGCTGCGTGCCTCATGCCTCTCGCCTGAATCGAAACATCACTTTTAGAAGTGCATATCTAGGTAATGTTCACACCCACAACGCAGGCGGCACGTGCGCGAGGACTCTCATATTATCCGCGCCGCTGATATTTTGCGCACAGAGATGCGCACACATTCGTCATGGCCCATGTCAATCTCCTCGATTCGAGACGATTATCCGAACTCCTTGAACAAGCTCTGTCATGGCGCAAATCGGTAGACTCCCTCATGGTCTCCGCTACGAACGGCGCAGTGCTTGCCTTCGCGTATCGGGCTGGACGGCCGACAATGAAGGACATTCGTTCGCTCTCTACAACTACGACTACGGCGTACACAGTCGCATCAGAGGACGTCCTTGTGTTTGAAGCGCAGCTCTCCCGCGCACTGTCGGTCCTTGCACCTGTTGCGGATCAAGTCCTTTTGGCGGTGCATGGGCCAGGACGAGGTGACTTGAAGATCGACGGCAATATGCAGGGTCTCGATGTCAATGGCGATGGGACGCATGGGGCTGAAGACGAGCGCGAAGAGGGAAACAACGCTGAGGTGGACGAGCACGAGGATGAGGTTGGTGGGGCTGTGGAAGACACGACAGCACGAGATGGGGATGACGAGGAAGAACAAAATAGAATTCGCGCGGATCTCGAGTATGTCAGTGATCAACTCGCTGTCATTCTTCGGGAGGAATTGCGTGGTCTTAGGTGGCCAGAGGACATATGAAGAGGCTCAACATCCTGCTCCCAAACAAGCGAGTGATGCAGCTTGCAGAATACACAGAGCCTTGCCAATCAGCCAAAAAGTGCACGCCACAGGTCAACATCACGTCACCAGCAGCCGTCATCGGCTAAGCAATATCGAGGTCACGCTTCAAGTCCGCAACCACTTTGGCAGCACTCAACAGCGAATGTCTATCATCTGGTTGGCAAATGTCACCTGACGCATCTTCCCTCATCCAAGCGTCCGATGCGCGTGTCGATCCAGGCCACTATTGCAATCAAGAGTACTAGACCTCACTTCTTTGGAAGTGCCACCGTTGGTCAGGAGCTGGTGCATGACAAACCGATCAGAGTCCAACATAGTGCGACTTCCTGGCGGGGCATACAGCTTGCCCAGATGTCGCAAGTCGCGTGGGTCTCCAGGACTGTGGCTTCGATAGCGTTCGGCTTCGACTCTATCTGCAGGTACAATAGACTCGCTTAGTCACCCCCACAACCCATAAGCGGCAATCACTAGGGGAACAGCGTCGACAGCAAGCAATCTCTGTAATTCATCAGTGGCGAGGATCGGCTTCACAATCACGGAAAACGGCGTTCAATTGTTGCAGACCGCTGAAGAATCCACCACAGGCCAGAGCAATAGAGTTGTTGTATGCTCTCCGCGGCGGCGACCATGATGAACAACACTACGACTATAAAGATCCGCCAAATTGCACGTCACCCATTGTTGTCAGCTAATGCTCAACTCTCGAAATGCAGCTGCTCCGCACCTGGCTGGCGGCCCTCGCGTTGGCCTCTTTTGCAACTGCTGCACCTGTCGCTGCAGCGCTTGAAGCCAGGGACAACCTCACACCTTTGGCATACACAGCCGCAATTCCTCCAGAGATCGTCCATGAGTTTCCCATAGGTACTTGGGTCGAGAATCTAGTCATCCGGCAGCGGGATGGGAACGCTGTCGCTACCATACTCTCCGCACCAGAGGTATACCTGATCTCAACCACCGACGGCTTCGAACCTATACTACTCGCTGAGTTCCCAGGCAACCTTGGCGTCCTCGGAATTGTCGAACTAGGCCACGACGTTTTCTATGTGGCGGTCGGGAACTGGTCCGCCAAGCTCGCAGAACCTACACCCGGCTCCTGGTCTTTGTGGGAGATCGACCTCAACGGCTGTGATGTGCACCACGGGCAGTCACCCAAAACGCAGAAAATTGTCGACCTTCCCGAAGCTGGCTTCCTGAATGGTATGGCAGTACTGAATCCCACTGCGGGCACTGTCATTGTCGCGGACTCTCTTTACAGCGGCGTGTGGCGTGTCAATGTACGCTCTGGCGAGCTGGATGTCGCCATCAATCACACCAGTATGGCTCCTCAACCAGAACTTGCAACTCTTGCACTTGGTATCAATGCCCTGAGCATTCGCGACGGGTATCTATACTATGACAACACTGATTCTGGCACGTTCTACCGGATGCCGATTGATGTACTAACTGGACAATCACTTGGTCCGGCTGAGGCGATCGTGGACAACAAGTTTCCTGACGTTATTTTTGATGACTTTACGCTCGATTTCGCCGGCAATATCTTTATTGTCTCTGGCCGAGGAGAGGTTGCGCTGCTGAAGGATGTGGCTGCAGGCGCTGCAGTGACTGCCATTGACATCGTGGCTGGGAACGTGACCGATTTGCAGGTCACGGGACACACGGCTGCGAAGTTCGGCACAAGCAGTGCTGACCTGGAGCGTGGCTCATTGTATGCGACAACCAGTGGTGGGGCTTTAGGGTATATCTTTGGCAATTTGACTACTGGAGGCATGCTCGTACGCTATGATACCGCTGTGCTGGGCCTGTATTGATACGCGCTGAAGGGGCCGAGCATGGACCACGGATAGGTGGGCAGCTCGTCTTTCTGCAGTCACGAGTTGCCATATGGATAATGATCATGTGCATTTGTCGACATCCGACCTAGCAGCACGTTCACAGCGGACAGCTTCATCAGCATCCTCCTGAGCATGCCATGTTGTGCGCCATCGCTGTTGACCAGAATGAAAGCCTTGTTAAAGCTCTTCTTTGCTTGACTGGAACTATCTGCGCATAGAAAGCATTGATATTGTCTGGGTGCACCACCGGTGGTTCTCCCAAACTTGCATCCTTGTTCTGTCCCCGCACGTCCAGGGTTTTCGTAACGCCTGTCAATGATCTAGAAGCCTATCGAAGCTTTCTAGGCGGCGGAGATGAAGTCACTCCGCCCAAACGTGGCTGGAAAAGGGGCCCGTGCGACCCCGAGTTCGTGAAGCTACACTGTTTAGCCGAGCAGACCCGCATCATGCACACTGGCGCCGCAGTCGCTCAACTCGCCTTCGACTACACGAGCGAAAAGATTGTGACGTTGCAGTCTTAATCTCACCAGCTGCCTGTAGTACGCGGCTAGAAGCCCACCGCATCCTCAACAGCTTCGCGATACAGATCAGGAGCATTGGGGCCGTGCTGTATTTCAACGGGCGTAAGCGCAAAGGGCCGATATGTTGTACGTAAATCAGATCAGTTGCCCTGGCCATGGCTAATGGGATGTATCTTCGCAGTGCCATACCTCCCCCGCCTCGATACCCTACGACGAATGGACTACCGCCGCAAACACTAGAGACAGCAAACATCCTCCACCACCCCGAGGGGCCAGAATACCGATATCAGGTGGGCGAAGGTAAATACCTACCCTCCAAATAACGACCAGCTTGCTGAAGGTGTCAAGGCACATATATCCTACGAGATGACTTACAGCTGGCGACACCGCCGCCACATCCTTCAGAAGCCCCCGTGATCAACCCGAATCCTTTGGCTACGGGTGCTGCCCCACCTACAGCAGGGGTGAAGATGTCACTGGTGTCACTCAATCCCAAGAAGATACGACCAGATCTATACAAGACTAATACAACGACGAGTTCTCTGCTGAGATGGCGGTCGCTCGGACTGAACAACTCCAAGGAGTCTAAGGAGTCCAAGGAAGCCGAAAGGGAACCCAGGAAGTCCACCGAGTCCAAGACCTCGAGTCAAAATGGCAGCTCGAAATCGTCCAATGCGCCCGCGTTTGGCGTAGGCAATGCGCTACTCTCGCCTGTGATCAGTACCGAAGCTGGCCTTCGCCGGCGGAAACCCAAGAACAACATCATCAAATCGAACTCGTCATTTGTGTCGCGAGTGATACCACACGAAGCACTGGCGAAGAAATTGTCGGAAAGGGATCAGGGCGGCTCTTTCGCATTTGTGAACATCAATCGAGCTTTTCAATGGCTGGATTTGTCGTCTGGTACGAAAGCTGAGCCAATGACCAAGATTCTCTTCACCAAGGCGCACATGTTATGCCATGATGTGAATCCGCTCACCAAGCACCCAACACATATTGATCTCGTTATGGGGTCGTCAGCCAGCGACATCATATGGTACGAGCCGATGTCGCAAAAGTATGCTCGAATCAACAAGAACGGTATCATCAATGGGTCACCGGTTTCCAAGATCAAGTGGATTCCGGGCTCGGAGAACTATTTTCTTGCAGCGCATATGGATGGCACGTTGGTTGTGTACGACAAGGAACGGGAAGATGCGCCGTTCGAGAGCGAGGCCGTGGTAGACGAGGGAATTCACATTGAGGACGATGAGCGGTCGACCTTGAACATCACCAAAAGCGTCAACTCGACGAACCAGAAAGCAAATCCGGTTGCGTGTTGGAAGATATCGAACCAGAGCGTCAACGACTTCGCATTCTCTCCGGACGGTCGATATCTGGCATGTGTCAGTGAAGACGGATATCTACGCATCATTGACTACCTGCAAGAGAAGTGAGTGGAAGGCTTATGGCGGAAGACTCAAGTGCTAACAGGTTTCAGGCTGACTGATGTTTACAACGCGTATTACGGCGGATTGTAAGTTGTCACACCGTGGTTCTACGCATGCTCTTCGCTAATACTCCAACAGTACATGTGTAACATGGTCGCCCGATGGCAAATACATCGTGACCGGCGGTCAAGACGACCTCGTGTCGATTTGGTCATTGAATGAGCGGCAGATCGTCGCTCGGTGTCCAGGTCACGACTCTTGGGTAACGGCTGTTGCATTTGACCCGTGGCGATGCGATGACAAGAGCTATCGTTTCGGCAGCGTTGGCGATGATTGTAAGCTCTTGCTGTGGGACTTTAATGTTGGCATGCTGCATCGTCCCAAAGGGGTGCGTTTCTCCTCTCCTTCATGTTCAGACTTTCGCTTACACCAATCGCAGGCCGGCGGCCGGACTCGAGGCAGTGTCTCCGCACAATCAACACTAGGTCGTCAACGGACTGAGAGCACAACTGTTGGTAGATTACGGTCCGATTCGAACAGGACGACGAGCGTCCATCAGCCTGAGCAGGAGCTCGACGAAGACGCAGAGTTTATGAATCACGAAGTTGAGCCACGCTCGCGGACAGCTCAACTTCCTCCTATACTGTCAAAGAAGGTGGATGAGCATGCACTCAGCGGCATCGCATTTGAGCAAGAATGCATTATTACTGCTTGCCAAGAAGGTATGTTCAGACCTTGGCCGCGGGTTTTCTTTTGATGGACTGACATGTGGTTAGGCCATGTTCGCACGTGGGATCGACCACGCGAGCCGGTGAACAGTAGTCAGCTCGATCTGACCAGTACGAAGAGCCAGTAGAGGCCAACTTTACCTTCACCAGTACAGGCGACTCGTGAAAATCGCGAGATGATGTTCTAAAACATGACCGGGCTCTTGGTTCATAGCACAGCCCGGTACGATTGCCCAGGATATCTGGTCGTATCTCGTGTATCAGAAAGTTGGTGATGGATCGATCTCTGTTTCTCGGAGCAAAGGTAGCCCGTTTCAGAGCTGCATATTGCATACTAGACGACGGCACAACCGCGGCCGAGCTACACGACCTTCGAGAGTTCGCCCAGGCCTTCTATGAATAGTGTAGACGAGTGCGACGGCACGAGAAGATGTCCAGACGAATTCACGAGCTACTTGACTGGGCCGATTGTCCTCGAGATGAAAAAGCATATCCTTGAACATGTCGAATTGCCAGCAACATATATCATACTAGTAGTTGCGAGTGCTTCGTTTCGGATATGGTAATCTCACACGAGGAGCATTGCGGCGCCGGAAGCAAAATGTGAGGCAGCTCTGCAGGCGGCTGAGTCGTCCCGAGTACGTTTTTGGGGGCAAGTTGCATTTACAAGCCAATGACCTGCAGCACAGTATGATGATAGGGCCGAAAGACGTCCAGAGGCACGCCTGGAGCCATGTTCCTCGGTACCGTTGATGAATTAAGCTTGCTTACGGCAGCCACGACTAGGCGAATACGGGTCAGCTTGCGCGCACTGGCACTGGAGACAACGTTTGAGAGTTGCCCTCGGTGGTTCCTGCTTCCACCAAAAGCATGATACTGTAGTGCCGGTGAGGCCGGGGGAACGGTACTTTCTTTGATCTCCAGGCTATATACTTGCTTTTGGGGTAGTACCGGTGACTGTAGAGTTGCTTCTTGCATGCAAGACTCCCATATAACCGGCTACTGGTCATAGCGTGGGAATTCACGGCCAGATACCGAGACAAACAATCAGGCCTGAATCCAAGGCAGGAGAATGCATCGACATCACAGCGTGCTCCCACGCTGACGTGCTTATCGCTATTTCCTAGCAACTTCTCCTTCCTTTCATTCTACATGCATAGATCAGTCTCGACAATCAACGTTCTGGACATGAGGACGGATTCTCTAGCGACATGCGACTCTCCTCGCCGCTATCGATAGCATCTCCAAGCCCCACCATATCGCTCAGTGCGTCGACACCCACTTCCACGAGACTGGCTCAAAGTGATACAAGCACAAACGCGAGCCGAAGCGACAGCGGGAGCGACGGTGGAAGTTCTCTAGGAGAGGACCACCGTTCGATGATCCGGAAACACATCTCATTTCGGCCACGATCAGAATCACCACCCAATGCCACAAGGCGAAAAGTAGCCCTATCGAGCCCCTCCACCGACCATGTTAACCACGCCAACACCGAGCCAACAGCGAAATCCACTGCAAACAAATCTCTGCTGAAGCTGAAGCCTCGATCGCGGGCACCATCCGGGTCCTCATTGCTGAACCCGAGTATTACAATCAGCCCGGGGAGCGGCGAAAATTCGCCGCAGCAGAACTCATTCTCGTGTCAGAGCCGGACTGGACCCGCAGATACCGATAGCCCTACTACAGGCACGTCAGAGGTGGATAACAATTCTGCAATCGCTTCACCTCCAACCACTGTAAGTTTTCCTATCTTTTGCTGCATTTTTTTCACGTGTACGTCTCCAAAGGTACCTGTGTACCTCTGCGGCGAGATCCAGTTGTAGAGATACCTGGTGAACCTGACGCTGCTATTCGTCGATCACGGCGGGTCGGTGTCATCGGTCAGATTACCCATTGATGGATTGCGCGATATCTTTTGATGATCCGCAAGCACGTTCCTGATTGCATCCACATTTACTTACCCACTGCCTTGCGATAGACTACTGCCACTCGCGCTCCTCTTCCGCAATTCCATTCTCGGCAGGTTGTGCCAACACGCAATGAACTCCTTACCTCGACCTCACTGAGAGACCTCCGCAACTGCACTCTCGCCGACAGACATCTCGCAAACCAGCCTCGGACGAAGTCAGCGCCCGCCATGGCCCTCAAGTTCTTGTCCAGTCACAGCAGCAGTGCCGGCACAAGTTCCAGCATAAAGCACTTTGACATACGACTGGATAACGACTACATCGTCTTCCGAGGAAGCGAAGATGAGGCCGCCAGTGCCCAGTTGGCTGGATCGGTGGTGTTATGTGTGACAGAGCCGCTTAACATATCCCACGTGCAGCTGACTTTGAGTGGAATCATTCACATGTCGTACGTACCACGCTGTCGGTACCGTACCAGCGTCATGCTAATGTTTGCAGATGGTCTGCTACATCCGCGTCCTCGATGTCCGGCAGAAAAAGTGCATACAAGGAGAAGACATTCTTCGAAAAGACATGGCCATTCAAGGTCGCTGGCAAAGAGAAGTCGCTTGTACTATTGCCAGACAACTACGAGTGGCCATTCGATTGCATACTGGAGGGCAGTCTGCCCGAGAGTGTCGAGGGCCTGAAAGATGCTTGGATCATATATCGGTTGAAGGTCGAGATTGGCCGCAAGAGAGGGAAAGACATTGTCATCAGGAAACCACTGCGAATAGTACGGACTCTTGACCCGAGTGCTCTCGAGTTGGCGCATGCAATGAGTGTGGAGAACATATGGCCGAACAAGATCGAATATTCAATCAGTGTACCCAGCAAGGCCATAATATTTGGATCTTTCCTCCGAGTCGACTTCAAGCTGATACCGCTATTGAAAGGACTGGTCATTGGACAGATATCGACACAAGTACGAGAAGAGCAGGAGTTCATCGTCGACCCCGACTGGGGCGTCTCGGCTCTTGGCGGAGGGCAAACCAAGCATGACCGCACCATTGCCAGCGACCTGTACACCATCGACGCCGAGAAGGACGAGCAGATCATCGACGAGGCTGCAGAAGGCTTCCAATTTTCACGATTCGTCGAACTACCAAAGACCCTAAATGCATGCTTACAGGACTGCAATGTCAAGGGGATCAAGGTACGGCATAAGGTCAAGTTCAACGTACAACTACACAACCCAGACGGACATATATCAGAACTGAGGGCCAATCTACCGGTCGCGTTCTACATTTCACCTAATCTACCCATCAACGAGAACAACGATCTGGTCGATCAATCGCCACAAGCGAGCCGAGCAGCGGTCGAGAACGACATGAACCATTGCGCACCACCCCTGTACGGTGCGCATCAGCTAGACAAGCTGTACTCGGAGGTTGACCCATCTGGCTATCTCACTCCTGCTGCAGGACCTGGAACGCCCTACCTACACAGCAGGCAGCCATCACACGAAAATTTGCGTTCGCTCGACGCAATTGCAAGCAGTCACGGCACATCTGGCATCAGCACGCCCCTAGGAGGATCGATCAGTCCTGCAGCACTGCAGTATCGTTTACAGAATCTCGACGTGGCGAGCGGCAGCCTCTCGCGCAACGACAGTCAAGAAGATGGAGTCACTCGGGCTTCGGATCCGAATGAGCCAGGCAGTTACTTTTCACCCGAGGATGCCTCGCACGACAGCAGCGGCGTTCTTTCACGGCGAGAGAGCGAAGAAGCCGATGGTCTTCAATCAGGAGCTCGAACGCCATTTGCGGTATATGCACATACCGAGGATTTGGCGAGGGTGCCGTCGTATAGCACCGCCGTGAAGGCGCCGGCTCCGCATACAAACGCGGGCGACCTGCCGACCTATGGTGCAGTGACGACTAATGGCGAGAGCTCTTCATCACACCCGCCGCTGCCGGAGCCGCCGAGTGCACATCTGCGAGATCCAAGAAATGGACTGGGCAGGAGTCCGCCGCAGAATCGGAATTTGAGCTATCTGCAGGACGGCGAGAGGAGATTGAGGTTGATGCAGCTGCGAGGCCGATAGGATCGGTCTTGGTCTTGATCGGGTTGCAGATCGAATTCTTCGGCCAAGGACCGCATTCGATTCCTTGCTGTCATCGCAGGCGTAGGAGGTCGAGCTCCGAGGGCAGTTGAGAAGAGAGACGGATCATTTGTACGAAGACATTTGTTGAATGGCTTACTTTACGCTCGTTGAAGCATTGACACGAAGTCGGCGCCCGAGTGTGGGCGACATTGGCATTTGAGGAGTTGCGGGATCATTGGGCACGGATGCCAATTTCAAGGCGTTACAGAACGAAGACATGATCTTTGCGGCATGTCAGCCACGATTCATTTTTCTCAAGCAGAAAGCAGGATGGGCGGAGGAAGAAGCGAGAGGAGGGAACTATTGATTCTGTCATGATGGACAGGTAAAAGAACCATGGCGACACCGACGTATATGTGGCAGCGGCTCGACAAGAAAGTGCATACTATGAACGGAAGGAAGCGCGACTTTTCGTCAGAGCAGATATATTTGCACCACCCCTTTGACATTGTCAGATGTTTCCAGCTTACAAGTTGTCATTCGCTTCAACGCGCAAACATCCCACTAGATGTACACCTATGTGACTCGCGTGTTATATGTAAGCACATGTGCTGGTGCCGCTCGCTCATGCTTGCGAGGTCAATTATTGTCAGAGGCGTGCTTTTCCAGATGCTGCTGTCAACCGGTCTCATCGGACACTGCCTGTCACCCGGTGGTAGACAAGGCCGGGCGAGAGCCATTCGATTTTGGACAGACTCAAGTGCCATGGTCGACCGCCGTCCCTAGGAAAGCGATCTGCCCCTAGGTCTACGCTCACCGTTAGTCGGTAAAAGATCCTGCATCCTGCATTCCTTACCCCAGCAGCCATCCTGACGGTATCGTCTATTGATACTGACGCTGAGCACACCATGGCAGCGAGCTGTGATACGAGGCGAAGCAACGGATGCGAGCAAGGAATGGACTGCGACTTGGCAGCATCCAAGACCCCAGACCGTTGACACCAGCCGGATCAGGCTAGCCAACCTGATCTCGCACGCTCGATTTGTTGCTTCATCAGGCGTACCTCACTCTTAGGTTGCAACTTACCTCAGCGCACCCGGGGCACGCGAGTCCGCATGGTGGGCAGATTTCGCACAATGCGGCTTACTTTGGCAGGGGCCGTTGCGCCGCCTGGTAATCGTTCTTTCGCAAGAAAAACTTACGGATCCGCAACACTGACATAGGGCTGATGGACCACGCAAGACCGAAGAAGAGATGACAGGGCCTGACAAGATCACAGGTGTGAAGGTAGGGTACATAGAAAGATGCGCTGCTCTTACCGTGAGCGTTTGGTGATCCTGATGCCGAGTCGGCGTCTTTGTAGGCCACGATGTCTCTTGTGACGGCATCGCCACTGCTCCCACCATCGGCAATATCAGCGCCGACATCGCCCTCGCCGCCCTTTCCAGCAGCAAGCTCCCTTCAGCTCCTCACACTTCCCCTCGAGATCCGTCTCCTCATACTGCGTCACCTACTTCGATCCCACCCCGAGCCAACAATGACATTCGCAGCCTCCGCAGACTCGGCCCCGTTCCCGCTCTGGGCAAACTATACCCTCCATCGCTCACGCACCTTCCCCACCACTGACATCCTCCTCATCTGCCGACAACTCAACAATGAACTCCGTCAAGTCCTTGCTCCGCCCCTGCTGCAAGCAACGGCCATCACCGCTGCCGGCAACGCGGGATCCGCAGCAAATGCAGCTCTCCCCACAACCCTTGACCTACGCCCAGCGGACCATCTCAACACTCACGTCGCAAACTGTCTCCTTTCCGAGCTGGCCAAAGTCCCGCCCTTTTGGCGCCAAACCATCGTCATCCTGAAGCTCGACCGTGTGTGGTTTGAGAAACTCCCCTGGGACACTCTCACCGCACAACTGGAGGGGTTGAGGGAGGTAGAGGTCAAATTGCCAATTGCTTCCGCTGGGTGGGAGGCGGCGTGGCGGTGGATGGACTGTTGGCGGGACGTGAAGAGCTGTGAGGAGCGATTGGTGGGTTGGAGTCATTTGGCGCCGGGGTTGCATGAGGGTGTGAGGGCTTTGGGTGAGAGGATGGTTGGGAGATTGGATCTGTTGGAAGGTGGTCCTGGGGATGAAAGTGAAATGGAGGGTGGAGGCGACGACGGCGAGGGTTCGAGAAGGCGGAGAACTAAGGTGAGAGTCACGGCGCGACAGCCGGTCAAGATCATGAAGGGGCAGGGGAAAGGGATATATGTGGTGAGTTTTGCAATACCTCTTGGGAGCTCTGGATTCTTTTGGTCGTGCTCGCTGGGGAAGTGGACTGAAGTGAACATGTTGAGCTGACTGACTGGTCTGACGTGCAGGTCCTGATATACGACGTCGCAACACGTACTCTGGTGAGTGTGGACGAGCCAGTCGAGTGTGTTGAGGGCTGTTGGGATGAGACGCGGGACATGTGCAAGGCGATGTGAGTTCTGGTGTTATCTGTCGGCGGCTGGTGCACGCTTGTGATCAACTGGCGGCGTATCTGATGCGGAGTTAGGCTTGGCGTTTTTGGCAGCTCGTTCTTGCCAGTGCCTTCTTGGGACATTGTTGGACTTATCGTTGCCACGACGGCCGTGTTGATCGCGTTTCCTGTTGCGTGAGTGCTTGGAGCAGTATCCCTCGAGAGCGTTGAAGTGGGCATGGCGTCAGATTGTGGTGGAATACGTATGTCTGACTCCAGAAGAAATGAGCCGTACAATTTCTTCGTATATCAACAGCCGACCGGTGGCTAGCAGTAATTGTTTCAGACCTTGGCCTCCTTATTGCTGCCCTTGAGCTTCTTCACCCTATCATCCTCATCCATTTCCAGCTTCTTCCGCTTCTTCTTGTCCATGTCATCTGCGCTCATGCCCTCCTCGTACTTGACGAGTACATTTCCTTCGTCGTCCAGGATATTGCTCTGATTATCCAATTTCTCCCACTTGACTCGACCGTCTCCTTCGAAGTCTACGACTCGTTGTGGGTAGAACATATGACAGGTAGCCCGGAAGGCTTCTCGGCCTTTTTTGCTGTTGATGCCTTCGATAAGAGGTGGGAAGAGCAGAATCATGTTGCGACCTTCGTCCATGATCGGTGCTCGGCAGTAGGCGCAGCTGACTTTGCAGGGCAAGTGGTGGGAGACGTCTTTGTTCGTAGGGTCGTACCAGCCTAGATCGTGGTGGCCATGCGTGAAATTGATATCGCTCTTGTGGAAAATGGCGGCGTGTTGGAATGGTGACTGTGACTATCAGCACGACTCATGGGGAATCCAGGGTTGGTCCTTACGCCATGAAGTCTCTGACATGTTGTGCAATGACAGTACTTGCTGGCAAGTGGCTTTTCCCTGCTGAGCTGGTACTTGACTTTCCCGCAATGGCAGCTACCCTTCCACTTCACGTCAAAGTTCTCGTCATTTTCGTGAACTCGATATGGCTCACGATGCTTCCAGGCATCAATGTCTCGGTGGGTCGAGTCGCCCGCCTGATATTGGTGAGCTTCTGGGTGAACAGAGCCGTTGGGCTTGTCGTCACTCTTGTCTGATTCCTTCTTCTTGGGAGGCATGACTGAGAAGTGCCGAATGCAATGCTGTCTTGTAGCTTGTGGTGTGCGTATGCTCGCGAACTTGGGTGCGCGGCGGAGGAACATGAGAGAAGAGAGCTTGGCCTGGACAAGGCGCGCATGCGAGTGCTTACTGTAAAGGACGACATGTCAATCCACAGGGATTTTATGCCGGACGGACGCTCCGACCACAGCTGTCAATGACTGCATCACTTGTCAGCCCATGATGTGAAGACTTATTGCGTGCTGTACCAGGAGATTGGACCCGGATAAGTTAATGATGACGATCTCAAGGGGTGTGGATCAGGGGTATTTCGCGATGGGACGTCAGATATACTTTTTAATCGTGCATTGATGTCTGCAAGAGACGCAAAGGTTGATTATGTTCCCCGGATTCGCTGTTTCCGTCATGATGTCACGATTTCGTTCGATATTGCCAAGCCCGTCAAGAAGGCGTCCCGATCCGAGAAGGCAACCTCAAGATATTGCGCCGATCATGAGCGGCAGGGCAAAACGCAGTTGCTCTCGCAAGGCAAAGTGCGTGTCCGCATTCCACGACCATAGGGACGTGTTGTAGCACACTTGGCTGTGCCCTGCTAATGGCGCAACTCTAGCTTTTGTCACTAACGAATAGATTATCTGGGTGGAAAAGCAGCTGCGCCTCCATCGTTCGGGCTGAACACCTATCTTTCACGCCGTAATCAGGCAAGACACCGACGCATCGGCTTGCATCGCATTCCCTAGCTGATAGCCGTCATCAGACGAGTGTACAGCGGATCAAAGCTAATCCACCCGGCTGTGTAGTCTGATGAACTGCATGCCTGGTGTTCCGACTGTTTGCATAAAGACCTCGGGAGCAAGTCTCCTCTGGCCCAGGCACTGATGCTAATGCCGGACGAACGTCTGTCGCGTGCTATTCTCCATGTCCCGACCTTGAAGACACCAAATGCACTGTCCCAAGTTTCACTGCGGATGCACGGAGTGAAACACACAGCTTCGTGCCACTCAAAGATCGGTATAGGCTCGTCCAACCCAGAGTGACAGGTGCCAATTTGCAATTTGTGTCACCATCTGCACCAAGCGCGACGCAGGTGCCCTTGATGTGTCCAATGGACACATGTTTGGGCGGGAAATCGTCGGTACGTGTTGGGAAAGTTGCGCAAAATCATTCCGGGCCGGCTTACCTTGGTCCGGGTTGATGACAAGGCTGAAGGTATTGACACTCTGAAAGCGGTTGTGGTCGAAAATGTATTCAAGATCTAAGAACGAATACACTGTGTTTCTACAAGTAATCTGATCAATCCACAGGCATTCTATTCCAGGTGATCTCGTTGCACTGGCATTGAGAGATAGAGAGCTTCTACCAAGCATCGAGACTGGAAGATTCACCACAGGGTTGACGTTTGGCCGTACTCGGTCATCTTCTTCGAACCTGGCTATCCACTCAGCCTGTATCCACCCCGGCAACGCAGATACTCATTCAACTGCCATCTTGCGCACTGTTCACGAATTTGACCACATTCCATAGCGATTGGTTCATGTCTACAGCTTAACCATTTGCGGGTTCCACCCTATAACTTCTGCCTTTCGACGCGCGGATTGGGTACGAGCAGCCATTGTTTCTTGCCTGGATGCCCGCCGTGTTACGACGAAGCACTTCGACTGCAAATTGTTAGACGAAGCACTTCGACTGCAAATTGTTAGACGAAGCACTTCTTCTGCAAATTGTTAGACGAAGCACTTCGACTGCAAATTGTTACATTGCTGACGAACCGCAATGCCCATGAAGTCGTTTCTGCCAGGGTACAACCCACGCTGAAAGATGAGGCAGACCACTCACCTCATCGCCATGGGGAGTACAGTTGAGGAAGTTCGGTGTGTGTGCTCATTCCCAACAGCACTGCTGCGTCCCGTTGCTGTCACAAGGTATGATAGCTGTGCGAGGAGTTGACAAACAGAACGTCTAAGGGCCTATATATGCACTCGGCGAATGGCCTGCCTTGATGTTCGCAGACCATGACACAGCTTCGGAGTCGTGATGCCCAGTCACCCAAGGACACCCGGGAAGGTTTCGCTCAAGCTGCAACTCAGCCTTTAGGAGAAGCCGCGACCAACAGTAGAGAACATGGTAAGGCATCACCCTTAGTACTCACACGAACCCCACACGCGCGGACAGCAACTCGAAAACAGTCCCAAGCGAAAGGTCGAAGAGTCGTCATATTGTGGGCATGCGTAAGTACTTCCTGCCTATTCGCGGGCGATAATCCCTCGCAACAACAACATGTAATCGCGATGTTCAAACACCGGTGACTGATGGAAACGTTAAAGCACGCCTGCGGGAGCGTGATGAACCCTATCACGATCCAAGTCTGTCCGAGTTGTCGCCATCGAAGGTGCTCTGGTTGCAGAGTTGATCGGCATCTGCGCTGAGCGCCATACCTCGTGAGGGACGTCGCATGCGTGGGAGGACTCCGAGGCCCAAGACTCAAACCCTGGCTCACAAAGACTAAATAGTGGTACGTGGCGGCTAGGGCATGCCACTGTGTGGGCAGCAAAGCTCGACGCCAGATAAGTTGCGCGAGTGGCGATGGATGCTGTCCGAGATGTCGCGCGATCAGATTTGCGGCCGTTGTTACCAAGAAATAGGATGACACTTTTATGCCATGTTCTTATCGGCCGATGCTCCGCTTCTCATCAGAGACGTGGAACGAAAGTCCCAACTTGTCGTTATAGTATCTCTCGCCGGGCTGCGAGCGAGAGGCATGAGCCCACACGTCGATCACGCCGACACACTCATACGCAGCGCCTTACTTTGCAACAAATCGCTGCGCTCAGTGATGAATGGCCATGCTTCCGGCGATAATGCAGCGTAGCCGTCTCTCGCGAGCGGCATCGAGCACCGACCGTCGCTACAACTTACTGATTCTGCGGCGAGTCAATGCTCATAGATATATGGGATGACAGACGACTGTGCATGTAATGTTCCCCAAGTTTGGAAGTCGTAATTTCGCTTGTTGGCCTCGCGACAAGGCGGTAAAGGACGGGGAGATTATATATCGTCTACCTGGGCTGCACTTCGGACAGAGTTCCTCAACCGCCTTCAGACCGACCACGGCGCGTCAAAAACTTCGGCCCCTATACGAGTTCGAAACCCCCAATTGATGTTGCTGAATATGTTCAACGTCGAGAAAGAGCTGAGATAATATTACTCAAATACAGAATCAGGGCATAAGGTTCAGGGCTTGGAGGCCGCCAATTGGGGGTTTCGAACCGTGTAGGGGCCGAAGGATTTGCTTAAATCAGTTAATGGTGAGCACTTCACATCCTGGCAACAAATTTGTACGCACGTCAAGAGACTGACGATGCTGCCCTCGTCAGCCGCAGGGAAAAGGCAAGCCTGTCATTCAATGGGCGTGCGTAAGTCGATGTCTTTTGATGGTAGCATATGGGTGGCTCCGAACTGCATTGTGTTCTCTTGTCAAGCTAGCACCCGGCAGAGGCTGTCGTGTCAGATGCAGTTGCCACGCGACGCTGCAGGCCACGAACTCGAAATGCATACTGACATCTGGGCGACAGAGCAAATGCGGAAGAGTCATGAACGCCATTTCCATATCATTGTGCCCATCTTGCAACCACCAGCGTTGTACCGCTTGTCGCGTTGACAAGCGCCTGCGGTGAAAGTCGAATAGCGAAGGAATTGCCGGGACGGCTCGGACACAAGGCCTTGCGCGGTGCCAGGAACTAGAAGCTCGCTGGGAGATGTCGCAACACGGCCCTGGGGAGATTTGCAGACGAAATATTACAAACGGGACAAACCAGATGCATTGGGATTAAGAACAAAGTCGAGACAGTCCTGAAGAGTTTCCCAGGTTAGGTTCTGTACACCTGGGCAGTCTAGGAACGGCTGCTTCAATCTGAAGAAATACAACCGTAGTTACTGGAGTTTGCCGTACCATCGCATTTCCACCTGGGCATTTGTCGTTTTGGTTCCACGTCAGATCCTACTCAGACCATGAACGTCCACCACCCATATCGCATTGCTACGGCCAAAAGTCACCATGAGGAAGCCCTAAAAACGCCAGCCCGTTCGCGAGCACCTGCCGTACAGCTTTGAAGAACAGGACCTCTTCGTACAATTCTGAAAATGCACTGAGCTGGCGAAGATCGCCTTGGTCATGTCAGCAAGAGTGACCAAATACGCCACAAGACCTGCTGACTCCATTGCCCTGAAGCACGACTGGAGCACGACTGAAAAATGGATCAGGTATCTCAGAGTCTCAAGATACCCCTCCCTCCAGCGGGCTGGAGGTGTTCGATCCGGTCGAGCTGACTGTGCAGGAGGCGTGCTGTTCAATCGCTTGTGTCAGCAGATGGAGGCAGCCGTACAACATATCGCATGCACTCCGATCCGTCGGCATGTCCGCGTTCAGTGACACTGTGCTGGCGCGCTTGCTCGACAGAATCTGCACCGCGAGGCTTGCAATATCCGGCCAGTCGTCGCCTGAGACTGTTGACGTACCAGGACTGCTCCTGCCGGGTTGACATTCTCTGTCTGCATCTGTATGCTTTGCACTCAGCCAGGCGTCCTCTAAGAGATCAGCGACGATGTTGCCAGCTGACTGAGTGCCATTCGAGGCGACTTTGATGGGACTGAATCTAACATGCTCGATCTTCTGAGCCAACTCGGCCAAGCCCATCATTTGCAAGCAGACAAGGACCTGTCTGAAGTGCGAGTCCTGCTTCGCTGCGACAACATAAAGCATTTTGTCGAACAGGAAGGCTTTCGCACGATGTAGGACTGCGGCAACGTCCCGGAGCAGATAGCTTGTGGTGCCATTCTTGTATCGCAAGATGCCGATCCCAAGGCCCGCATGTCCATGCTGCTTGAAATCGACGACCCAAGCGCCTGCACTCAGCTCATACTTTCCGGCAGCAGTCAGACATTGCTCCACCTCGCTGATACTGTCGACGCTGACCTGCGATTCTCCGGAGAAGATATCGAAGGTCACGTTCATATGACGATACAAGCGCTTGTAAGCGGCAATTCCAGCATCGTGGAATCGCTTCCACAATTTCAGCGCATTGAGATTGCCATCCTCAAGGTCTTTGAAGAAGGTATCCTTCTCAGTGTCGAGCATCGCCCTTCGATCTAGGGCATCATTGGAATCGTTGCCATGAATGGCAGACCCGGAGTCGTGTCTCAAGAGCTCGACTTTCGTACTCAAATCAAGCAGGTATTCAAGCGGTTTGCGCTCAAGCTTCTCCGGCCAACCCAAATCTCGACCATCCTGCGGCCAACATCCCCATGTGCTTGCCCCAGTCGCCGAGAAAATTCATCCGTGTCACATCCCATCCCGTTGTCGCGTACGAAGCAGCAAGGAAGTTGCCCACGATAGTGCTTCGGAGGTGGTTGCCATCGAATCCCCGCGCCAGGTTCGGCGAGGAAAACTCGATCAATACTCTTCGCTTGACGTTTGCAGTCTGCGAATCCGCAGAACCCTGCACAGGTACTCCATATCCGTGTGCCCGATCAAGTATGAATGGAATCACAAGGCGCCAGAGGGCTGCCTCAGAGAGAATGAACCTCAAATTGATTCCGTCAGGAAATGGCTGCGCGAAAAGCGGCGATGGTGGGAATTGTCAGTGTCAGGCATGTTGTACACGTCTATCTGAACAAAGCTTCGAGCCACTCACCGTCTTGGCTAGCTCTATTGCACCCGCAATGGGATCAAGATCCTGCAACCGCGGTCGGGACACCACAACCGTGAGATCACCGACCTCGCTTGGCCACCGAAGCCATCCCAGGGCCCAGTCGACGGATATCTTCGTCTCTCGCACGATGAAATCGACAAGATGCGAACGGTAGGCGTCGAGAAGATCCGAAAGACCGTCCAGCTTCGAACCCACAGCGACTAAGTGCTCGACACCGACTGTCCTCAGTAAGGTCTGGAACCCTGCTGTTGTGATTGAACTCATTCTCGCGAGCTATCGAGATGACACAGCGGCTGACTGTTGTGCTGATTTACTCCTGTCCGCTTTCTCATCCGCAAACCCAAGCACTGTCGAGTCCACGGTTGCCCAATGCAAATTGGCCACGAACATCGCTCTTCCTGTTCGGACATCGCCTGGGATTGGTTGCACGGACCGTCCGTCATTGCAACAGGCTGCCTTGAACCAGGCTTGAGCATAACCTGTCCAATAAAAACCAATCTGAGCGATGTTGAGCGTTACAGTATCCATAGGACCGGTGCCGATTCGTCGCTATCTGGGCAACAGTATGCTCCCACAGCACTTCTGAGAGCCTCTCAAGTCTCCCATTCCGAGCTTGCAGCCACTCAGCTTGGGTAGACACATTGTTCGAACGCGAGAGTTTTTACACTATAGCCTCAACAGCGAGCCTGACGCCCGGGCACCCAGACTGGACCGAGTCGGCGGCACTTGTATGTCTGAATTTTGCAGCAAGCACAGGATCCGGCCGCCGTGTCTGTGATGTCTTCTCAGATACTATTGAATACAGCTGCAGAGAACCATTGGATTGTCTGCGAGAAAGGCCCACAACATTGACATCTCACAGTGACTCAGACCGGCGGAAACCTCGCTCATGAAAGCATCGCGCCCAGGGCAATCGAAATGCGTTCATGGACCCGAGAATGACTGTCGCGGAAGGCTGTGATCTGGTCCGTCACTCGTTCCTGCAGACGAGCCTGTCTGCTCAATGTCGTTGACATGGCTTTCGCGTGTTCGAGAGCTTGTCCCGTGCTGTGGAAGTCGGATCCATCCGGTATTGATCTTCTTTGACTTGTGCATAGCACTACTCAATGTGCTGATAATGTCGAAATGTATCACACCGAGACCCGCGGCCAGAATGAAAACACCCACGATGAGGCTCATTGCGAACATTGAGAACGCCCAGAAATTCATGGGAAGCCACGGCATAACTTTAGCCATTACATCCTTATCCATTGAGTATGGCGATGAGGCCGCGGAAAGCGTCGTGATGGACTAAACCGATGATCAGCTCTTCGTCATCGAAAGTCCATACCCTCGCAGCTTACTACAACGATCATGCCCAGGCGCGTATTGCCCACTGCTGCCCTTTCTTGATTCGACGTGGCCTTCAACTTGATCTGCGCAATTACACATCAGCATCCGCTTCCCTACCGAAGCATGACCTACGTCTTGTCTGATTCGTTGCAGTTGGTCAACGACATCACCGAAGTCGTTCAGAACACCCTGCAGTCGTCGGAGACTAGTGTAGAGACCTCGCATTCTGCGGTCTGCAGATGTTCCGCGCTTGTCGCTGCGAAAGTAGTGTGCATCGCTGTCGAAGAAGGCCTGGAGCCAGGAAACCGTATGTGATAGCGATCGCTGCATGTCTGTTGCAATCGACATGGCCTGCATAATCTGGTCCGAGTCACGATTCAGTGGACTCTGAGGTTGTGATCGATCACGATCCTAACTCATGTCAGCTCCAGATTCAACCGCGGCATTCTATCGATGCAACACTAGACTGATGTTAGTGAGGCAACTATGGTTCGAAACCAGTATCTTACGATTTACCGTTCTCAATGCCTTCGCTGTTTCCTGGAAAAGCTCGAGCACTCCTTGCCATTCCTCGAGTGCAATCTGAAATCTCACATCGACTACAATCAACCAGTAGTCCCGGGGCTCACATGGTAGCATCATGTCCAAAGTTCTATCACCAGCTGTCAGCGGATCCCAGGCTACTCCAGCGTCTTGCTCGGCTCGATATGCCTCCACGGTCTCTTTATGCCCATTGTTACGCCCAAAGCTTGATCTTACGAGACACAGAACGCGAAACCGGGTTCGGTCTATGCCTTTGAGGACACACGACACCTGCGAAAGATGCAACGTCAATTTTGCTTTGCCTGGATTCGCCTTCATAAAAGTCAAGTCGATGACTCTATTGGTTTCCGAGGTGCGACCTGGCTTCTCAGGAATCTCCGTGTACCGCAAAGAGAAATAAGCAAGGTGCAGAATGAGCTCGAATGTGGTAATGTCGGTGGGCTTTGCATGCTTTAGTGCCAATGTTTCTCATCGAACGGTCGCTCGGAACTCACCGGAAGCTCTACGGCCATATGTGTTCGACCGGCCAAGTGCTTCTCGAGGTTATCACACAGGAACCTCACGTCGCGATCTGGCGTTGTCAAGATTAGAGCCCACGCAGTGAGCGGCGTGATGTCGTTGATGAATCTTCAGAGATCAGCGTACGTACTCTTCATGACCCAAAGACGGAATGCTTGCATCACCTGGCGATCGTACGGCATATCCGAGCGATCTTGAGTCTCTTCTCTCGACATTTGTCGCTTACCCAACCCCACGACCTGTCGAGATCTTAGCAGCAGTTTCGAGCCCAGTGATGTAATATTCCGCAGCGCCTTGAAGGGGAACGATATAGGGCGTTCCAGAGTCGTCGGGCAAGCGTGTACATTCGCTGACTGTGTACCATCATCAGAGCCAACGTCACTACCGGAGGCGTCTACCTGACGCTCAGAGCCCGGCGACATTCGCAGCCGTGCATCTTCGACTGTTCCACCTTCGCTGCTAAATACGGTCGGCCGGTCCCATGTCGTGGAGCGCGTATTGTGATCGACATCACGAACGTGACCAGCGCCACTTTGCCGTTCTTCCCATCCTGTAGGCGAAGTGGACGGTGCATGTGTAGATGCTATGTTCTCATCGTTGCCCGAGTCCGTTGCGATCCAACGCGACAGAAGCTTGCTGATTAAAGCCTCTCATCGTCAGCTAGTTTGGGTAGTCAGAGAGCTGAGTGTACCTGCCCTCGGCAGCACGATGCTGCAAAGCTGTGCTGCATTCAAAAGGTACTGCTGGTCGTGGAAGACGTGTTCTCCATCACGCCACACGTTCTCTTCTAGCCAAATATTCACAACATAAGTCTTGTGGGCATCTGTGTGCGCCGAAAGTAGGTCCCGAGCACATGCTTGGGAACAGAACTCTGTGATGGCTGTGGATCTTTGGCCACTCTGTGCTATGAATTGAAACATGACGATGTCCTGGTCGATAGTCGATGCAGCGCCCGATTCGCCGACATCGTCTGACTCCCCTCCGAATTCAATCCACAGCGTTCCCCAAGAGCCAGAAGCGCTGTGTCTTCGCTCTTCGAACTGTCGCACCTGTCAGCGCCATCCACGCAAAGCACTTGGCGCATCTTGAAACACCAATGATTGGGGTCGACTTGTAACAGAACATGACGGATCTCACCTCGGGACACCAGCTGAAAAGCGGCCCTGATTGTGCAATGTTTTCGATATCGATCCTGGAAGATGATCCTCCCGGGTACCGAAATGACGGCCACATGTCACCTGCTTATCGAGGAGTACGCTATCAGTGGAGAACGTGTCGACATAAAGAAAGGACTGTCGGAAAAGCCCATCCAGACGGACGGGTTGCGCTTTCATATCTGCTGTGTGACCGCCCCAAATCTATGCATCGCGAGTTACATAGTCGGGCATCGCTTGGATCGTTGTCTGCGTAGCTGCACCAATCATCTGCGTCGCGCTCCTCGACGACTACCCGAGAAGTCAAAGTACGTCTCTGCCTTGCTGCCTAGCATGAGTTCAGCCGCTGTCATTCGTTAGGCAGACCACGGAGTCTGGTCTGTATACCCAGGCTCTGCTCCATTGGGCGCGAAGCTTGTAGCGAGTGCAGCATTTCAGTGGTCTTGTGCAGCTCCAGGGCGCTCCCTGGATATGCGCAAAGTGCTCAGTCGCCCAACGCCCCGCACGTTCACACAGCAAATGACACCTGCCGTCGGATGCAAGGCACAGATCGATCCAAGTCGAGACGAACACTGTAGTGATGAGCCCGTGACTTACCTATAAATGATTTTGGGTTGGAACCTAGCAAGCGACCAATGCTAGTGTTAAATGCTTCCACGACTCCACCTGCATGAGAATCGACAGAATCGTCCCACGGCAAACCCAGGCGCAACATCCCTTGCTCCAACGTCTCGATGGCCCATCGCTGGAACCACGTGGGCCAATGAGAGGCTTCGCAGATTAAAGGTGCGCTCTGAACACGAAGGCCCACGCAAATCGGGCGTGATCCGACGAGTAGCTGTCGTCTCTGAAGCGGCGTTTCCGGCTCGTGGTCTCGTTGTATGTCTGTCTGCAAGACAGCCGTATTGTGAGACAAGCCTCTGGATTACACCTAGTCCAATGCTCAAACCATCACGGCTTCAATATCGTATCTGCTCGATGCAACGACGAAAATCGCAAGTCCAAGGCAAACGCTCTGCCTCACCAGATCTCAGCTGTGCATCGACTTGACCGGATAGCGATCGGGCACGAGCAGTGTGAAGGTTGCACGCTCAGCCGATGAGATGGATCGCATCAGCACAGAACCGGTGTCTTTGCGTAGTCACATGCAGTTGTCAGCTGTCATGCATGTGACTTGTAAGCGGCTTAGCATGCCTGCCGGCGCTTTATATTTGCAGAGAGGTACTGTGGACGAAAGGCCGTGAACAGCAAGGCGGAAACCCAGTCTGGACCCTTACCATGTACTTATGTACTTTATGATGTACCATGGATCATCAAACACGTTGAAAGGCTGCGATGCCGGAGGCTTTCCAGATTAACGTCTGCGCAAGCATCGCCTTTTCACCAAGCTTCACATCGCTGCAATGGCTCGTCGCATCGAGTGTTGTGGGATACGCGGACACGTTTGCCTAGTAGCTAGAATGTCAGTATCGCGTATACTATACTGCAGTCCCGATCATACATCAAGCGACGATCCGCGTCCGGAAGCGGCACTATGTACGCAACTGCGTGTCCGGGAACCCAGTAGCGCTGCGCTCCAGTCAGCCCAGGCAGCTAGAGCTGACCTAATCAGGAGCATACGCACTGCGCGCATCGACAACACTTCATCCAAGTCATGGGTACTCAGGGGCCCTAAGCTAGGTCTGGCGTGGCCCGGTGAGTCAAATGCTCGTTCGTCGATCAAAGTAACCTTTGTTTGTGCCGCCTCGCCATGGGGATCTCGGATGACCTCGAAGGACACGCCGGAAAAGAGACCTGCCGCACCCGATACACGGCTTCCAGATCTGAAATGGGGATCTTGAAGAAGTACTCAAGGGAGCCTTCCGCGGTGTCGATGTCCTGGACACCTCTTATGGAGCCACGGTCGGCTATGAAGCGCTGGTTCTCAGAGCTGCGGTGAAAGCGTCGGACTCTTGCAAAGTCGCGCCGCCAGAACGCGATACTTCTCGGGTAGCTTTTGAAGCCGCCGCCGCCAAATGAGAGTCCTCCACCGACCATTCCCGGCCAGGACCGACCTTACATCAAGCTCAAGGAGGATTGAGTTTCTTCAAAGAACCGAGACCCGACTCATGGTCATCTGGTCTCTGACGCACCTCTGAAATACATCCTCGAGTATTACGCGAAACCGCAGGGCATGAATGTCTCCTCGTGAGGCGGAAACACATTGCCATCATGTGTGCAAGCATGAAGACCTGCGATTAGGCAGCGGCTAACCATCCCAGTAGGCGCCCTGGCGTCCATATGCCTCCTGCTACATCACAGCGCAGCACTGGCCATATGATTCCAAAGGTGAGCGACGGCAGTTCGGAACTGGGCGACATGAATTTCCAGATGCATATGCGATTCGAAGCCCTATGTCAGGCACATGCATGTACATGAAAAGGCCGGAGTACTGCCATTACTCATGTGCTTGAACTGGGCGTCGAAGCGCTTCAATCACTGCTCATATCTAGCAGTCGGCACATCAGCTCGCCGTGGTGGCTCAGTGAAAGCAACACCCCATTGACGAGGTATACGTAGATTGCGGGCAATACCCAACAACATTTCTGCATGGAATCCGACTCTGGAGCCAATCCAGGACATGACTGAAAATCGGTCTGCCGGCGCTGACATATATGGTAAGGCAAAAATCGAGCTCCGTTGGCGAATCAAGTCTCTGGTGTCGGTGTGTCTCGATGTAAGGCAGCTGTGCTCAACATATGACGCGGCTCTGCAAAGCTACCGGAGTTCTACATAACGTGTGGACACGATGACATTCGATTGCATTTCACGTTTTTCGCGGATCGCGAAAGCAAATGAACGCGCCGAGTATGGAGAATTCACATGAGGAGCAATACATACAGTGAGCATGAATCCGGCCAGAGTGTGTCCAAGCTGATAGCCAGCCTTTAACTAGGTGGTGCGAAAGTCCTCGAATCGAAGTGGCCGTGGTCGACTCTGGCACGAGAGGTGCCAGTCGTTTCTTTCCGCGCGATCTTCTCACCCGTCGATCTCGCCGTTTGCGCCAAGTTCTGCAGCAACAACCTGATCAGGTCATCGAGCTCGAAGGTATCACGACACGCACCGTGAAGCATTTCTTCATCTGGTCTCATTCTCTGCACCCAAGTATCAGCCATGATGTTACATTCGACAATGCAGCTGAACTTGGCATGCTTGCGTCGCGATTCCAAATCCCTGCTTTGAGCAATCAGATCACAGACCGAATCAGATCGCACATAGCCAGTGACGAGTGGGAGCTGCAGGCGGCTATCGTCGATCAGATCTACGGCGTGGCGTCCAGCGGCAGTCCTCTTCGCGAAGTCATTCGTGCTGCACTAGGCAAGCTGCCCAGGTCCATAGTCGAGCCCAGGAATGACCACGAGGAATGGCGGGCCACAGTACGCAAACACAGTGAGCTGGGATTCGATTTCTTCGGGGCTCTTAGTGCGCCCTGGAGTGCTGATGCGTACCTGTCTGGAGTCTGCCGCTTCCATGACCACACTAATGTCCTAGATCAGAAAAGCAACGAGCTATGTGATGGCTGCCCGTACGCTGATGAGGACTGCTACCCGTTATCTGTTCCTGAACAACCCAGAACGACTGTGTCGAACGATGTAAAGTCTCAGAAGAAGACCGCGAAGTTGAGCAGCGGAGATGCTGTTCACAATGTTGTGCCGAAGCCAAAGGAGGGATTCGTGGACGAGAGTCCGCCGGCACTCGTGCGTCAGCGTGTCGGTAATTGCATTATGATTACCACTGATGACTTCTTCGACCCAAAGGTCAACGGGCTTGGCGCAATTGCGGAGGGCGCTGTTGAGACAAACGGTGGTCGACCCTCCCTGCTCAAAAATGGCACAATGGACTCGGACGATGCGATCGACGATGCCAATGAGCCGATCACATCCGAAGACCAAGCCGACGAGTTTCACAACGCACGCACTATCGGTACGATGACAGAGGTCTTGAATGGCGAGGTCGATGGGTCTGGAGAGAAAGCTGATGACGAAGCTCCGAAGATGATGCGTTCGAAAAGCAAGAACAAGAAGAAGAAAAGAGGCCCCAGCTTCTCGGTGGGCACGATCTGACTCGAGGACACCAACGCAATCGAAAGGCCTGATGCCATGTTATCGCGTTGGCTGAGCACACCGCTGCTAGTCATTCATTTCGCACTGAAACTCACGGTCGTTCTGGCTGGTTGGGCACTGTTCTGAATCCTGCGTTGGGCGCGGTTCGGGATGGCTGTGAAGGGTCTCTCAAATTGCTAAGCAGATTGTATTGTGTATATTGTGCAATGGAAATCTTGCTGAATGCTATCTTTGTGTCCGAGAAGTCTGATCCCTCCAGACATCGTGTTGATCGAGAAGAGCTCTCGCTTCAGTGGCCGATGTTGCGAGCAGAGGATCTACCGTGATGCCCAGAAATCGGCTAGGCCCAGACTCGGCTGTTGCCGCCCGTGGTACGGGCATAGTGGAGCGCCCAAAATAAGTTTGACCGTCGATGATCTCTGCTCACTTTTTGTGACTTGACGACAAGCGACCGGGTGCTCACACCATCAGGTCTCAAAGCCGGCCACAGCTGCTCGAGCTGCGGCAGCGCTTCTCAGAATGATGTCCGCAGGCTCAAGCATGATGCGCGCTTTGCGCAGAGAAGCTCCGGGCTTAACTCGCCGATACTTCAGTTGCCAGTGTCGCTCGCAGGCCAACTCTTTCAGGGATGCTACGAGGCACGCCTTCCGACGGCCGCCCATGGCAACGCAGCCATCGAAACAGCTCTATGTCCAGAGAAGTGCTCTCTCGATGAGGACCTTCTCCACAGGCCGCGCGAGCTTCTCAGAATTGGTTGCGACCACAAAGCCGAAGAAGAAGTCTTTCTTCCCGACACGTACCAGCAACTCGGTGGCCTACTGGCTGCTTGGCAGCGCCGCCAGCGTGTTCGGCATCGTCGTCTTTGGCGGTCTGACACGCTTAACAGAATCTGGGTGAGTTGATTCCAGCATCAGCACATCTGCAGGCACCTAACAACGCGCAGGCTGTCAATAACAGAATGGAAACCTGTTACAGGCTCGTTGCCGCCGATGAACCAGGAAGATTGGGAGTCCGAGTTTCTCAAGTACAAGTCCTCTCCCGAGTTTGCCATGTTGAACAGCAGAATGACACTGGAAGAGTTCAAGAGCATATATTGGATGGAATGGATTCACAGACTATGGGGCAGAGTCATCGGCGTCTCGTTTGTGCTCCCTGCAGTATACTTCACGGCCAGAGGGAAGATGACAGCCTCTATGACGGTCAAAGTCTGGGGTATCGCTGGCTTGATTGGATTTCAAGGGTTTCTCGGCTGGTGGATGGTCAAATCTGGTCTCAAGGATGACCTGTTTGCGCCAGGAAGTACGCCACGCGTGTCACAGTACCGCCTGGCCACTCATCTGGGAACTGCTTTTATTGTCTACCTCTCTATGGTATGGAACGGTCTCACAACTCTTCGGGACAACTTTCTGCTCACCAAGATGAAAGCCGCCGATGCCAGCGCTATGCTGAAGAAGCTGCAGGACCCGGCTTTACGACCTTTCAGACGGGCGACCGCTGGATTGACGGCTCTTGTCTTTGCCACTGCTATGTCCGGCGCGCTCGTAGCAGGCCTGGATGCCGGGCTTATCTACAATCAATTTCCATGGATGGGACAGGGTCTTACTCCACCAAAGTCTGAGCTTTTCGATCCATTCTATTCGCATGTGCCTGCGGGCGCCAGTGGCAAGCATTCAGATCTTGTTTGGCGGAACATGTTTGAGAATCCATCCCTTGTCCAGCTCGACCATCGAATCATGGCCACAACGACGTTCACGGCCGTTGTGGCTCTGTTCGGATGGACACGCTTTTCGACAGTCCTGAAGCATCGTCTGCCCAGCTCGGCGAAGAGAGCTGTTCACGGCGTCTTCGGATTCGCGTCGCTACAAGTTGTTCTTGGTATAAGCACGCTCCTGTATCTGGTACCAACGACGCTGGCTAGTGCCCACCAAGCAGGTGCGCTGCTTTTACTTACCTGGACGTTTGTTCTTGGCTCGCGCATACACGCCAGTAAGCACTCGCTAAGTCTGCTGGAGCGAGCACTTCAGAACGGACGGTTGGGAGTCCAGACCACGAAGAAGGTATCGACCGTGTCCCCAATACGGACCAAGACTGCGTTCAGGAAGGCGGCGGAGCCTCAACTACAAGGCGTGCTACCGGCATAGTATGTATCGAGCCTGCTACGACGTCGCTCCAGGAGTGTTGGAAGACACCTCGGCATTTGAATTTCGTTGTACAGTAGAGATCTCCTTTTTCAAAAACGTCGCATGGCTCAGGTCAGCTATTTGTACAGTTTGTAGCAGTCGTAGAGAGAAGATCGAAGGAACGCCTGGCCCAGAGTCTATCGCTCAGTGACAGACGGTGTACAACGAAGACTCGCAGATCATTAGCAGACTATTTTCGAAGAGCGTTAAGACGATGCAAGCTTCTCGCTTCTCGTTCCTGCACGTCGATCTTGGGGTACAGCATGCTTGGCGCCTCAGGCTCCCTCCCACATCTTCGCTATTGTCTGCGTCTGTTGAGCAATTCTTGCATCCATGGACTCTCCATCGTTACATCGCCGTCGCATGCAGAATACTTCGCTGCCTGAATCACAAGAGGTGACATCCTAATTCTCGCGCGCCGAGATTGGCTGCTACCGACACGGCGGAGCCTAGGCCTCCGGAAGAGCTTAGCGTTCACGAACCAACTTCGTCGACTTACGCAAGCCTCATTCATTCTTGCTCCAGTAAGGCGTTTGCAGCTTGACCTTTGCGGAAGCCGTGATCCTGATCTACTGTGCGCCTTACCATGCGGCGTCCCGAAAGTGTTTCCGCCGATACACTTTACCTGTCGGGAAGTTCCTGGCACAACAATCGCAACTGGAAGGATTTCGCCCTGCACGCTCACCCCTGCCACCTCCGCCGCATCGGGACCAGCGACATCGTCAAACATGGCCCGTTTCGCACAAGCAATTCCAAGCATTCGCGTTGCGTGTGCTTGTCGACACGGCCATGCGTTGCTGAACGGACAATGCGATTGAGAAAGTTCTGGACCTGATCCGGGGCGCCGAACCTAAAACAGGCACGTGCGAGAAGTAAGGGGTGAGGAACAACTTCGACTAGAGCTCACGAGCGTTCAAATTTGTAACTGATCGTGGTAAGTCCCAGTCTTTTGCTTCTTCTCCGTCAATAATACAAGTACCACCGTTGCGACCTGCCGACGACCAACATCACCAGTCTAGAATTGCGACATCCAACCACTCGATTTCACAATATAGTCATGCAGCAGTGCTAGTGTGCCTGGATACGAGCTTTACCTTCAGCTGCTTGGCAGATGATCACACTTTAATCTGAGTCAACGCTTCTTTCCTCCGCGGATCAGACGGGTGAGAGCGTGAAGAAGCTCGAACTGTACGAAACCCCATTCAGTACTTCGACATCGTCCCCGCGTTCCATCAACTCGTCGCCGGCGTACATACGCTCGCCATTCACAGCTCACGACAACGCGATGGCGCCCGCATTGCTGTCCAAAGCCCTGTCGCATGCGGTCGTGGGCAGTGATAGCGATCTGGCGGTGACAAGGGCCCTGCACGCACTCTCACAGACACGGCTCACTGGCAGCGAAGAGACTACAGCGCAACTTTCCACCATCGCCGACGCGCCTCTTCCAGTCTCGGTACTTGCTGCGTCGGCGCCTTCTTCGTTGGTGTCTCCGGTTGCTTCTTTCCAGCCAACAGCTTTCCAACACAATGAGCTCGATAGGACATTAGCAGACGTCCTTGTCCGTCTTGCATCAAATCCCACCGGAATGACTGTCGATTTCTCGAACAGGGACGAGGAAGCCAGCGCCACCCACTTCCAAGCACACACTGTCACGTACAACATCCCCCGAGTTTCGTTGGAAAGACTGCTTTCGTCCGACCAGCCGAACTCTTTCGTCGCCGTTTCGTCTGGTGAAGCTTTGACGATAACGCCAGATTGGACGACCGGAAAGCATCATGAGTGGCACATGGGAAGACATGTCTGGAGGAGGATGCCCGTCGTTGGGGTAGTGGTGGGTGTTGTGCTGCTGTGGACGGTCATCACTTGGATTGGGCGGAGGAAGAGGAGGGTCCGAGTGAGGCAGATGGGGACAGAGGTGGGAGAGAAGACAACCCTCGCCGTTGAGTGAGGTTGCATTGTGCTTCATTGCAGGTCTTCTCATGCCTGCCAACCGTCGTCCTTGTCGCCATGAGCCACCAACCTTAAGTCGACGGCCACAACAGCTCAAGCATACATCAGCGCCATCACTCATGGCGTAGTCCGACTGTCCACTGGGGAAAATGTTCACCAGATCCGATTGAGAGCGCCTCTTCTTATATGGCTGCATGTCTATGTATGATCACGCTTCAAGTCTTCTTACACTATCTGAGTGGATGTCTGGTTACACCATCATCGCAGCCGTGCTGAATGCGGAGCAGCACCCATCATGGATGGCGAGAGCTGCGCGAACGACCCCATTCCCAAAACCTGCCGAAGAGTCCTGCATTGCGAGGCGATCCAGACGCAGATACATCTGTCGTAATCAGCTGCTACGATAGCGGGAAAACGAAGCCCTTAACCGAGCCTGCACGTCCATCATGTGCTATAAGGATCACTATGTTGGGAACACGCTTACCGCACGCGTCAGGCTCCGTCGAACAGGTTAGGTGGGCAGTGCAGAGACTGGCCCGCTTGGAGTCTGTGCGCAAGTTTTCTACGAAAGAGAACAGGGCGTGCCGCCGCTTGGCTCGGGCAGCATGGAATGGCAGTGGAGGCAACCAACGACCATGAGTGTACCTACTGTAGGAACATAAATGTCCAGACCCGTGGCCGGGAACCTGCTGATTTAGCCATTCCATCAGATCTAGTTTCTTCCTGCTAGCACGGACTTTCGCAAGCAGATTCCTCGCAATCTATTCCACGTCTGCAAGATAATTTGGCAGACCGGTGCTGCTGCTAGCACAGCCCGACTAGCACTTGGGTAGAGTCCAGTGCCGACGCTAAGCTTGGCAGGCCCATCCTCAGTTGCAGCGGAAGGCGGACAGGCAACGGCCTTGTGCCACTCTTTGGCGGATCGTTGATATCATTGTTCCCGCCGACCGATCTTACGAGAGGATGCTTACTTTTTGCCGTCGGATCGCGAGAGCCGCTTTGCCGATGGCAACGGGGTCGCATTCTGCAGCGCCACATCAGACACAAAAGTACCCAACCAATCACATCTCAGGACGCGCCTCACGCGTTAACGCCAACTCTCGCTTCTCAAGGCTGACTTCAGCTCCTGCAAATCTCGTCCTTCCTCACTGGACTGCCTGATCATCGAAGCTATATAGTCATTCCTTCCCAGAGTGCCTTGTCAACTGCGATTGCCCTGAAAATACCTTGCCGCAACTTACGATCGAGCACCATCCTAACAGCAAAAAAGCGTCATGGCACCGCCGAAAACCAGAAGCCTCGCGCTCCCGATTGCGCTCCAACTCGCTCTCTCAGCACTCGCTTTCTGGGCTCTCTGGGGCTTCCCGTATCGTAATGGGCTACTCAAGTTTCTCGGTGCTCAAGCGGAACCTGGCGCCGTCATCCCTGGACCAGTCGCGGCGCCGATGAGGCAATCCTACACAGGAATCGCTCCAGTCGACAAGCAATTGACTGTCCTTGTATCCTTCTTCTACACTGCCATTGATGGCAACCGTGCGGATATCTCAATCTCGTTCCTCAGCTTGGGCTCGCACGTCATTGCCGCTTGGGTTCTCATCACACTCGAGGGTCTACGCGCGGGCAATGATGGAACGCTCTTGCTTGTCTCAACGACCGTAATTGGCTTGGGAGTCGCAATTATTGGCTTTGCAGTTGTTGCACCACTCTTCTTCGCGTATCAGCTCTATGCTTCACCGACGGTCCATAGCCCAACGGCTTACAATCTGTCTCCAAAGCACCCACTGGCTGTTGCTCTGGTTCCAGTCGGAATCATGATTGGTTTCGGGCTGCCATCTTTGATCATGACTTTGCCAGCTCCGTCCGTGCTCTCATTCGACACAAAACAGCTCTGGACTGGCATTCAGCAGGGATGGACAATCTGGATATTGCTTGCCACGACATTGCTTACCGTCGGGATCTCCTACTTCAATCCAGACATCTACAATCTGTCGACACCAGCGGCGCAAGCAAAGACCGTGAAGAACATGCGCAGAGCCTACATCTTTGCGCTAGCCTCCGCTGCATCGGCACACCTGCTCCCACTGCTGATCTGCGGGATGGCGACATTGTTCCCAGCACTGTTTGCCATTCCATACAATGCGCAGCTCCAGGTCAGCAATGTGTTCAGACTAGTCAATATCTTCGGTGACCTGAAAGCCGCGTCTCTAGCGGACGGTGCATTGTGGTTCTTGCAATGGGATACTTTTGTCGGCGTCGTGAGCGTCTTCCTCTGGGCATTCACGTTGCGAGCTGCGGGCAAACGGGAAGAAGCAACCACTCGGGACTGGATCGTGGCGGTCTTGAAGGCACTGGCAGTCACTGCTGCTTTTGGACCGACTGCATACGCTGTCATCGCTGTCTGGTCGAGGGACGAGTTGGAGCTGCGCTTGGAGAAGGAGGGCAAGTCGACGGCTGACAAGAAGGACTGGTAAGCCGCATCGGATGAGCTGCTCTTCTGATCGATAGCATTTCTGTGTCAGACGCGTCGCTCCGTCTCCTCGGAGGAGTCGCACCGGCGCGTTGGATTGCTCTCTCTTCTGCGTCACATGAGAATCTTTCCAAACAGCACAAACCAATGACCAAAGTTCCCTGACCCCAAAATTCCCCCAAAACCTAAAATGTGCGGCGTGCCACTTGCTTTCAGCTTGAGCAGGGGTTCGCTACTCAAGGACGAATGACAGCACACGTCGAATCTCTTCGTGCTGAAACGGCTTGTGCATAGCCTAGAGCAGGAGAGCCAGCATCCTCGCTCAACATCCGACGATAAAGGGAAGCATCGATCCGTGCCGAGAGCTTCTCTCCGCAGTATACTCATGTCCTGAATCACATGGACTAGCACAGACTGTACACAACAGGCGACCAAATCGACTTACGCAGGCGTCTCAAAGATGTCCATCGGATTCGGCGATGCCGTTGCAATCGTGCAATTTGGCTTGGATCTGATCAAGAAGACCCAGGATGCCGGCGAGCAGCTCGAGTTCATGCAGCTTCGCATGATCGGCATCCATGCCCAGCTCGTGCGGGCGAGAGATATTGTGTCTACCAAACAGCACGAGTCAAAGCTTCAACAATTGAAACCAGTCATCTATGAACAGGCACGCGATGCTGTCGCGCGTTTGGAAGTCGATGTCAACAAGGTGAACGCCATCATGCAGCAGTGGGTGAATAAAGACGTGGGTATTGGAGTGATGCAATGGAAGTACAAGATCGCATCGGACTTCTTCAATGGGTATCTGAAGGGCGGTGGCGATAAGCTGGAGAAGCTCAACAAACGACTCGAGCAGCATCAGCTGGTCATCACAGGATGTGTGACGGATATGGTTTATCACGGTGTGAAGGAGCTGGTCAGACAGAAAGAATCGCCATCAAGCTTGAAACCGAAGCCAGTCGGTAGACCTCGCTCGCCGAGTCCTACGCCCGCAGCTACGCCTACGAAGATCATCTTTGTGGACACGCACAATGTCGGCAGATCGGTCATTGCCCAGAGCTATCTGATGTTGGTCCGGGAGTGGACGACGAGAACCAAGAACGTTTTCAAGCTTACCGACTTCCCATCAGCCGGTCTTTTAGTGACTCACCGATCTGCATACGCTAAGCAGATGGCCTCCGTCCTGGCCGCAATTCTCAATTGCCCATACAAGCGTATGCTCGACGACAAAGACGGCGTCCTTGCGGGGAAGACCGCGGTCAATGCACTCTTCGACCAGAAATACTTCCAGTATGCATACAAGCCACCTCTGGCGAACGCTGCCCTGAACCGAAAATCCCGCGGTCTGCCAGTCGATATCTTCAGTGGCTATGACGTGATTTTCTGCTTCACACGCATGGAACGCACGATCCTGGAAGCATTGCGGGACAAGCTCAACAAGACCGCACCAGCGTGGCGCAAGCAGAATAAGAGGGCGCGGGTGGAAGTGCTCGGCGAGTATGGGAACCATGCGCAGCCTGAGATATTTGAGGTGTTGAGAAGTGGTAAGAAGAGCGATGATGAGTTCAAGAAGGAGTGGGAGAAGGTGGTAGGCAACGTCAAGACGAGTGTGAAGGCCTTCCTTGAGCAGCGGACGGGGTGGAAGACACCGAAGAAAGAGGATGCAGGACTGCAAGGTCCGAAGCTGAGTAGCTGATGGTGGACTTCCCTTATCAGAAACAAGTTCCACCCCCATCAACCACGATCTCACTCCCGTTCAAATACCTTCCCGCCCTTGGCGCGGAGCACAATATCACCACGCCAACAATCTCCTCCACATCTCCCATTCTGCCCATCGGGTTCCTATCTGCCCATACACTCCTCACCTCCGCGAGTCCCTCCCCAGCGTTTAGCACCGTGTCTAGATATCCGGGACTCACACAATTGACTCTGATACCGTGAACAGCCCACTCTGCAGCGAGGTTCTTCGTAAGTGTGACAACCCCAGCTTTCGAGATGTTATACGCGGCTTGTGGTTGCGGGTAGTTCGTCGCACGGGCTGAGATGGATGCTGTGAAGAGAATTGAGCCGTTGTGTCTGGACGCGATCAAGTGGCGGGCAAGTGCCTGTGCGCAAAGGAAAGAGCCAGTGAGGTTGACATCGATGACTGAGCGGATTTGAGCAGGAGTGGCCGCCACGCTGGGAACGCAGCCGACAATGCCGGCGAAGCAGCAGAGAGTCGTGATCGGGCCGCGGTGGACATCTATCGTGCTTGCCAGGGCTGAAGCGATACTGTCGGCGTCTGTGACGTCGCAGACGTGGATGCTGACAGTCCGATCGGGAAAGTCAGACTGTAGAGATTGAATGGTGGAGGAAGAAGTTTTGAGTGTCGTAGACAGATCCCATAGGGCGATTCCTGTGGCGCTGTGCTCGAGTAACGCCCGAGCGGATGCCAAAGCAAGCGTACCTGCGCCTCCAGTGAGAACGCAGACACCCGAGACGGCGAAGCGAGCCATAGCGCGTTCAGCAGCGTGAACTTCGGTAGCAAGAGGTGGGAGAGGTGCAGTGAGGGGGTTGTCCGCCTTGGATAGAGTCATCTTCGGGATTGTGCGAGTAGTGAGGGCGGCTCGAGTATCACCATCATCTCCGGCGTTCGATGCAGGTAGAGCTTTGGTGGCGCGTGATGTTGGCACTACTGTTCCCGAAGCGCTGTTGTTGGTGTTCATATTGCCGGTCAAGACGTGAAGGTTGTAGCAAGCTTGCAAGCAATTCGGAAGGCAGCCACGCTTGTCGACTTCGTGGGATTGAGGTCACGGCCGGCGATGGAACAGCTATCTTGATGAAATGGTATGGAAGGACGTTGATGAAAACATTACCTGCAGTATGTGCGCGACAAAGCTTGACGTGGGGTAAGTACCGCTCAGGATCCTCAAGGCACTTACTCCAGGTAGCCTCTACATCGTGCTTCTCGGGCTAAGGAAGTGTCGGAGTCCAAGGGCATCACTCTCCCGAGAAGCGCAGTAGTATACTACAACTTGTGTATGTTGTGGTAGAGCATCCCAGCCTCGACCTGCTGAGAGGGGTGGGCTCTATGGCCTGCCAAGGTTTTCGCGGTTTACCAGTTTTATAGGCGTTTCTTCAATCTGGAGGCACGGTCGCAAACCTTGCGCCCCCGACTCTCCCTGGCATGAAGGCGGGGCATTTATATCTGGAACAGCTCACGAGAAAGTGGCCTTCGGGAAGTGAGAATGTCAAGCAGGGGAGGGTAATTTGTATCCTGACAGCCGTGAATGAATAGATAGAACTTGCGATTTCCGAATGCGGAAGGTGGGCTTCCCAAAGCAGGACCTGAGCTTTTCCCAAAACCTTTTCCATGTTGCGAAAGCGTGCTCGAGCTTGAACATACGAAGCCACACTGCAACCGCGCAGAGTGTTGAATGCAGGTCGAATGTGAAGCTAGTGTCAAGATGCAGGCCACACCAATGACAGTTTCCTCGGGCCCGAAGGCGTCCATTTTCGCTTAGGTGACGCACATCAGGAGATAAAGAACACCCTTGTTTCGACCTACATTAAAATACGCCATCGCCAGGACATAACGGTGCATCGTGAGTCACACAAGCTGAAAGTTGCATCAAGCGACGCGCCAGACAGGCCGCCAACCATGCTGGATGTACGAGGTGAATCATAGCTTCGGGTAGGTCTATCTTTTCGGTGAGCACAGAAAACTATAAATCTGAACTTGTTCGCCGTATTGCTCGCTGGGATTGAACTCACAAGCACGTTGCACAGCCATCAACAGACACTCATCACCCTACGATCTTTTCAACCGCGCTGTCACCATGGCCTGCGCCGACTGCTTCCGCGGCGGCCGCGCGACTGGCACACCCGCTGGAGAGATGATGATCATACACGGCGTAGCCTGCTACTTTACGTCCGCTTCCAACACTTTCACTGCCTCCAAGATTCTCTACCTTTGTGACGGCTTTGGCCTCGCCCTCGTCAACAACAAACTCCTCGCTGACCGCCTCGCCGCCTCAACCGGCATCGATGTCATCGCCCCGGATGTCCCGCCCGGCGGCGGCTTGGACACCAGTGCGTTGGAATTGACAGACATCCTCAGTGACCCCGTCGGCTGGAATCCACTCGCCTGGCTGCGCAAGGCGTGGACTTTCACGCGCCTGATCGTTGTTGCTTTGCCGTTTATTACGAAGCGGAAGCAAAGGTTTCAGTGTATGGACGAGATGATTTCCCTCGCCCGAAATCTGAAGGGTGAGATGGGCGATGACGGCAAGCTTGGCGCCACTGGCTACTGCTATGGCGGCTGGCTCACGATGAAGTTGTGCGCTGCACCACTTTCCGCCGACGACAAGGACGCTGGTGAGAACCTCATCGACGCAGCGTTCACAGCCCACCCTAGCTGGCTGGATGTGCCCAAGGAGATCGTGGACGTAGTCAAGCTGAAGCACGTGCCGCTGAGTCTGGCACTCGCGGACAAAGACATGACCATGCCGATCAAGAAGGTGGAGGAGGTCGAGGTCGCGCTCAGGGAGGAGGTGGGGAGACCGGAGGAGAATGATTATGAGGTCGTTGTGTACAGAGGCAACATCCCGCATGGATTTGCGGTCAGGGCGAGGGAGGTGTATAAGGAGCAAATGCGGGCTGCTGACGATGCGGCTGAGCAGGCTGTCAAATGGTTCAAGAAGTACCTGCGGTGACATGCGGCAGAGCACTTCCTGTTTGAAGTGCTCGGAGTTTCGAACAATGTGTGTGCGAATGACAGTCTCCGGCTAGAGCAGTTCTGCCTGAATCTGAATCGTTGCTACGAATCGATCTCTTGTGCCGTTCGGCTTGTTCTGTACACTGCAACAACACGGAAGACTTTCCACCAACAAAGGGCGCCTGAGCACCTTAATCAACCTCCTCCAAAACGCTCCCAACTTGACCGCCGTTTCCAGCAACACGTCCGGGCACACCTCCGGCCGGCATGGCACCTTCACTAACGGCCCTGCCCCGAACTCCTCCTCGTCTCACCACATCCTCCGCCGCCTTGTTATACCCCCCAACCCACCCTTCCTGATCCTTATCCCAACCTGCATGCCCATTGACACCACCTTCCTTCTCCAGTTCTCTCACCAAAGCCTGATTGACCTCGTTCCCCTCGAGCAGAAACTTCAGACACATCACAGCGTGCTCCCTGATGTACGGATTGTTGGCGTCATGCACCGTACAGTTGAGGATGACGTCGACGCCGCCGGTCTCGCGAATCTGGTCTTGAACGTGGCGCGACTTCCAGACTAGGGACGAGAGGACGAGGATGATGAGCTTCTTGAGGTTACGCCATGGGAATGTTGATGGGTCTTCGGGTAGCGGAGGCTGAGGTGGCGGCGGGGCAGCGAGGGGTGGAGGAGAAATGTTGTGGTTGTTATTCGGTTGCTGCATTGTGCCGTTAGTCGTTGCATGAGTTGGCAGCGGCGGAGGTGGAGAGGGCGAAGGTGAAAGGCTGTAAGGTCGTTCAACAGCGACAGGCACTGTTGAGGCGGGCTCTGGTTCCGCCGGAAGCGCTGGGGGCGGCATCTCATTTTCGCCTGATTTGGCTTTAGCTGCAACAGTCAACGGATTGACCTTCGCCACAGCGCCCTCAAGCTCTTTGATCAGTGTGACAAGATCATACACGATCTCCCAGTCTACCAGGAGCCGATTCCAGTCGTTGTTCTCCGTGAGGACCGCGAAGAACTCCAGGAACTGGTACACGCCTTCGTAGACTCGTTCCATATCCCACAGATTCAACGGGAAGTCTTCCGCCAGCGCCAGTCCTTGCCGGATCTGACCCTGCAGGTAGATCAACGCGCATGTTTCTGGTACAATATTGCCACGGAACACGGTGAAAATGTAGCGCACAGTCAGAACGTCAACACGAGTGAGCGCCGCCGGAGCCTTCAGACCCTTGAATTGAGCCTGCAAGTCATTCGCATCCGCTCCAGGTCGCATATTTCCTCGGTTTCGCTCCGCTTGGGCGCTTGCAGGACTGTACTTGCTCCGATAGATATGTGTCAGAATCTTGACCACCACCGCCTGCGCAGGACTTATTATGTCCTTTGCCTGTCCGAAGTCCGCATATGCATGGCTCATCAGCCCATTCTTGAGAATCGCCTCCATGATCTGTACCATCATCTTGAAGTAGAATTCATCGTCCGGCAGGTCCCAGGCTGCGATGAAGATGAGAAGCTCACGCAGCACATTTCGGCCAGCTTCCTGCGCGAGCAAGATGTGACAGCGGACCGACTGCATGTTGCGAATGTTTTGTCGTTCTTGTGCGGTGTGTTGTGGAGTGCTGTTCTTGGTATTTGTACCGAAGTTGTCAACGATACCAGCTTGGATGATCATGGGGAGGGCCTCAATCTCGGTCGGCCCTAGGACGAGAGGCACATCGGTGAGTAAACCGCGCTCCTGGTCGTTGGACGGCCGGTACGAGGTATCCGAAGCATCGTCTTCATCTTCATCGTCAAGCTCATCCTCCTCTGGATCAGATATTTCTTCACCGGACTCGTGACCATTCTCAACAATGCCCGAAGCTGTCGCATCGTCGTCATAGAGGTCCTCTTCGTCGTCGAGTGCGGATGGAGGATCTTGAAGTCGAGCCATCAACTCGTCTTTGGCTTCTTGCAGGGTCTCGGCGGCGGACTGAGCGGAACGAGGCATCTGCAAGTCTTGCTCGAGTATCTCGTCGTTCTTGACGGGTGCCATGCCGACTGAGGAAGCATCAAAAGCACCGTCCCACATCTTTTGGCCACGTTGTATGTTCATGGCGGCGTTTCTGATGGCCTGCTCGACGGAGGGAGGCAGCTCTTTGTTGGGCACTTGCGCCCTCACGGCTTCGCTGACTTTCAGACTAGGATCTGAGCTGCTGTCTGGTGGTCCTGGGAGCTCAGACAGGCGCTCCATATCATGTTTAATCTTATTCATCAGTAGCCGAGCGTTGTTTTGTGCAGTCGCAGTCGCTCCGTCCTCTGTGCTCATCATATCGAAGAGTGCGTGTACGTCGTCCATGCTGTAGCCGAGTCCGGCAGCCATGTCGCTTGGTAGAAGGTTGCTATTGGCCATCTGCTGCAATCTCTCCATTGCGACCGAGACGCGATCGCGAACGTCTTCGTCCTCACCGACGTTCTCTCCGCCTTCGACTGTGACCTCGATCTCGAGAGTGTTCGCTTGTGGTTGTTGTGTCGCTGCAGCATCGCCATTCGCCTGCGCATTCGCTGCTTCGGTAGTCGGAAGTCGAGCTCTGGCCGCCTCAGCTTCAGCAATCTTATTCTTCGCAGCCACTCCGAATAGGTCCAACCACAGCACCAGCTTTCTCTGCTCGTTATGCATAATGAAGTTGTGCAAGAACTGCAAACATGTGATCAACAATCTCTTGTAAAGGTTGACAACCTTTCCCCAGCGCTCCTCGCTGCGTACATTGCCGCCTTCGCCATCGAAGCCTCTGGCGGTGACCTTGACGCAGACATTGATAAGAGCCAACACTTGCTGGTCGAAGCCTTCTTCCGCTGCCAGATTTTGTGCTCGTTTCGTCGTCGCTAGCAAGTTCCTCGCTATTGTACACAGATCATTTAGTCTCTCGATGTCCTTGACCAAGCTCAGATAGTTCGAGGCGATCAGATCTGACGAACTATTGCTCAGCGGCTCGCCATTCTCGACATCGCCGCCATTTGTAGCATCATCGCGCTGTGACCTCGCAAAACTCTTGCCCTCGAGCACCGGTACAGCCGCCTTGAAGACTGCGGTGAGGCCAGCCCAGACTTTGGACGAGAAGCCGAGTGCTTGTCGGACGTCGCTTTCTTGATGTGACTTGTAGAGGATCTGTTTGCCAGCGAGGAGGAGGTGTTCGAGCCGCTTGTCGTCAAGGAGGGTAGGATATTCGTAATGGGATTGGACGCCGGTGAGGATGAGGGTGAGCAGGAGGCATGCAGGCGTTGCCATCGTCGACGGCGGAGACCAGAGGCGCGACGCCCGAGGAGAAGTCGCGGGTTCGTGTCCGAGATGCAGCAACCCGTCAACGATGCCGGCGAGGCTTTCCGAGTGCTTGGTCAGGGACACGTGCTCGAGTCTGCCGAAATAGTTGAGGCACATGCAGTAAGACCGCTGTACGAGGCTCGTGACGCGCAAGTGATTCACTCTCGCAAGCGCATAGTCTCCGACCAAGCTACGCGCAGACGTGACCGCGTGTGTGTCGCCGCATAAATCGAGACTCGAAATCATCGACTGCGGAGAAAAAGTTCGGCTGCACTTCGGATCACTTTGCGGGGAGTTTCCAAGGTTGCCTGAAAAAGGCGCCGTCCAAGTTCTTCACCGAAGATTTTGCCTTCGTCACACAACAACGCTGCGAGCTCGAGAACGCCCGACTACGTCACCACCATGTCCAAACGCAAGCGCGACGATCTGGAGGCCGACTCAGCCCCAATAGCTTCCTACTATGCTTCAACCCGTCGCAGAACAACAGTCAACCAACAACAACTCAGCCAGTTCAGGAAAACGCTCGAGCAGTCTCGGAAATCACTTCACGCAGCTCTGCGTCTCGCTCGAGGCTTTGAGCGCCAGAAGATGGGCCGTCGGCAGAAAAGCGCCAGCAAGGAACCCCAGACGCTGTTGAGGCTGCGGGAGGAAGCAATTATTCTGAAGCAGTTAGACCTGGAGAAGACAGCAGCGAATCATCTGGTGAAGAGTTTGAGCAAGGCCAAACGTGTGCGGGAGTCTGCTTGCTTTGTCACGGTCTATGGAGCAGAACCACATCTTGATGGTGTCAAGTCTACTGCGGAAGGCAATGTGCTTGGCAGATTGTTTGGGAGCGAGCCGGTCCGGAAAGCGATGGCTGCAGCAACGAGTGAGGTGTACCGGGCACTAGGTATCGAAGATGGTGCTGGCGGGACCGCTAAGGAGGGCAGCGGCACTGTGCAGTCCACGACGAAGGCCAACAAGGAGCATGCGATGATCAGCAAACGATCGAGAGTTGCAGATGAGGAGCTTGATCCAATGGAGATCACAACTGATGAGGAGGGAAGCGAAGAAGACGGCGAGGACGATGAATTGTTCGATGACGACTCATTCGAAGGCTTCTCGGATGAGGAGGATGCAGGCAACGAATCCGGCGCCCACGGTTCACGGCAGTCGCCATCCATTTCCGCCTCAGATTCAGAAGCTGTCGACTCCAACGAGATCTCCGTCTCCGGTTCTGCTCCGAGCTCAGACTCGTCGGAGGAGAGCGAACACTACTCTGGCTCCGATGCGGACTCCGCTCCATCTTCCCATCCACAACAGCCTGCCCCTCGAAATGGCCACTCTCTCAAACCCACCCCACCTACGACCACATCAACGACAGCCTTCCTCCCATCTCTCTCTATGGGCGGCTACTACGACCCCGGCTCTGATTCAGACTCGGATCAAGAGCCCGAAACAATACCCATCGAACGCAAGAATCGTCGAGGCCAGCAAGCCCGTCGGCAGATCGCAGAGATGAAGTACGGCAAGAACGCGAAGCACTTGCAGAAACAGACCAAGACCAAGGACGCAGGCTGGGATGCGCGAAAAGGCGCTGTAGCTTCTTCCGTCAACACTGGTGGTAGAAACAGCGGAGCTGGACCTCGAAGTAGTAGAGGCGCCGGACAAGGACGAGGGCGAGGTGGCAGCCGAAGCAAGGACGACCATGCCCGACCGGGGCAAGTGACCGAGAAGCCTAAAATCCGCGACGACACGGGTCCTGTGCATCCATCGTGGGAAGCGGCGAAGGCGAGAAAGCAGCAGGCAGCGGTGATGGCAAGCGGTGCGGCGGCATTCGCGGGGAAGAAGATCACGTTTGACTGAGGGGTGTTTCGTTGCGAGGAGCGGCGTGTTGTGACGGCGACGATGAAGCAGAGTTAACAAGAAGCTGGACTGATAGAGCTAGAGCTGGAAGTACTCCGGCTACTACCCAGATGTCGACAGACAGAGGCTTCCCAAGCTAGGAACGTCAATACATTCGACCCATGCGGCAGCCGAGATTCATGCCTAAAACATTTTGCAGTCCAGATTCTCTATCCATTCACAATTCAAAATATCTAGTCATGGTGATGCTTCGCTGGCTGGATTTCCCATTTGTGTTCTACCGTACAGCTTCTACATACATGAATACATCAACCTATTTGCGCCACACGCCAGCTCTATAGATAAAATTGTGTTCGCACGATCCCCAACAACCAGACCGGCACTCTTGCCTTGATCGCGCATGCTGGAGAACTGCACGCTACACACAGTCAGCCAGCGAGCGAGCGACAACGGCCCCAACGGTGTCGACAGCGAGACAGAGTACTTGACATCATGTTGTGTTCTGCTGCGCAGGTAGGGTTGTCGCAAATTTGATTCCAGTGTGATCGGAACGAAGGACTCGGGGTAACGATATTCGAGCGTTGTTGATGGAAACCCGAATCGTCGAATGCAGTGCCCTCTTACGAAGATCTCATCCGAGCTCGACCGTCGTCGAGAGAGCCTTTGGCGATGATTGATTGCTAGGACAGTGTCCGCTGTGAGCCTGAGCTCGCGCCTGACGGAAGAAGCGTCGTCGCCCGTGAACAACCAGTAGATGTGTATCCATGACCAATAGTCGGCCATGCGAGGACGTGTTGCGCAATGTCTTGTCGATCCACGGGCAAAGTCTGCAGAGCATGGTTTACAGCTCGGCGTGGCGTTCAGGCGGAGGTGATTCTTACGTCCTGACTTGGGTCGGTATGCCCCCACCGAATCAGCTCACTGAGCCGGAAGACCCGTATTCGAATTGGAAGACTTGCTTGGAATCGACAGGCGTGTGACTCGGTTCGTTGTGGTTAAGGATTGGATACGTAGCCAGAAATAAGACAGCTTGAAGACAGTAAATGCAGGTGTGATGGATGGCGATCACCTGAACGCTGCGTGTCGTGGTGTCGGCTGGGTTGCTGCGGGTGGCGATGGAGTAGTGGCTGTGCAGAGGTTGTTGCGGCTGTGTTCTCGTAGTCCTTGCGAAGGCAGTGGTTCCCTGAGTTGAATCCATAGTCCGTTGAACGGTGGGCGTAGAGTTGTTCGAACGTGATTGGCGAGAAGGGGGTCTGATCACGACGTGGCAGCAAAGGCAGCGCTATCAGCCACTGTAGAGTCGTACAATCCAACCGAGGACCCTTCCCACCATGTTCGGCCGGAGCTCCGGGGCGTTTAGAATCTCATCCTGAGGATCAGCTCCTCTGCCCCCAAGCCTTTCGCCGCTCTCCGCTCTGATATCGACCAGCCCTGCTTCGAAAGCTCACTACGTACCACTCTTCATCAATCCCATCATCATCCCCGTCCCCGTCGGCTATGAACTGCTTATCCATATCTCCCACATTTTCTTCTTCTGCGTCTGGCACGAGCTCGTCTCCGCTGTCTACCTCATCCTTGTCCTCAGACTCACTCGGAGAATAGACCAACGCGAGATCTCTTGTAGACAACCTTGTCATTGGGCCGTTCCAGGGAGTGTCACGCGCAGGGGTCACGTGAACTCACCTCACCTCACTTGGCCCACAAAGGTCATCAACAGACCTTTAAGGCCAGGCTAAACTCAGAGTAATAGATATATCAGACCACAGTCAGATGCAACCCAGTTCATAGCTCCTTAGCATTAGTAACGCATTCACCCATACCCCCTCCTTTCCTACCTCAGTTCTCCTCTCCCCCTGACAGCGTGACAGGGGGGAGTTCGAAGGACTGGAGAGCAGCGGCGCGTATCCTTTGAATCTGTCGTGCGGTGCGTCATAGTCAAACAATGTAGACTCTGGGATGCAAGTAAGTGAAGATGCTTCGTCTTGTAGGTGACGACAGCGTTCCGCTTCTTCGGTTTGATTCTGTCACGGACAGTCTATTCAGAGTCTCAGGCTCAAAGGCCGACGTACCGTCGATTGACACTATGACAAATCCAGCCAGTTCCGTTCCAGCAACGGTCTTAGTGGGAAGATGCGTGGCATGAGACTTCAAGCAGCTGATAGCGGAACACGGTCGGTCCCGCCCGCAACTGATGAAGGCTGTGCTTCTGCAGCGGACTTCCTTCGGTTCGATCTGAAGCAAGTTGCAGATCATACCAACCTGAGTAGTCCAGCCTGACCCGGTGTACATTGCGCTGACATCGGATATTCAGCTTGAGAGACTGCGGATTGAGCAGATGCTCGTGGTGGGAAAAATGAGAATATTTACTGCATGCCCCTGCGTCTGGCGTTGAGTTGGGATGTCACAACCGTCGACAGATGATAAGGAGCACAACAAACAACCTCGTATTTTGGTCAATCTGGCAGCTGGCCGTCCAAGATGATGATTTGACGTGTTGCATAGGTCTTCGATCTAGCCAATGCCTGACGATCGACGTATGGGGCGCCGTTCTGGCCAGCTTACCCCAAAGGCCACTCATTCTTGATGTACAACTCACGGTCGGGCGAGTTGATGGAGAGTCCTCGTAAACAAGGACTTGACAGATGCAAGAGCTGACAGATACAACCCGGTTCGCTGAAACCCTCTCGCCCAGCATGCAGCATATCAGGTGCACTCCCTGCTCACATGCAGTCGTCGTCTACTTACTGGTCACCGCTGTCAGAACGTATGTGCCCAGTGAGCCGGGCCAGTCTTATCGGATTGAAGCCTCGCGGAAGGTCAAGATGATCTTAGGCTTTTACGGAGCAGTCTTGCTGAACGCCCGGATCCTTCTGGAGCAGGTGAGGTCGAAGGAAGGTTTCTCCCACAGTCCGGTCCGAACCTTGACCAGCGAAGTGTGGAGGCTGCGTGGAGGCTGTATCCAGTAGGTATCCAACTTGCCGCGCCTGAGCCGCTGAAGAAGCCTGCATTCAGTTTAAGCATAGAATATGCTCCTCGGGCCTTCGCTCTGCGGTGACTTTTCTGGCATTGAAGGCTAGCATCTGCAGGATTGGCCGGTCTGTATGCATATGTCATTGGCTGTCGTCCGCAGCTGATGGACACTTACCGCATTGTGAGCTCTAAGGGATGTCCATTTCCGCGATGAGACTACCGACCAGAAACCAGTCCATTGGTGCGTCCAGTGGTTAGCACTCCTTTGCCGTTGCCATCGCCGGCACGAATGCTGTTGCCATCCCTGCCTTATTCTCTGCCGTATCCTTGGGTTCGTTCATCCTGGACATGCTCTTCATGGTCTTCACCGCCGCCGTCGCCATTCATCAGCCTCCAGTCAGCCTGCAGGCCGCCTCACGAGACTGGACGCAATGCTGTTTAAGAGGACAGTATGATCCCACTCTTCTCTTGTAGGAGTGGCTGCAACCGAAGGGTGCGACCACTATCATAATGCATATCCACAGCGATGGACCAGAGTGAATACGGGCTCACTGCACTGCAACATCGGCCCTACCTAATTTCTCGAAGCGTAGCTGTGTCCCTGCCTGAATCCGGCTCTCGATCGTCGCGGAGGACTCGTCCTCAGAATTCAGTATGAGCTTTCTGCCGAAATGCAGTACCCGAGAATATGAATTTGGAATTGACACGACGAGAACTTTTATATCCCCGACACTCCCAGGCCCACGCTTCCGCTGATTCTGTGCACCTGATTCAGCGTAGGCCCTATGGCTATGGCGGCGCCCCTCCCCTCAGGTCATCGATCGAGTGAGCTCTTCCACGGCCAATGCCTCGCCTCATCAGGCGCTGAGGGCGCACATCTCCATCAGGAGGATGTGACCTCCGCTTTGATGCTCGGTGATGGAAGTCAGCCTAGTGCTTGGCGCTCTCTAACGGGCGCTTCCTGCCATTAGTGGTCAGTCTCTCCGTTACTAGAGTAGAGCGCTGATCGTGGCGTGGCACATAAGCAGGGACATTGAAGCCCGCCGGATTATGGTGTCAATGAGCGAGTAAGGCTTACAACGAAGCATTCTCATCCACAAATACTCGTCAGTCTCATCCTCAGTGTCGGACGCGCTCTCATCTCCGACCTCGCTCTGATGCTTGCTCAAGCTCGCCATCTACTTTCACACGGGCTTGTCCGACGTCGATACAGTCGACCGCCGTATTCTCGACTTCCCATTCTGCTTCTAGATCTGTTCTCGATAGCTTCCAGATTCTTTCCAATAGACTTCACGACGACACCATTGCCTACCTTTCGTAGAGTCTATGAGCAGCCTCGAGTCTCTGGGCAGCATAAACTCGGCAGCAACGCAATAGCGAAGCATACATATTCACTGCTTTGATTAGCGCAATAAAAGACTGTCAATTTGCGGGACGTTGAAATGCAACTGTTCATCCCTTGCATTTTCCCCCCTTCATCAATCTTAAGACCACTTCTCCCCCCTAGACTAACCTGAGAATACAGCGTTGTGTCTCAGGGACACACACTTCTCCTCACACAGCACACAAGACTCATAAATACCATATATTTCTCTAACAGGGCTCTAAGGGCCTCTCTAGGTGCTTTTTTAGGCTATCCAGATATATAGGCTCTATTCTTGTATCTATTTAGCTCCTAAGTTACATCCTCTATCTAACACCTAGATACCTAGCCTATATCTTATCTTTTCCTTATTCCTACCTCACTAGTTCATTATCTATAACTTACCAAACTTACTTTTAATTTATCTATAAGTTACTAGTACCTGATCTTTACCTGATCTATACCTGACTTGTAAGTAATTAGTGACTGACTTGGTTTTGATCTATATTGGTCTGGGGAGCTGTGAAATTGTATTACTTGCTTAAGGTGTTAGCCCTTGAGCTCTAGAGCTCTTAGATCTAGATATTAATCTTGCGAAAGATTTATAAGAGATTAATTATAGACTGAATCTTGGCACACTTCTGATTGGCTAAAACTATATGCTATA